CCTTTAAATGGTCTTTCAGTCTAGTTCTATAGGCTACACAATCATGGGGAAGACTGCTGACTTGACAGTTGTCCAAAAGACGACCATCGACACCTTGCACAAGGAGGGCAAGACACAAAAGGTCATCGCTAAAGAGGCTGGCTGTTCACAGAGCTCAGTGTCCAAGCACATTAATAGAGAGGCGAAGGGAAGGAAAAGATGTGGTCGAAAAAAGTGTACAAGCAAGAGAGATAACCGCACCCTGGAGAGGATTGTGAAACAAAACCCATTCAAAAATGTGGGGGAGATTCACAAAGAGTGGACTGCAGCTGGAGTGAGTGCTTCAAGAACCACCACACACAGACGTATGAAAGACATGGGTTTCTGCTGTCGCATTCCTTGTGTCAAGCCACTCTTGAACCACAGACAGCGTCAGAAGCGTCTAAAGAGAAACAGGACTGGACTGCTGGTGAGTGGTCCAAAGTCATGTTCTCTGATGAAAGTAAATTTTGCATTTCCTTTGGAAATCAAGGTCCCAGAGTCTGGAGGAAAAGAAGAGAGGCACTTCATCCACGTTGCTTGAAGTCCAGTGTAAAGTTTCCACAGTCAGTGATGGTTTGGGGTGCCATGTCATCTGCTGGTGTTGGTCCATTGTGTTTTCTGAGGTCCAGGGTCAACGCAGCCACATACCAGGAAGTTTTAGAGCACTTCATGCTTCCTGCAGCTGACCAACTTTTTGGAGATGCAGATTTCATTTTCCAACAGGACTTGGCACCTGCACACAGTGCCAAAGCTACCAGTACCTGGTTGAAGGACCATGGTATCCCTGTTCTTAATTGGCCAGCAAACTCTCCTGACCTTAACCCCATAGAAAATCTATGGGGTATTGTGAAGAAGAAGATGCAATACACCAGACCCAACAATTCAGAAGAGCTAAAAGCCACTATTAGAGCAACCTGGGCTATCATAACACCTGAGCAGTGCCACAGACTGATCGACTCCATGCCACGCCGCATTGCTGCAGTAATACAGGCCAAAGGAGGCCCAACTAAATACTGAGTGCTGTACATGCTCATACTTTTCATGTTCATACTTTTCAGTTGGCCAACATTTCTATAAATCCTTTGTTTTTATTGGTCTTCAGTAATATTCTAATTTTCTGATATGATGAATTTGAGATTTTCATTTGTTGTCATTTGTAATCATCAAAATTAAACAAAATAAACATCTGAAATATATGAGTTTGTATGTAATGTATGAATATAATATACAAGTTTCACTTTTTAAATGGAATTACTGAAATCAATCTACTTTTTCATGATATTCTAATTTTATGACCAGCACCTGTATATTCCCACCCTCATTTATGGTCATTAGCTCTGGGTCATTACCAAAAGAACGAGGTCCCAGATACAAGCGGCTGAAATCTGTTTTCTCCGTAGTGTGTCTCGGCTTTCCCTTACAGATAGGGTCAGTAGCTCAGTAATCCACTGCTCCTCCACATCGAGAGAAGCCAGTTGAGGTGGCTCGGGCATCTTATTAGGATGCCAGTCTTATTATCCATCCATCCATCCATCCATTTTCAGACATGCTTAATCCCAAGTGGGGTCACACACACTAACGTGAGTTTAGAGAAGCCAATTAACCGAACAGTCATGTTTTTGGTCTGTGGGAGGAAGCCGGAGTACCCAGAGAGAACCCACGCACGCTCAGGGAGAACATGCAAACTCCATGCAGGCCATTATTTAACTATTGATAATAATTTAAAAATTATAGCTGCCCATGAGCTGCCACCTTAACATGAAGGGGCTGTTGAGTGCCCGAATGATCCAAGGAGCTATGTTATCCAAGGCATTATGCCCCTGATACGGTCTCCCATGGCAAAAAGGTCCTAACACTTGCCAGTTAACTGGGAAACCTAATCAGACCTTGAAACCAGCTCCACTTTTTCCCATACCGGCTGCTGGTAAACCTTTTGAACACTTGATCGTGGACTGTGTTGGCCCACTGATTCCTTCAAAGTCAGGATCTATGTATTTGCTGACAGTTATGTGTAGAAGCACCCGTTATCCTGCAGCCTATGCTCTGAAAAGCATTACGACAAAGTCGGTGGTCAAAGCTTTGTCGAATTTAATTTCAGTGTTCGGAATTCCAAAGACCATTCAGACAGACAGAGGAACCAACTTCACTTCACGTATGTTTGCTGAGATTTTGAAACAACTTGGTGTAGTTCATCAGCAAATTAGTGCTTATCATGCTCAAAGCCAGGGGGCGCTAGAGCGTTTTCACCAAACCCTGAAGGCATTGTTGCGAGCATACTGCACAGAGTTGAGTAGAGACTGGGAAGAAGGTCTTCCTTGGCTTCTTCTGGCAGCTCGTGAAGTTGTGCAAGAAAGTACAGGGTTCAGTCCGAATGAACTCGTGTTTGGACATCAGGTGCGTGGTCCTCTCGCTCTTCTAAAATCGAACTTGGAGAGTTCTGATCCACCATTAAATTTGTTTGAATAAATTAATGGTTTTCGTCGCAGACTTTTCTTGGCTGGCAAACTAGCCTATGAGAATGTTAAAAAGGCTCAGAGAAAAATGAAACGATGGTTTGACCAAAAAGCTGAAAGAAGAGTGTTTCACCCAGGAGATAAGGTGCTTGCCTTACTTCCCATTCAGGGTTCACCATTTCAGGCAAAGTTTTACGGTCCATATTTTGTGTTGAGACAGGTGTCTGAACTAGACTACATGGTTTCTACCCCAGACCGTAAACGACCAACTCAACTGTGCCATGTAAACTTACTAAAGCCTTATTTTGATCATACTCTGGAGGAAAGAGATGTGAAGGCAGTTGCTGCTTCTGTGAAAGTAGACTTGAGCTGCACAGCAGGATTAGATGAGGATGTGCAAACTCCAGATGATGCTGTGTTTCAACCAAGACTTAAGAACTCTGAGATATTGTCTAACTTACAAACTTTATTGAGTCATTTGTCTACAGAAAGAAGTGAGCAGTTAAAGCAGTTAATTTTGGATTTTCGTGTTTTGTTTAGTGACACTCCAACATGTACTAATTTAAATGAGCATGATATTGATGTGAAAGATGCGCAGCCCATCCGTCAACATTTTTATCGTGTTCATTCAGAGAAAAGCAAGTTTTTGGAGACAGAAATTCAGTATTTGCTGGACAACGGCCTGGCTAAACCATCTTGTTCCAGTTGGGCCTCACCATGTTTGTTGGTTAAAAAACCTGACGGTACTTATAGATTCTTTACTGATTACAGGAAATTGAACAGCATTACAAAACCTGACTCCTACCCACTCCCTCGGATGGAAGATTGCGTTGATCATGTTGGAACAGCGAAGTATGTGAGTAAATTTGATTTGCTCAAAGGTTACTATCAAGTACCCTTGTCTGCGCGAGCCCAAGAGGTTTCTTCCTTTATTGTACCATCTGGATGTGATGGGTAAGACTAAGAGCAGCTCAGAAGACCCTTATGGAGAGAGTCATATCAAGGACAGTGACGTCGCTCGGTATAGCATAGCAGGGGCCCCACCCTCGAGGTAGGCCTTGGGTTGGGGCTCACATACGGGGCCCAGTCTGAGCAGACAACGTGTGGCCGCCCTCCTGTGGACCCACCACCAGCAAAGGGATCCGTAGGGGTCGGGTGCGGAGAGCACTGGTTGGCAATTGAGGCGGTGTGCCTTGAAGACCCGGTCCACACACGCTGCTTCTGGCTGTAGGGACTTGTAACGTCACCTCGCTGTAAGGGGAGGAGATGGAGCTTATGTGGGAGGTTGAGAGCTACTGGCAAGATATAGTCGGGCTCTCCTCCGTGCACAGCTTGAGTTCTGGGTCCCAACTGTGGAGAGGCTCGAAGCCCCACTACTCTGGCATTGCCCACAGGGAGAGGCCGTGGGCAGGGGTTGCCTTGCTCATTGCCCCCCAGGTCAGTCACATGTTGGAGTTCACCCTGGTGAATGAGAGGCGTCCCAGGCCTTCGGGTTGGGGACAGGTATTTTGACCGTTGTCTCGGCTTACAGGCCCAACATCAGTGCAGAGTACCTGGCCATCCTGGAGTCCCTGGAAGGGGTACTAGATGGTGTGCCAAAAGGGGACTCTATTGTTCTACTGGAGGACTTCAATGCCCATGTAGGGAGCGACAATAAGACCTGGATAGGGGTGATTGGGAGGAACGGCCTCCCTGATCTGAACCCCAGCAGTGTTCTGTTATTGGACTTCTGTGCTAATCACAGTTTGTCCATAACGAACACCATGTTCAAGCACAAGGGTGTCCATAAGTTAACGTGGACTCAGGACACCCTAGGCCAGAGGTTGATGATCAACTTTGTAGTTGTGTCATTTGATGTCCGGTCACATGTCTCAGACACTCTGGTGAAGAGAGGGGCTGCACTCTGGTGAAGAGGAAGCTGGTCAGATCTGGCAGGCCTAGGCCTGTTGTGAGGGTCTGTTAGGAATGTGTGGTGGATCCCTCTGTCAGTGTGGTCTTTAACTCCCACCTCTGGATGAGTTTCTCCCAGATCTCGAGCGAGGTTGGCGATATGGAGTCGGGTTGTTACATGGTCTCCTCCTCCATTGCTGATGCAGCCGTTATAAACTGTGGCCAAAGGTCTCTGTTGCCTGTCATGGCGGCAATCCCGCCAGAAGGAGGCCTACCTGGCCGACATGCAGCGGCAAAAGTTACATTTACTGAACTTCAACGTCGAATGCTCGGGTGTCTGGATGCTCTGACAGTAAAACACTTGAATGCGTTGCTCCCGACACTCGGACGTGTTGTTGGACCTCTCCACGTCACCCCCCCCTACACTTTGCATGTATATCAGACGCTTTGACACCCAGAACGCGCCCAGTGTGAATACAGCTTTAGGAAATGAGCTCTCCCTATTTTTGCTTAATTAATTAAATAACTTGATACAACATAACACCATTTGATGGGTGCAAGGCTTGGTGGCAAATCACATACAAATAGATTATTTACTTGTTTGACCGCACACTAACTTATTTTTTCTCTCTGTAGGAACCCTGTGCTCTGCCACATCAGAAAAATGTTTGTCTGCACCTTGCCAGAATGGGGCTACATGTGTGGACACCATGGATGATTATGCCTGTATCTGTGCCAGAGAAGGTGTAATATACATGGGAAAAAACTGCGATGAACTCTACGATGGTTGCTTCTTTGTGCCATGTTTAGAGTGCACCAGTACCCCAGGAACAATGGAATACCAATGCGTATGCCCAGATGGACTTACAGGAGATAACTGCACAGAAGAGGTGGATGACTGTCTGAGCAACCCTTGCTCAGAGCCTCATTCACTGTGTGTTGACCAGCTCCATGGATATTTCTGCAGGTGTCCAGCTGGATACGGAGGTCAAGAATGCAAGACACGTGTGACTGATTGCATTGACAAACCCTGCATGAATAATGGCACTTGTGTGTTACAACCAAATGGCTTCGAATGTCAATGTGCACCAGGGTTCAAGGGCATGACTTGTGAGGAAGATGTGAATGAGTGTTTATCAGAACCCTGCCAGAATGGTGCCATTTGTATTGATGGAGTGGCAGAGTACCATTGTTTCTGTGTGCCAGGTTTTCAAGGACACAACTGTGAAATAGACATTAATGAGTGTGCTTCTCAGCCCTGTGAAAACAATGCTACCTGCATCAATGAGAAGGACCATTATGAATGTGAATGCATGGTAGGCTTCACAGGTAAGGTCCCACTATCACACACACCTGTATCCACTGTCTGGGTCAACATGTTTTTTAGAGTTGCTTTTTTTCTTGCTATAGTGTTGTGTTCAATATGCTTTGCACAATTAAGTGTGGCTGTTGAGACAGTCCATCCATCCATCCATCCATCCATCCATCCATCCATCCATCCATCCATCCATCCATCCATCCATCCATCCATCCATCCATCCATTCATCCATCCTCCATAGGTACTGTTGTACTGTTATACTCCATCCACTGACTACATTTGCCTTGCTGAAGTAAAAGCTGTGATGATTACAGTCTAAAAAAAACCCTCTAATGACTCCAATCTAAGAACTGAAATTAGGAATGCTGTTCTTAGAAACTGGTATTTGAGCTGCCTCATCGATTTCTGACTTGTTCTCAGTGTCTCCTCTCATCCATGGACTGTGGTTAAGTTCTAAGTATGAACAGTATATATTGTGCAGATTTACAAAGGTATTTTTATGTCCAATAGGAGTCAACTGTGAAACTGAGATAGATGAGTGCGACTCCCATCCCTGCCAAAATGGAGCCACTTGCCATGATTTAAATGGTATGTACTCTTGCGACTGCCTACCTGGGTTTGACGGCATCAACTGTGAGGTTGATATAGATGAGTGTGTCAGCCAGCCCTGTCAGAATGGAGCATTCTGCCATGACATGGTAAACAGGTAAGATAGCGCTGTAGAGATTTTTTACCCTACAGTAAAACATATTTCATTGATATTACATCCGTATCACACAATTGCATATTAGCCAATTATTTTCACAGAACCAGATCTAGTTTATGACTGGAAAAATATGACCCAACCAGCCTTTCACTATGCTATAGCCAGTCTGCTACAGCTGTTATTACAAAAACATCGACAGTGTGTATCAAAAGTAAAGCACATCACATACAATCACTACTGCACCAGAATTAACCAAAATGATGTCAAAAATTTTACAGCCATGGCGCAACAATGGCATTACATGGCAGTTTAGTCACCTCTGGCTCCCTATTTTTCAAAGTATTTTAGTATAAATTATTTTAAATCTCTGGTGAAGATTCTCTGTCAACTTGGTCATAGTCATCCCGAAAAGAATAAAAAACAATCCACTGGACTTTGTGTCCAAGTTTGAAGACGTTTCACTTCCAATCCAGGAAGCTTTTTCAATTCACAATCTACTGGATGTGAAGCGAAACGTCTTCAAACTTGGAAACAAAGTCCAGTGGATTGTTTTTTTTTTTACTCTTTTGGAATATTTGAAATCTCATTCAGTCATCAGTCAGTCCTATATGAAAAAATAAAACCAATATTATGATAGAAAATGAGCTTATTAGGTGTTGGAAGAGCAGATATTAACTCTGTATACATACCAGCACAGAATGCCATTCAGTCCACAGATTTAACCCACATGGCATGTTAAGGTGTGCTAATGATACATATATTTTTAGACCTTTGCTGTAATGATACTATTATAAGTTATAGGAGTGCTGATAGGAGTCCATTTTACACCAACATGCCTTTATTCATTTTGCAGTTTTCCTCTTCTCTATTGAACAGAATTTAGTGTTTGTATACTGAGATCAGGAAATGTTTTAAGGTCTCAGAATGTCGACTCTCTCCAGTCTAATCACCAGTTTTTGTCTTTTCCAGCTATGAATGTAACTGCAGTAACACTGGATTTGAGGGCAAGAACTGTGAAGTGGATATTGCTGAGTGTGCCTCTGATCCCTGTCAGCATGGTGCCACATGTCTAGAAGAAGTAAAAGGATATATGTGTCTCTGTTGGCCAGGTACTGAAAAACTCTCTGATCCTTCATCCATGACAGTGAAACTACAATGATCACTGTCCATTGTGGTAAAAAAGATTTTTGATTTTACAATACTGAAGGCACCTGGAAAATTGTGTTTTAAAGTATTGTATTGAATTTGAATTTTTTTTTTTATAAAAAAAGATGATTTTAAGCTGGCATCTCCTGTACGTAAGACTTTGTGTCTTAATGAGGGCATTTGGATCATAAGGTTTGGGGGGTGAGCTATTTCACTGATTTTGTGTTGATAAAACAAACTATCAACAAGAAAAATGCATCTGATCTGAGATTAGATGGAATAAATTCTGAGTTAAACTTCTTTTCAATGTGGAGGAGTTATGCAAAAGACTGTCGATTAGTGCACCATGAGATAAAAAGCTGGTAGTCGGTATGTAAAGGCTTAATTGGGTTCAAAAGTAAAAAGAATCAGAACTGTTGGGGTTGCAATTATGTATAGGATGAATTAATTTGTAAAAATTAGTAGATTATGAGTGATTTGGGTGTTAATTGGGATAAATATAGTTTATAAACAAGGAAAGAGAGGATGAAGGGGTGGAAGGGGAGTTGTAATGATAGAAGAGGAGTGTTGAGTGTAATAAAAATGATGGAGATGACTATAAAAAGAGGGGCTTAAAATGGATGTAATGGATGAGTGGGATATAAATTAATCAGAAAAGGGATTGGGGGATTTAGATACTCATTAAAAATGGAAAGGGAAGGGTTGCAAAGAAATATGAGAAAGACAGAACAGTGGAAATAAGAAGAAATAAGACCAGAGGTGACAAGTAACAAAGTACAAATACTATGTTAGATTACTTAAGTAGAAATTTTACTGGAGTCATTTTTTTTAGACAACTTTTTACTTGGATACAAAACATTTGAGGAGAAGATCCTTACATTTTAAAAATAGACTCGTTAGTTTTGTTTAATTTAAGCTCATTTTCATCATGGCCTTTAGTTATTTAAAAACAAATAAAATCCATCAAAATAATTTGTTTCATCCAGACAAAAAAATTAATTAATTGGACAATTAATTTCTCTTTTGTTGGAGTCGGTGCTGCCCCAACTTGTTGTTCGCCATATACCAAAATAGCTTTTCAAGATGATGAAAGTTAAATTTGACACTGTTACCATTAGTTATAAAACCAATAAAATGAAGTATAAGGAAGTTATCATCCAGAATTGTAGAAAAAAAAACCTTTAATAGAGTAGCGCAGTAAAGCGTCGGTCCTTAAAATGTTTTTCCTGCATTACTCTTCCTTTTATAATTTAAGCAGTTATATAAATGGTACTTTTACACTTTTACTTGAATAAAAAGCTTGACTTTTGTAAAAGTTGAGTCTAACTTTTACAAAAGTGTTTATAAACTGTAGAATTTAGGACTGAAACAATTAATCCGATTAATCGTGATTATTTGATTATTGAAATAATCATCAACTAATTTAGTAATCGATTAATAGAAGCTCTAAAACACATCTTTAGATGACAGAGCGACCCATAGCAGTAATTGTATCAAAATTGTAAAAAAAAAAAATATATAAACTTATTGCATTTAAGTTTTATTTATTTCTTTTTTTTATTGTTTGGAAATATGCTCTATCCAGAACTCCTCTAGTGGAAAAGTTTTAGTTTCACCCGGTTTGATATCTTAAAAAAAAAAACTTCTTTAAGGAAACTTTGGTTATCCGATTATTAATAAATTAATTAAAAAAATTATAATTAGATTAATCGATTTGGAAAATAATCGTTAGTTGCAGCCCTAGTAGAATTTATACTTCTACATGAGTGATAACTATTAATACTTCTAAATTAGACAGATGAGGGGAATAAATTGGGTTTATATTAAGAGGTGAGGAGAATGGGTAAAAGTTGTGAACATGGAGAAGACTGTGAAAAAACCTGTCAAAATCAAATATGGATGATCAAAGTCAGTTGTGTAAATATTGGAAGAGACATAAATTAATATGTGCTTTTTCTGTCTAGGTTATGAAGGACCTAACTGTGAAGTTGACATTGATGAGTGTGCTAAGCAGCCATGTCAGAACGGGGGGAAATGTTTGGAGCGCTCAGATCCGTCTCACTGGGAACTGGATTGGGAGCTCAGCTTTGCAGATGCAGCTGGGTATACCTGCCAGTGCCAAGGAGGGTTTGCAGGTTGGCAAATCTGAATGAGACAGTGGTGAAAGAATCTTTCATATTTAAATTCTAGTAAAAATGACTGATGTTTTTCTCTGTTTTCCAGGAGAGAACTGTTCCATAAATATAAATGAATGTGAATCTGAACCCTGTCAGAATGGAGGGAGCTGTGAGGATGAGGTCAATGGCTACACCTGTGTGTGTCCTGTTGGATTCTTAGGTAAAGTTTTAAATGACAAGAGCACTAGGGATGCGCCCCAAGGCCTGGATTAAAATATGCCTTTCATCACAGTATTAATCTAGCTGCTGTTTAAATGATAAATAATATAATAATAATTATAACTATTATCATAAAAATCTAATAAATAAATAAATAAAAAGAAAGAAAGAAAGAAGGTTTCTGGTGGCAGTTTGTTTGTGGTTGGCGTGAACGAAGGGAGGATCCATTACACTCACCTTCTCGCTCACCCTATTATGGGGATGAAGCCACGAGGAGAACTGACAGTTTCCTCCTGTGGACCCCCTTTATACTAAAATGCTGCCAATACGGCACTATACAGTAGCTGGAAGTTAGAAACAGAGATAAGTTCTTGATAAGTTACACATCAGTTACGCACAAGTTACTTATAGATTTAGGATAAGCTAGACGCCACGACTTATGAGTAACTTACAATTAACGTATGTCAATGATCAGATAACTTACCTGGAACTTATGGCCTACGTATTGAATTGTCGTATGTCGACGTGTGTCAGCGTGCTTCAGTGTGCTTCAACGTGCTTCAACGTGCTCATAAATTTGTAAAAAAATACCCATAACTTATCCAAAGTATGCCAGCATTTTTGCCAGATTTTTCGTATGTCAGACATAAGCTGGCTAAATCGTCAAGGTGTGACCGGGCCTTTACTGCCACCAGTGCAGAGCTAGCTCAACATCGCAGAAATTTCGTTGGTAGGAGGAGATGTTTGGACACTTTGAGAAGAGGAGAGGCAAATATGTGACATTTTTTCAACTAAAACTTCAGGGAAAGTTACATTTTCAGGATATCTGGGTTTTTTTTATTTCCAAAGAAAAAGTGAGTTTTATAATTGGCCCTGTCCTGTACTGAGGTTGTTTCTTAATTCAGCACTTCTGTGAACAAAGATCATATGTCCTGAAAATAAGTCCTGTGAGAAATAATTGTTACACCAATCTATGCAATTAGGTGATGGTTTGGAGATTTCCGGTCTGATGGTGCCCTGTGTCCTGAGATTAAGATAGTTTAAGTAGCTCTATGATCAGAACATTGACATTTTGGTACTTTGGTCAGAAAAAAATCAACAGATCAAACAAACTTTGATCAGTTCTAAACACAAGAATATAAATATAGCTGACCATCACTACGGACTTTGGGTGAAGTGTTGATATTCAGTATGTCAGCAAGTGTAAAAAGCTATAAGGAAAAAAGTAAAGTTTTGCATGAGCTAACCTTTATATCAATTAATAAAGTCCTTCAAAATAAATCAGATAACTCCACTTTTCCTTGGCATACAATGAAAAGGTGAATTTCGTCCATTAATGGGTGGTGGATTCCTTCTTCAAAACTAAATGATATGGAATTTGAACAGAACAGTAAGGTTAAAATTCATTGCTGTTTTTAAATATCTGGTTGTTGTTGTACCTGTTCAAGTTGCCATCTGCTGCTTCTTCTAACAGAGTTATCTTTTTCTACAGGTGAGCTGTGTGAATTGAACATTGATGAATGTGAGAGCCAGCCCTGTCAAAATGGTGGCTGGTGTGAAGATGGCAGAGCATCGTACATCTGCCATTGTCCTGAAGCCCCGCCTGGTCAGCTTCCATGGGGAGGGGATGACTGTGAGGTTAAACTCTATGGCTGTGTAGGCCACGAATGCCAGAATGGAGCCAGCTGTCTTCCGACGCTACAAGATGGAAGGCACAGCTACACTTGCTTGTGTCCGTATGGCTTCTATGATGAGCAATGCTCTACGAGAACAACATTCTCCCTTTCTACCCCTGGGTTCATTCATATCCAGGTTCCTCTCAAAGAAAAGGTCCGCAGGGAGGTGGAGCTTCGCTTTCGGACAACTTTACCCAGTATGTTGATTTTCTACAGAGGGGATCTGGATACTTATTTTCTCCTGGAAATTGTGAACGGTGGTCTCCATGCAAGAGCCTTTTCTGAGGAGTCTGAATTGGATGTAACATTTCCCGGACCTGTTAATGATGGAGACTGGAGGAATGTTCATGTGTTTCTGGATAATGGAGTTCTATTCTTGCTCCTTAAAGGTCCTAACTGTGACAAAGATGGATGCACAGTTACAGACGTTGGTGATGGGGAACCCCCTTTCCAGCCCTCTACAGCCTTTACTAATGTTTACATAGGGGGAGCACCAAAAGAGCTTTTGGAGCTCTCTTTAAGCCGTGCAGGATTCCTTGGATGTATTGAAGACCTTATTATTGACTCAAAACCTATTCTACCCCAAGCACTTCCAGAGGAGCAGTATTTTGAGTTGGGATGTCCCAAGACTGAATGGTGTAAACCTGACCCATGTAATGGGCATGGCCATTGTGTGGATCTGTGGACTGACTACCAGTGTGACTGTACCCGTCCCTTCCACGGGGACAGCTGCTCTGAAGGTAAGAATATGCTCCCACCTGGTTTCATCTTCTTCATTTTCTGTATGCTTTCTGCATTATTGTTGTCAAGGTTTGGTGGAAGTCAGCTGAGGACCCAAATGCAGAGATGAGGAGGCAGACATGGGGTCTTGCAGAGTTAATCAAAGAGGGTAACAGAAACAAAATACAATTATAAAATACAATAAACAAAAGAAGCAGCAGATGCCAGAGGAAAACAACATATGGAGAGCAAAGCAATGAAGAGAAACCAACACTGAGGAACTGCACAGAGAGAGTACATATGGAAGATGACAGAACAAAGTATGGAATAATCAGCTGACAGGGAGCAGGTGTGGATAGAAGCAGCTAGACGAGGGAAAAGAGACTGCCATAAGAGGGCAACAGAGAGCAACACAAAAAACACAACACTGCTTAAAAACAACTAGAAATCAACTACAATTGCACAAAATGGGAAAAAACAATTACCAAGAAAAAAGACTGACATAAATCTCAGAAATGTAAACTTAAATAGTCCACAAAGGGCAGGATCATGACAGTAGTTAAAGAATCAGCATGCTACAGCTACGAAGTCCCATACGCATTAATCTTTCCCTAGATGGTGATAAAAGGGTGTAAATTTCTCTATATTAGCTTCAATTTAGTATTGGCTTAAATTCTTGTTGATTTCACCTTATTAGAAACCCAACAAACAGTGGCAGCGGGAGTTATTTATTGGGAATTTATAGTATCATTGCTGCTTTTAACTCATTCTAAATAATCATGCAAATACCTGGTCTGTTTTTCAGTAATGTAGCCAGCTAAGGGTGGAGATCTAGTTTTCCCTGTTAAATGTTTGGGTTTTTAGAGTTTTTTGTTCATTTGGTAATCAGTTCACACAGACTGAGTGCATCCAGATTTGCCTAAAGAGATACACAGTTACAACTTTGAGATTGTAGTTGCAATGAAGTTAGGATCTAGTTAGCTCCGCATTACTCTGATGGAGAACAAGTGTATTTGGCTGACCAAAGAATCTACAAATACTTCCAAATTAAAAGATGGTGGTGGCTATTAGTACAGGTTGTTGCATATCTGCGTTCCTGGTGCTTCAAGCAGTCTAGAACTGCCAATTTGTCCATGACATGATAAATGCACTTCTAAACAGATCGGTCTTTTGAGAAGTTGATGAAGAACTGAATGTGATGGCTTCATGCTAAGCTAACCATTCCCAGACTGGGCTAGCACCTTTCAAAGTATTTTAGCAGTTTGGGATAATGAAAAACATGGTGTCAGCCTAATTTTTCAGCCATCATTTCTAAGCTGCCTTTTATTTCTAAATTAGTTTAAATTTATTTTCTTTTTTGAAGTGAAGTCCTATTTAGACAACTATCATTTATTGGATGTTTTTAATCCAGTTTTAAAAGTTTAAAATCAAAGCACAGAATCTGCTTCAGTGCATGTTTTTATTGACAGCCACAAATGGCTGAACGATTGTGGCATTGGTTTGAACGCGCAGGCACCAATCCAAGCTCGTACTGAGACAGGTATTCAGCCAGACAGGTTATGAGCATGCATGTGTGGTTTCGAGCACCCACATGTGATGTTTAAATGCTGAATACCAGTCTCACCGCGTGCTTGGATTGGTGCCTGTGCACTCAAACAAATGACACAATCGTTACGCCTTACCCATATGGCAAAAGATTCTTGTGAATATGTTATTCTTGCTCTTCTTGCCTTAATCACTTTAAAACAGCGGACCAAAATATTTTGTTCTTCCCTTTGCAGCACTGAGTATCTGTGGTACCAAATTAAACTGGTGTAGGTCTTTTCTAACAGACAGAACTGTATGTTAAAATAAACAATTTAGCTTCAAACTTGGGTTTTAAGATGAACAATGATGTTTTTGTTAGATACCCAGGTTATAACAAAGGTACAACAATAGACCTACAGTACCTTGAAGTCAGTCCTCTGATGACTGACAGGCATGCTTAGTGTGATGGATTGCCTTCGAGTCAATGAGTCTATGCAATCAGCTGGTTTTCCTTTGATAGAAAACTTTGAATCAATCTGACTGGATGATCTGGTGAACTGTAAAGTGCCTTGAGAGGACATGTGTTTTGAATTGACACTATATAAATACACTGAATTGAACTGAATTGATGGGCCAGAGTGCTGTCACTAGGCTTCTGAGGTAGTAAATGGAGCTCATCACCCCCACCATGGCTTTCCTCCACTGGCTGCCTGTGCATTTTAGAATCCAGTTTAAGATTCTGTTATTTGTTTTGAAAGTTAAAACGGTCCTGCCCCTCCTTACCTCTCCGAGCTGCTCCATACCTGAAACCAGCTGATGTTGTGGTCAGAGCATGTGAACAGAGCGTAGCACCACGCAGTTCCTGCTCCCCACTCAGGAAGACGTTCAATCATTCGCTCACTCATTATCGCACTGTTTCCCAGCTGTGAACGTAACACCTCGCATCAGAGCAAGCTGGAGCGGAGCGAAATCCTCACTCCGGCCTTTGATTTAAAAACCGCTCTGCGCTCCACCATCTTTCTTCTGCTCCTCCCCAACACTCGATCCACGCTCCGCTCACATGCTCTGTGTTGGGTGTAAGTGTTTAGAGCCACTTAATTCAGAGATATCATCACATACTATGGGATATTACACACTTTCTTTTGTCCCTGTTATAAAACTATGATCCAATAAACTGAAGAAAAAAAAGCATAAAGCAAATTTGGCAATTTAAACACTTATTTGGCACAATAGTGGACCAATTTCGTATAAAAAGACCTACAGCATCAACATACATTGTACTATCGATATATTTGGCCATGTTGTTATTTGTCACCATGTTACGAAAAACTAGACGGCCTGCACTTTAAAATACTTTCACCTGCAAGCTTTATGTTGTATAATTGCTTTTAATAGGCAATGCCAACTTTAGTGGACAAGCTAAAATCATACAGGTGGTGAAAAGTTAAAAACACCTTATTTTCCTGCGGTTTACACATTGCATTAAACTTATTTTGTTTACTCTGTTTTATTGTTTCTACTGTTATTTTAAGTGTGTGTTCTCATGGTTGTTATTTGCATTTTTATATTTCTATATATAAGAGTAACATGTTGTTGTCATGATTTTATTCAAAGATCTGACCCACATGCAGAAAACCAAACAGAGAGACCAGGGGAAGGTTTAACAAGTTTATTGAGAACTGGTAGAGATGGGTCCAGTGCTGCTCTGAACACTGGTGAACTGGGACTAAAAAAAGAAGGGGAAGTTCCTGTGGTTAGTTCAGGCTCAGTGGGAAATTTGAGCTTCGATTTGCAAAAGGGAATAAAGGCGACAGGACTCACTTTTCCAGAAAAGGTGTCTTTCTCTGAATCCAGTCGGTGAGGGTTGTTCCAGTAATTGACTTGCTCGTTGTAGGGCGGACAGGGTTTACCCAGGTTGAGGTGTTTCCTTTAGGAACGGAGGAGCTGACTGCCACTAAGATTTCCAATGGTACTTGAACGGTTTCTTGTGGAGGTGAATCCCTTGCTCAGTGTGAAGCTCAAACAATTCCTTGGGGAAAGGTAGATCCAAACCTCCAGTTTGAATCTCCAGCTCAGTTTGAAGCTCAGATGATCAGTCCAGGGAGAGAAGGTCCAAAACATCCAGTTTGCAGGATGACTTCCTGCCGAGAGGCAAAGACAAAAACAACAAGGTTAAGACTCAGGAAGACAAAAACTCAATTTGACTGAGCAAAACTCAGCTTGGCTAGAGTACCCAAAACTGGCAAACACTCTGGCGTGGAGGTAGTGGCAGTCAGCAGCTTAAGAGTCCTCAGGTAATGAGGCAACCATCCGCAGGTGTGTGTCGGAGGATCAACGAGAACCAGGCGCCGCCTGGTGGTGGAGGGAAAACAAACAAAAACACAACCCACACAGACTGGATTCCTAACAGTTGTCACCACCATGGTTGTTTTAAATGAGTAGGCTTTCAAAGATACTTTCTTGCATTGTGAGTAGCCACTGGGAGACAGAAGGATATACTTTCTTCTTTCAGATGAAAAAGTTTAAATAAGAGCACAAACAAGTTGGAATGTTACACATACATTATTAGCCTGGGCTTTAGAACCTCATATTAATTCCCTGACAGTGATTGTGGAAAATATGAGTCCATTATTATTACTTTTAAATGGCAAAGGACAAAAAGAGGCAAAAGATTTATCATGTTTTAACTGCTTATTCTCTTTACTAAATGCTGAGGTAATTCCTAAATGTGACATTTTATTGTCTTCCAACAGAATACTTTTCATGGACTTACAGCCACGAGGAAACAGTGAGTTTTAGTTCCTATGACATCAAAGACAGCCATGGAAGCAACTTCAGTGTCTCCTTTTTTCTGAAGTCCGTAAAGCCAGATGGGCTGATATTTCAGCTGAGAAGACCCTCTGCGGAAGATGAGGGGGAGGTCTACTTTTCAATCTACCTGAGGACGGGAAGGGTTTTTGTCAGCTCACTGCCTGACAGCTTCCCACTGACAGCTCCAGTGTTTGTAACCAATGGGCAGAAACAGTTTCTTTCTGTGGAAGTCAAACACACGTCTGTGATTTTTGATCACGCAGGTCTTAACTTTGGAATAGGAGAGATCCCTGAGGTGACGGTTTTGGGCGGAGACAAGGCGTATGTTGGAGGGCTTCCAGAGGGCTGGGACTCTGATAGGTGGGGGGGACATTTTAAAGGCTGCCTCCAGGACGTTCGTCTGGACTCCGCACATTTGGATCCGACTGGCTGGAGCCGCTCAGATGAAATAGTTTATGTATCAAATGAATCTGGAAATTGGACAGAGGGCTGCATTAGTGATGATACCTGCAAGGTAAGAAAAAGTTTTTTTTTTTATCTGCTAATTGACCATCAAAACTATTTCAAGCAACTTCATTTCTTTTATTCATAATTTTTTGTTTTAGTTAAATGTTCAAAGTCTCTGAAATCATGGCAATGAAGGCACAAGATCAAACCAACTAAAACGACTGTAAACTCACCATAGCTCCCAGACCATAATATCAGCTTGAGGATTTTTTTTATTTATTTAACCTTTATTTACCCAGGAAGTCCCTTGAGATTGAAATCTCTTTTTCGAGGGAGACCTGGCCAAGACGGCACACCAGTTAAAATACAAACAGAAATACAACATAGACAAAATCTCACATAGAGGAAAAGACAGGTCACATAGGGCAGTAACATTTTTGAATTACATGACATTTTAACATGGCCTTAAATTCATTCAATGGGACTAGATCATTTAAATGGAGCAAGTTTTGCAAATTATTCCAGGACCATGGAGCAAAGTAAGAGAAAGTTTTCTTCCCCAGCTCAGTAAAAACCACTGGAACCTGGTAAGAGCACCAACTGGTGGAACAGAGATGAAAATGGCTGAAATTTAGCTTGAGGAGATTACATAAATATGCCGGCAGTTTACCCAACATGGCCTTGTATAGAAAAATATACAAATGAAGTTGTCTACGTAGACTTAGTGACGGCCAGCCAACCAGTTCATACAGCGTACAATGATGAGTACGGGAATAGGAGTTAGTTAAGAAGCGCAAAGCACTATGGTACACAGAATCTAACAGGTGGAGAGTACTAGAGGCAGCATGCATGTAGACAACATCACCATAGTCCAAAACACTTAAAAAAGTAGCCTGCACAAGTGTTTTTCTGGCTGACATGTTAAAACAAGTTTTATTTCTAAAATAAAACCCCAGCCGTAGTTTCAGCTTTTTCAACATGAACTTTGAAAGAAAGTTTGTTGTCCAGCCAAAAACCTAAATACTTATATGAAGAAACATTTTCAATTAAGTCTCCATTTAATGTGTTGATAGTTATATTATCTGGGGATTGGGAACGAGCCCTTGAAAACGTCATAAATTTGGTTTTCTTAGTATTTAGCACTAACTTAAGCCCATGTACAGAAACTTGAAGCTGCTGAAAGGCCAACTGAAGGTCATGCATGCCTTGGTTCAGTGAAGAGGCAACTGAATAAATCACAGTGTCATCTGCATAAAGATGCAGTTTAGCAGGATTGCTGTTTTAATCCAACAGAAGCTTTTTTATTCTCACCACTACGTTTTAAACTTGGACTTTTTTCTGAATGTAGAAACCAAGAGAGAGGAGGAAACATTTTAGCCAAACAAAGAATAAAAACTATTACCTACCAGGAACTACCAACCAGGAAATCCTGGAACTTGCAGCAAATAAAATCTCCAAATGGTAAAGCCTTGTGTCCCGGTGTTCCTGCACACTGTACCTACACCCTAATCAGCGGTGAACTGGGCACAGCTACAGGAACTACTTGAGCTGCCTATTCACTGCATTTAGCTGAGTGATAGCATAATGCTAATCATTAAAATCAGATGCATCCTAGTATTTGTTTAATAATCATCGCCAGAATAAACATTTAGGAAACATTCAATGCATTCTAATTGTTTTAGGTATTTTCAATGTTGCTTCATTTATTTTTAAGAGTTTTTGAACCTTTAAATTAGTGTCTACAAGCTGTCAATTACAATAAGTCATTTAGATCCTGAAGCTGCAATACAGTCTCTGACCATGATACCACCAGCATCATGTTTGACAATCACAATTAAATTCTTTTCTGCTGTGTTGGTTTTGGGTGAACTAACTATGGTCCAAAAGGAGCATCAAGATGTTTATTATCAAATTCGAGACACGCTTATTTTACTCAGTAGTGGTTATGGGCAGTCCGTCTGCCTGTGAGGTCTGCAGAGCTCTAGATGTTTTTGGTTCCATCGTCTCCTCTAGGATGAGTTGATACCCTGTTGTTATAAACTTAGTTGGATGATCGGCTGCTCCCAGGAAGGTTAAATGTTTTCTCTGTATGTGGGATCTGGCTTCCACTTTGATTAAAGGTGAAGTTCACTTTTTAACACTTTAAGCCCATTTTCTGTTGTGTCCAGGATGAAATCGAATGATCGACACCAAAATTTTGACAATTGGTCCTGTCTCTGCTTTTTGGCTCATTTAGAATCCCCCCCTGGCTGCTTTAGAATGGCTTCCATAGAGCATGTCCGATAATGTCCTTAAAACAACCTTAAACGTTCTTTTTTTTAAATATGCTACTCACCGGGTCGTCAGCGCTGTTCAATGACGTTCCAAAAAAAGTTTTGTAAAGAAAAAACGTTCCTGTAGTGTTTTATTTAGCATTTTGTAAATCCCATCGAGTTCTGTAGGAATAGTCAATATTCCCCTGCCACCGGAAACGGAAATGGGGCCTGTTTACACAGTTGTAGTCTTTTCGCTTCACTCTGTGTACTCCGACGTCGAGGTGCTAACGTCTCTGTTAAACACTTTAAAAAACTCTGAAAATGGAATACGAAAGGTGGATTCTTGATTCTCGACGTAACATATTTTAAAAAAAGAACGTTTAAGGTTGTTTTAAGGACATTATCGGACATGCTCTATGGAAGCCATTCTAAAGCAGCCAGGGGGTGATTCTGCATGAGCCAAAAAGCAGAGACAGGACCAATTGTCAAAATTTTGGTGTCGATCATTCGATTGCATCCTGGACACTACAGAAAATGGGCTTAAAGTGTTAAAAAGTGAACTTCTCCTTTAATTGGAGTTTCACAATCTCAGAACTGTCTTTTTCTAGACAGAAATTGTATACTAAAAATACTAGAAACACATGACATTTCTACTTCAAACTGTCATGATGGGTTCTAGAGTTAAGCCCAAAATGCAGAACACACACGGAGAGACTGGGTGAAAGTTCAAAAGAGTTTATTGAAGCACAACATGAATGATGAAACTGGAACTGGTTCAGACAGAGGAGCAGGTTCACTGGAGATTATACTGGTACGGGAGATTGTAGGTTAGCTGAGTTCATGAGCAAGCTAAGCATCTAGCTTCATACTTAGCATGGCTGGCCTTGATCTGAGCTTCCAGCTCACTGCAGAGAACAACAGGGGATAAGCACAAAGGATTCTTCAGGCTGAGCTTCCAGCTCTTAGCAGGGAACAACGGGGGGAAGTCCACATAGGATTCTTGAAGCTGATTCCACATAGGAACCTCCAGGGAAACTCCACATAGAAGTCTTAGGTTACATCCACGTAGGAATCTTCGGGTTGGCTCACCAGGGCAGATTAGCAGGTTAGACTCTCCTAGAGCTTCAGGCTTGAGACTGGTTTCCTGTGATGCAGCTCTTCCAGAGCTTCAGACCAGAGACAGGGTTCCAGAGGGGCAGCTCTTCCTGAGCTTCAGACCAGAGACAGGTTTCCTGTGAGGCACAGGCAAAGGAGAGATTAGAATCTGATCTCACACTAGAGACAACCAAGATTCAATCAAAAACAGAGACTCTGGAAGCTAACCAACTAAGATCAACACTGCGGCGTGGAAGCAAGGTCAGGCAGGAGCTTATAAAGGAGAGGTCTTCTGATGAGAGGATTAGCAACAGGTGTGCAGGAAGATTCCAGCCCTAGGGGAAAATACACAGAACAGAAGAGGATCCTCGGCGCCCTCTGGTGGGCAAACCTGAGGATCCCAACACAAACAAAACACTTGGTTTAAATCAAAACTTTCATCTTTAAAAGAAAAATTAACATTTTTTTTTTTCAATAAAACTTATCTCACTTTAGCTGGAGGAGTGCCCTTTGAGATAAAAACAACACAACCTTACTACAGTCTATGAAGTTTTTCTGTTTATTACAGGAATATTATAATTTCGTTGTATGATCATCATTAGGACATATTCCTACAGCCCATCACCATGTTGAGCCCACCAGATGAACTCTCTGGTCACCCTTGAAATTATTTGAAAGTTATTCTGTATTTAAAAATAGCTCACCGTTCCCACATAATAAAAGCTGCTAAAATTATTTTTTAACCTATGGTATCTTTTGATCAAAATTATAAATTAAGTCACTTTTAGCTTATTATCATTATTGCGCAAAAAACTGTTCCACTGGCAAAAACCATCATATTAATTTAAACATGTTCATAGGACGTTAATCATTTTTCCTTACAGCTCATATTTTTATTTTCCTTTTACATGGTTTTGTTAGGATAATTATCATTGAAGATGTGTGAGTTTATCACACTGGAAAAAAATGAAATCTAGGTATGTCATTTTTTCTTAAAATAAGTTGTTCTTGAATTGAGGAGGAAAAAGAGACATTTTGCCAATGGAACAAGACAATTTACACTTAAAATAAGAAATCACAATTGCATTGTCTTATTTCAAGTCCATTTTTATCTAATTATCTTATTTTAAGAAAATAATGCTAATGCCATTGGCAAACTATCTTATTTTCCTACTCAAATTAAGGGTAAATACACTTAATTTAAGAAATCTGTACTTATTTCTAGATCGTTTTTCAGAGCACACCGTGGTATTGGCTGCCTGTTGCACGTCAGAACTGACGTTTTAATCTAATTAGGACATTTCCTCTGTCTGGATATACAGTTATAATGTTCATTTTGTACGTGGCAAAGATTGGAAATAGAATGAGAGCGGTGTCCTATTTTGATTAGGCTGGAGCCATGGATGTCTAATCATCTGCTGATGTGTCTGATGTAAAATATGATGATGTGTCAGACTGGAGTTGTATAAAATGCCTTTTTAACTGTTAATCAGGGTCACTTCCTGAGAGGTGAGCCCAGAGGTGAGCAGCTGCCATTCTGTAACCCTAAGCAATTTCTCTGATCTGAATAAGATTACCATTTCTATCAAAATCTGTTGTCATGTCTGCTGGTTATTTAATACATATAAGTTATGAGGTGTTATTTAAAGAGTTTGTCGGAGTGATCTCTTTTCAGGGAAAATAACCAGAGTTTAACGGTTTGCATTTTTTATATTGCTCTGTTTGTACTAAGTCATTATGCTTCCCTTTGCAGACCCAGCCTTGTCAGAACGGAGGAGAATGCTCCATAACCTTCAATGATTTTATCTGTTCCTGTCAAGAGGAATACACAGGAAAGACCTGCCAAACACGTGTTTGGTGTGTCAGCAATCCTTGTATCCATGGCGGCGTGTGTGTGGACCTTCCTGATGGATATGAATGTAAGCAATCTTACTAACCATCTAAATACTACTGACTTTACATTTCTGACTCCCTAGCTGCATTGAGTGGGTAAAAGATGAATGTGATCATCAGCTCATAAAACAGGATGAATTTCAAACCCCACCCCTATCTGTTTTTCCCCCTTGGGAAACTGTCCTCTCCTCAAACATGCAGACTAACCACTCGCCTCATGCATCATTTTATGTATCTTATAGTCACAGATAAAATGCTGTCAAAGCAAAAAGAAACACACAGTTTATTTATTTATTTTTAAACAGTGTCCTGTCTGGCGATGTGGCAATAAGAATCATTGTCTTGATGCCAAAAAAGGGTTCAACAGATTTTGCTTTCAGAAGTGGAGCAGTAGGGCTATCGCCATAGTGTTCCACTTGATTTATGCATATAAATTACTTTATTATAATTCATGCAGGGAGGATTACAGATTATATGGACACTGCAATATAAGTAGAACAGGAAATGAAAAACAGAAAAAAAGGAGAAAAGTTGAAAGAAAGAGGAGATAAAAGGGAGATAACAATAAAACAAGTCTACTTCATCACCTGCAAAGACATAAAAAGAACAGCACAACCAACAGATATAGTAGAAAAGATACAATAAAGTAACACCTTGATACCTTCGCTGAAATATACGTATACGTGGTATTATTCCATCTGACATGTATACTGTGGTAGCTGAAGATCAGAATATGGGCTTTCTGTATTGAAGTGAATCTCTAAGTAAATGGAACCAGGTACCTGTAGTTGAGCATGTAAAGTTCATCCAAGGGAAAAATGCTCAATAGCAGTTGTGAGGAGCCAACCGCTATTGAGCGGAGCACCGAGGTGAGTGCCAGGGCCGGGGGGCCCAAAGCACCAAAGGGATCTCAAGAGCAAAGGCGCCCAGGAGGGGCCAACCCAGGTGTGACCCCCCACCAAGGGAAGAGGAGAGATGGCCCAGAGGAAAACCTCCAGCCATCGAAATGCTCGATTCCCCAGGAGCCCCGGGGACAAATCCGCGGGCTCCGCCATCGGCCCCTCCCGGCGGGAGTCACAGAAAAAATGGAACTAAAGCAAAAACAAACACACAGCTTAACTGCTGTTGACATTTTAAAACATACAGTGAGGGAAATAACTATTTGGACAATATATGCTTCTCCAAGTTCTCCCACTTAGAAATCATGAAGGGGTCTCAAAGTGTCATCGTAGGTGCATGTCCACTGTGAGAGACAAAATCTAAAAAAAGAATCCAGAAATCACAATGTATGGTTTTTTTTAACTATTCATTTTTATGATATAGCTGAAAAAACAATTATTTGAACAGAGAAAATGAGAAAATCAATGTTAATATTTGGAACAGTAACCTTGGTTTGCAATTACAGAAGTCAAATGTTTGAGCTCCCTGGAGACTGGCTAAGCCAGGCCAGAACATTGATCTGCTTCTTTCAGAGTCTCTCCTTGCTGTCAGCTTCGGGTCATTGTCATGTTGGAAGACCCAGCCTCGACCCATCTTCACTGTTCTAACTGAGAGAAGGAGGTTGTTCCCCAAAATCTGGCAATACATCGCCCCAACCATTCTCTCTTTAATACAATGCAGAAAACCACCCCCAAAGTATGATGCTACCACCCCCATGCTTTACAGTAGGGATGGTGTTTTTCCACCAAACATGGTTAGTGGAATAATCACCAAAAAGTTCTATTTTAGTCTCATCTGACAACATGACTTTCTCCTGTGACTCCTCTGGATCAACCAAATGGTCATTGGCAAATTAAGACAGGCCTTTATGTTACATGTGCTGTTTGAAGCAGGCGATCCTCTTGTGCCATGCATGGTTTCAATCCATGATGTGTTATTCTAAGTTCAGACGACAAGCGCTAGAAGCAGCAAAAAAGCTTCTGCTGTTTAATTTTTGACGCAGGTTCACATTAAGGTGTGATGCGCCACAAGTGCATCTTTGATGCTCCTAAAGTGCGTCCAGTAATGTGTGTCCAGATGCATCTGATGCTTCTGCTGCTCCTGTGTTCAGTTGCAGAGAGTGGATTTGCTATATTTGCTGTGATCAGTTTGTAAAAAGAAGTTTTAATATGTTTTTAAGTGAGAAAGTCCACCTGAAAACTTCATCTGTTCAGTCAGTTCATCAAGATTATCATCCTGCCTTCAAATTCTATTTTGCTTTCGGAGCCGCTTAGACCCCCGTACATGTGCTCTGTCACTGGGAATCCGGTTTAATGGCAGCCTCTGACCCGGTTGCCTCTTGTGGAATTTCCGCTACTGTTAGTGGCCGCTGGAAGCTGTTTTTCCACGTACTTAATCCAAACTGCAGGCACCAGAATAATAAAATCTAACATATTTTGCTGGCAGATTTCACGGTTTTAAGTTAATGTAGGTGTTAATAAACTGTTTCAGAGGAGTAATCATAGCAATCTGCATCAGCAGTGCTGTCTTTTTCTCTGCCAGCTCCCAGATCAGCTTCACTGATTGGTTGATGATGTAGATATAGTGACGTAATATCACAATGTTTTGTTGTTTTTTTTTATCACTGCTGCTTACCTTATCATGGCTGCACTTCAAAAACTGTCTAGAGTGCTCTTTTTCTTTACACTTGTGTATACAAAATGACAAAATAAATCGGTCTTAGTTTAAGTCTCTAAGTCTATAAAAAGTGCTATATAAGTACAGGCTTTTTACCATTACCACAACTCAATCTTTGTCCTTTGGCCATTAATTCTACCCCCAGTGTTCTGTCAGATTAGCATACCAACAGTCAATGCGCAAACATAAGATTTGAGTTCATCCCTTTAGCTTTGTACAAAAAATAGACTTTAAACTACTTCAACAGTGTCTATCGCTTTAGTCATGTACAAAAAAATACATTTCTGAAGCCATAGGCTTCAAAAAACACCAAAAACTAAGTAATCAATTAGTTATTTTCTACATCACTAAAAGGATGCGTGCGTGCTGAGGCAGTTTGAAATCTTTTCTTCGTACTAAAATAAAGGGATAAACTAAAGAGATAAACCAAAGGGATAGACAGGTATTGACTATGGGTATGCTTGTCTGACCGGGAATGCTCATCCGACAGAGACATCGGTCTCTCTCTGCTGTCTTAGACATGCAATGGGTTCATAACTATAGAGTAGTGGTCCATCACATATGTAGGTATAAACATTTCAAGTCTTTTTGTTGTCTGAAACAGCATTGGAATCCATTGTTTACTGCTGTAAAGCTGAATGGACTCATCTGCGTTACTTCACTTGGTGCCCTTTTTTAGATGCTGATGTAAAACTGTCCACAAAAACAACCCATAAATAGTTTATATATTAGTTCATTCAATTTAAAAATGACACACATGCAACTTAAATATCCGACAGGGATGCTGCTGAGGCTGGTTACTGTGCAAATCATTTGTCCTCATTACCAGACATATATTTATTTCCTATTATATAAGTGGAGTAATCACTTAAGAAAAGGGGAGTAGGGCTAAAACAAATACATTAATAATGCATATATAATATACAATTTAAAACACAAGAGCTAAATTAAATATAATATATCAGAAATACGTACAAAAATTTTTTTAAAACACAACAAACAACCCAAAAAGAAGCAGCTGCAAGTGTCTGTGAACAAGGACGATATAATTGTTATGAAGGATGCAATTGAAATTAGTCTATGCAGTTTAAGAATATTTTGCAGAGCGTTCCAGTTATAGAGGGCAGCAGATTTATAAGAAGCAAGACCAAAAGTAATGTTGGTTTTGGGTTAAGTAATTCTAGATGAAGTGAGGAGTGACAGGTTTTAGCTGCTCCAAGGTGACGTAAATACAGAGATGGGAAGTAACGAAGTACAAATACTTCGTTACTGTACTCAAGTAGATTTTTCTGATATTTTTACTTTACTTTACTACTTATTTTTATGGCGACTTTTTACTTCTACTCCTTACATTTTTACACAAATATCTGTACTTTCTACTCCTTACATTTTAAAAAATTGGCTCGTTACTTTAGTGTCGTATCATTTCAATGGAGTTACCGTTATTATTTTTCACGTCATCAATACCAAATTCAATCTAATTGGATGGGAATCTAAGTTGCATTTGACGCACCACTACAAGATGAATCGACAGATTCGGCGGTATTCATTAGCGGCAAATCATTGCAGCTTGGTGGCGGTGGCGTTAGCATAGTAGCATGGACGACGAGATGATTGAAAATGAACACAACGGAGATCTAGTCCTATTGGCAGACATCCATTTAAAATGTAGGCACCGGCATGAAAAAAGTGGTTTCTACTTTTACTTTTATACTTGAAGTAAATTTACAAGCCTGTACTTTGTTACTTTTACTTGAGTAAAGAATTTTAATCAGTACTTCCACCTTTACCAGAGTATTTTTTAACACAAGTATCTGTACTTTTACTCAACTACGGAAAGTGAGTACTTTCACCATCTCTGCGTAAATAAGGTGGTGAGTGTCTTGTATATAAAGATGAAACAGTGAATTCTGCGTCGATTGTGATTTATACATGTCATGACGTAGCAAAGCTCTGTGAATTCCACCTCACTGTTCTTGGTAAACACACATTGGGTGTGTTCGATTTCAGAGGCTGCATACTCCAAGGACCCGCTCTACTTGGACCGGGTCTTTGAAGGTCCATTAGGAGGTCAGAAGAGTTTTGTCTATGGATTCAAACACGTCCAGCCTTCTCCATCTTTCACCACTCATATGCTCTGTCGCCTCGCAACCGTGACAGTTGGCACACAAATTAGGCAAAGAATGAAAACCAAACTTCTCACTACTGTGCTGTGTTTAATCTACATTTTCAAAGAGCTTCAGCAGCAGCCCTGTCTTTGGAAATATCCAATTTATGGTCCCTACACTGCAGAGATATTAGAATCTCTGCTTAAATGTCAGCCAAACCCATTGGTTGAGTCACACAAGAAAGCGTCTTCCAATCAGAACAGGCTTCAGCACCACGCTATCACATAATCGGCCTACGAATCAGGCCTTCAGAGGATGCAGCCGCTGAATTTGAACTCAGCTGTTATTCAGAGGTAAAGCAAATAGAAATTATTGCAAACATTGCATTGCAAGCAATACTTTGGGCTTAGAATTTTTTATTTTATTTTATTCCTACTTGCTTTGATTCTGTTTTATTTTCCTATATTTGAATCATGTAAAGCACTTTTGTTGTCTTTGTACTGAATTGTGCTATACAAATAAATTTGCCTTGCCTTGCCTTGCCTTGTCTTAAGTATAGTTTAAGAATATAGCGTCAAGTTGAATGAATTACTTTATTTGGTAACAAGTAATCAAATGAAGTTTGCCGAACTTAATTAATTTGCTTTGGTTTACCTTCTTAGATTATAAATAAGATAAATTAGGCTTGATAAGCTTAATTCAGTCACTTATTAATTAGGCGATTGATTACAGAATAACTTGATGTATTTTCCCCTTAGATTTGAAAATAGTTGTGAAAAAGGAAGTCTGATAATCTGTGTTTAAAGTGACCTATGTGATTAATTAAATATCCCGTGTTGCTCATTTTAATAACCAAACAGGTTTAATACTGTTTTGTATTTAGTTATTCAGTAATTCTGTGCTAATCCTGCTCCAATCAGATTTTGCCTATATGTGCTTAAAAGCAAATCAAGTGAGAGATCATGCTCTGATTTTTTCTTCTGTACGCTGATGTGCAGCACATTGATGGTACCTCCATCTACTGGTGGAATATGCTTAATTCACTTTACTATTCCATTTTTTTCCTAAACAGTGGAAATTTTATTTTATTTTTTTTAAATGAAGTAGGACTTCGATTTTGGCATAATTTTGAGAAGAAGCAATATTTATTAAATCTGCCATTTGTTTAACCTGAACTGAGCTGTGAGTAATGTTAGAGGGGAAGGCTGGTTCAGTTTTCTATCCTCAGTAACATTCAGGAAAGCTTAATGATTTACTTTTCATTTGACAGATTATAAATAAACAAATGTTTTCCCTTTTCTATTGATAGGTTTGCATAACGCCACATTTCAAGGCAACCCTGTGCAGTACAGTGCCGGAGGCTCCCTAGCCGAACCTGTCTCTAACATTTACATGGAGCTGCGGACCCGATCAGAGAATGCGGTGCTCCTGAGGGCCTCTTGGGGATCCAACCTGCTGATGCTGGGCATCTTGGATTTCTCAGTTTGGGTGGAAATCCAGACAGACAGTAGCATGAAGGCGCTGACCTTAAAAGGGATTCTTCCTGTGGCTGATGGCCGCTGGCAGCGCATCAACATCTCCATGGCTGACTGGAGACGGAAGGCCTCCCCCTGGATCATCACTTTGAATGGAGTCACTGATGTCACCAGCAAACAGGACCGTGCAGGAAGTCTGAGTTTCCTCAATAAGAAGGGGGCCATGCTCACTGTTGCAGACAGCTTCACCGGATGTTTGGGTGCAGTGAGGCTCGGAGGCGTCTATCTCCCCTTCGTGGACGACCATAAAGCTCCGCAGCCCTCACAGTTTCACCTGCTTGGAAAACCAAAAGTCCATCTGGGGTGCAGCAGTGCGCCCGTTTGTGAATCTGGTCCCTGTCTAAACGGAGCCACATGTGAAGACTTATTCAATAAATTTGGTTGTGTGTGTGACACTGGCTGGGAAGGAGAACGATGTGAGATGGACACTGATGACTGTGCATCTCAGCCCTGTGTTTATGGCAGCTGTAAGGACTATTTAGGCAGCTTTGAGTGCCACTGTGACCCTGGATATGCTGGCACACTGTGTGATGAAGATATTGATGAGTGTGAGCTTTCCCCCTGTGAACATGGAGGGACTTGCCTGGATGGTGTCAACATGTACACCTGCATGTGCCCCAAAGACTACAGGGGCCCTCGCTGTCAGTGAGTTCTCCCTTTATTAATTTTGTGAGTGACCCGTGTTTATTGACATAAATAACATGAGAACAAGATGAGCAAAACGTTGCAGAAACAAAATATCTTGCTGACTCTTTCTGTCCCACATCTGAGCTGTTTTTACAAAATGTAGACATTACCTATCGTTTAAAAAAAAAAAACAGTAGATTTTGCATAAAAATATCCAAAATGCAAAGTAGTTTCTCCTGCAGTCGTAGCCTTTCAAAATGTCCCCACTTTCCTTGCTGGGCCCTTGATGGTCCCCTAAGTTTCCTTATTTAAACATCAATCTTTGTACTAAAATATTCTTTCTGTCATGATTTTTTGGACATTAAGATCTAAAAAGAAGTGTTGTCTCTTGGTCAGACCCTGTAATTCAGTGAAAGGGTGGAGTCATAATAAAAAAATATGCATACCCAGGAGGAGGAGGGGGTCACTTCAGTGGTTGGAAGTTAGCTGCCGTTTGGCTGAAGTTTGACTGGGAAGGGTGCAGTAGCAGCCATTTTTGAATGGCTGCTACCGTATGTCCAAACTGATTTGGCTTAAGTTTTGGCTGTGAGGAATTAGCAAGGTTACTGATAAAACAAATCTACCATACAATACATTCAAAGTATTGATCAAGTTTTGCATTTAAAAAAAAAATCCTTTCCTTGTCCTTTCTTTTAGGTGGGACTATCCTCCGTTACAGTGCAAAACAGATGTCCAGTGTGAAAATGATGGAATCTGCAGAGACGGGCTGTGGGGAGCTAACTGTACCTGCATGGCGGGTTTCACAGGCAGCAGGTATCACAATCTTTAATTAAAAGGATCCTTTTAACAGATATCTGAGGAAGGCTTTTAGGGATATTTCTATTCCGATAGCTCTGGGAACTTGCAAATTCAGTCAAACACAAACGGGGGAAAAAGCTGTTCAATTTTCACATTATTTAGGTATCTCCTAAAAAAAAAGGAGTAAAAGGCCAAGTCAATTTTATCTATTAAGTACTTTAGAAATAGCAGGGATTGACAACAAGAATTATTTTAAACCAATAAATTGGATATATGGATAAAAACAAAGAAATACAAAAATGAGAGCAACAACAAAATAAGACATAGAAAAGCTAAAATATCAGGATGAAATGATCAACATTATACATGTGAAAGAGAAAAGGTCCAACACCTTACTAGGAGAGGGGTGGGTGACAAGAGAAACATAATTTACTTCTGTTCATTCTCCGTTCTTTAAATTGATTGCTTTAAAACCTCCCTCCCACGCTTATTCAGACATCACTTTCTCAATTTAAAGGAAAGGTCGAGTCAGCAAGGAATAATCAAAGGATCATTATCTATATATAATATATATAAAAATATACATAAAACTAATACATTTGCTGTGATTTAATGAATTTGGTAAAACAATAAAAACAATCATTTTCGTTAAAAATATATTTTAATATAATATCATTTCCGAGCTGGAGAGCGGACATTTTTGCCCAAATCTAGTAACCCCTCCCTCCTGCCATCTTCCAGCAGTGACGTCACGGTGCGGTAAGCCTAGCGCCATTCTCCCCGATTTACAAGCAAAATCAATGGGAACTACTAGACAATCAACAACAATTATTGAAGATTTCCAGAGGACTTCACCATTGAAATTCACCAGAGCTATAGTGAAACTGACAATGCCCACGTGCATGGCAGCTGGATCTTCTGGCCAGAGAAAAAACACGTAATATGTAGCCAACATTTGGAAGAAGAATGTTTTCAAGATGACTTGGATAATAGCGCGTTGTGACAAACACCAGATACAGCACTGGGACTTGATCAACAGCCGATACCGCACCGTGACGTCACTAACCAGTAGGTGGCAGTAGTGTTCTTTGACAAACATGGATGCCTCCAGTAAAGCACATTTAAATGAAAATTACTCTAAATTAAAAACACTGATCAAGTACTTTCAGAAGTTTGTATTCTGAATATGATCGAACTTTTCCTTTAAAATGAAATAAAAAAAACAGCTCTTTCTGAGAAAAAAGTTTCCAACTCTGAAAACAATTACCCGGGCTTTTTTCAAGTGCAAATTATGTCTGAAATGGGAAAAACAAATTAACTAAGGGGACACGCTGAACTGTAAAAGTTGGTTTTATGACAAAGTTTCTTAATTATTCAAGCGAAACTCTCTGACATGGTTTAGGTGCTACCATTGAGACGCTACGTAAAGTTCCACTTATTCCAACAGTTTTTGACACAGACCCACTTCCAATCAGTTATCATGATACATATGCTTAAAATAAGAAACAAACTGAAACAACCGTTTTAAAGTTTGCTGAAAAAGTGCATATTAGAACTAATAAAAATAATGTGTCTAGAGCCCAAGGCTCTTTTTAAAACTGGATCACATGTGACGTTATTGATTAATGTTTTTTGTCTTAAGTCCAATAAATCCAGACACAGCTATCTGTGCACTTGCTTAGTGCCTCTAGTCCAGTTAGACAACAAATGATATTCCATCATTGCAGCTTTAAAATCAAGGTTTGGTCCATTTAAATACAACATTATGGCTCCTAGGATGTAAACAGAAAGCAGTGACACAATCTACAAAACACTTTTATCCTGGCTCACATGGTCCTTCATATTCTAGGTGCCAGGTGGTCATTGTTCTAGCAGACTCAAATGCTCCTGTCTTCACATATTCCTTATCTCTTTAAATCCAATATAGAGAACGTCTAAAACATGTTTAAATGCTGGAGGTACTTTAAGCTTGGGGAATTACAGGGTTACCTGCCTTTTACATGACATCATGTTTTCTTCTTTTAGGTGTGAAACAGAGATTGATGAATGTAACTCTAACCCCTGTCAGAATGGGGGCTCCTGTTTGGATCGGTTCAACATGTTTGTCTGTGAATGCCCACCTGGATACAGCGGCCCAGTTTGTGACGTCAACGTATGTTTGTTTTATCTGTACTGTCTAATGATATTTGGATTTTTATAACATAGTTTTATTAAGCTGATCATATAAACTAAGAATATTATTGCTTCAGCAATAAGGCATAATGTTGTTTTCTGTCCATTTGCAGAAGGAGGCCAATAAACAGGGAGTCTCCTGGCTGATGGTTGTTATTCCACTGCTCTGTCTATGCGTGGTGGTCCTGATCATTGGTTTGACCTTTATGCTGCTCACAGCAAGGAAGAAGCGCCAGTCAGAGGGGGCTTACAGCCCCAGTGCTCAGGAACTGGCCGGAGCCCGGCTGGAAATGGACAGTATGCTCAAAGTCCCACCAGAGGAACGACTCATTTGACTCCAGGCTGCTGGATGAAAGCAGTTAGATGTTATCGAGGTGCTGCGGTATCAACTGACTATTTAAATGCCTTTATAAGGCAATGTATGTGGATGCCAACACTTACTAATCCTAAAAACTTTGCTTATTTACCAACCTTTTACTAGTTGTCTACAGACAGCTGGTGGAATGCATGTTCTCAGCACCTCAGCCTTGGAGGTCTGATCCTGCATCTAAGGATTACAGCATGGACTGTACACTGGATTTAAGACTTAAATCTCCAGCTTTATACCCAGAAGTTTAAAAAAAAAATTCTAATTAGTGTACAGTGCCTTGCAAAGGTATTAATACCCAGCGGTCTTTATGGAAAAGTCATTCAAAAAACGCTGCTCTTTAAATGGACATCACAAGAATTTCTGTTTTCATTTTGCAGGAAACAATGGGGGAGGGCTCGTTCATAATCTGAACAAAATTAAACAAATTAATTACATTTACAACCAAAGGTAAACTGATGTAAAATACCTCTAGAGACACTTTACAGCCAATTTAATCAAATCATACAGAAAATATCATGAAAAGTTTAGGAAAACAAATAAAACCCTAAAAAAAAACTGCATTGAGTGTTTGACTTTGCAGAATTTCCTCCTGAATGACCTTGGGGCAACAGTGGACGGTTGTTTCAATGTTTTCCTGACTTTGCAGCAACAGTGGAGAGGAAAACTCTCCTTTAACAGGAAGAAAGCTCCAGCAGAACCAAGCTCAGTGGCAGCAGACCACTACCAACAACCAACTGCAGTGAGCAGACAAACTAAAGAAACATAGAAGCACTAATCTAGGAATGTTTTCTATCTGGGAGAAAAATAAAAGTTTAGTTACAGAAATAGCTCCTGAAATGTCTTTACCTGGGAAAGAAACAGAGCTCAGTGGATTAGCTCTGAGCCAGTATTCATCTAGAAGACTAAAGAAACCACACATTTGGTCCTACTAAAGCTCAGGCAAATGGACAAATGGATCATCTATACAGCAGGAGAATATGAAGTCCACAGCTAGTTATAACTACTGCTACCTGCCCTCAGGTGATGAGTAACAGCTGAAAAAAACATGATATAGCTATATGAGGAAAGTGAGAAAAAAGCAGCAGTCACTAATTTCATGGTGAGATCTGGCAAACATATAGAGGTCCATAAATGTGGTGCTTAAAGTAGACAGAGCACTTCACATGCCTGCAACAAAACAACAGGATGGTTTCACAGCCAAACAGAAGCAGACCAGATGAAGTTACTATGATGAGAAAAAGTAGAGAGAGAATAACATCAGAGGTTGAACTAACAAATGCTGCAGAATAGAGATTGAATGAAACAGAGTAATGAAAAGGGGTCCCTATGTCCTCCAGCAGTCTAAGCCTATAGCAGCATAACTATAGAGATAGCTCAGGATAACCTGAGCCACTCTAACTAGAAGCTTTATCAAAAAGGAAAGTTTTAAGCCTAGCCTTAAAAGTCGACAGGGTGTCTGCCTCATGAACTAAAAATTGTAGTTGCTTCCACAGGTTGTTTACATGACAGATTTCAAAGGTGGCAATAAGAGAGGCAGTGTAAAGAGTTTAGAACAGATCAAATAACTATGGATCTAACGCAAAAAACAGAAATTAATTCAGCAACCAGCTATTGAAGTTTTAAATGTAATTTTAAACAGTTCTGTCAGGACATAATAAAGGACATCATTACATCATTGCTCCTTTACAGTTACAATCTTAACTGTCACAGTAACAGACAAGCACTGTTGCATTATGGGCCCTACCTTTCTGTGATTTGTCCAGTTTGGTTTAAAACTGAGAGTATTGAGAATAAGTTACTCCACGTGTAAAGGGTGTTTGGTTGGCCTGAATATCATGCCAGGAAATATAGTAGGGTCAGAGGTACGTGACAGTCCTGGAAGAAAAATTATCCTTTATATGCCAGTTTTGAAATTGTGCCACTGGTGCTAGAGCTACATAGCGCTGGCTTACCTCAAATCATAGCCATTTGTTTGAATCCCTCAATAACAGGCAGGAACTGAATCTATGTGATGCACAATAAAAATACAATAGGAATGGGACCAAATGTTCTAAGTTGTTGAGGTGTACCCCAGAAAAATTCAAATTCTCTGCTCAGGGTTGTTCTATGTTGTTAAGTGAAGTTGTTTTTCTTTTCTTTTCTTTTTTTTCTTTACCTTATTTTTTCAACTTCTCATCAATGCTGTTTTAAAACCTCTGTTTCACATTAAGCACTTCAGACATACCTTGATCAGCAGCACTTTGTATAAACCCTTTAAAATGTCATGTTTGTACTGGATGGTTATTTGCAGCAAAATTGAATCAATCGGATTAGAGTGATTCTATTTATACAGCGTGAATCAGAACTCATTAATATGTTTCAGTTCAAATTCTGTACAAATCAGATAAATATATCTGAATATTCCAGTTTAATCTAATAGTCAAATTAGCTCCAAATACTATTACAGAGGTTCTGTATTTAAACAAAGCCCATCCAATGGCATTGAGAGGTTGGTTTTTACAGCAACCCATCAAAATAGAGAAAGCATGTTGAGTTAAGGAAGTACTGTAAGTTATCGTGCAAAACAGAGACCTTTTTTTATTCTCTAATTTCAGGGTTTCAATCTACTATTGTGGTAAACCTACCAGTAGAAAACTATGACAAAGACTTAAGTAAACACCTACTCATATCTTGGTTTATTGTGTAATTTTTAATGCTACTAATGATCTAATATTTATAAATACAGACCAGTTAACATTTTGAGTTGAAAAGCAATTGCTTTTTTCTTATTCACTTTTTGTCTGTTGAAAGCAGCCATGAACTGAACCGAAGTTGTTTGAGCACGAAAGAGTAGAACTGAATGAGAAAACTGAATGAGAAAACCAATGACACTTATAGCCGTAAAAATCATCTCCAACAGAAGAAACATCACCGTTGGTCTCCAGAATTCTATAAGAATGCAGGATGCGACTACAAGCGACCGAAATTAGTTTCCTTTGCAGAGTGGCTGTGGAGTAGAGTTGTTGCTCCTTTTCCACGTCAAAAGGAGCCAGCTGATGTGACTCGGGCATCTGATGCCTCCTGGTCGCCTCCCTCTGGAGGTGTTCCAGGCATGTCCTATTGGGAGGAGGCCTTGTGGAAGGCCCAGGACACGCTGGAGGGACAATGTCCCTGAGCTGGCCTGGTGTCGTCCCAGGGTCCCTCCAGAGCAGCTGGAAGAGGTGTGTGTGGATTGGGAAGTGTGGGCATTTCTGCTTAAAATGCTGCCTCAGCGACCCGGCCCTGAATAAAGCGGAAGAAAATAGATGGAAAAATGTCGGACAGTATTAACCGGCCAAAACACGAACTGTCTTTCTAGTCTTTGCCTCACCTAACATCTTGATGGCCATCACACCTAAGCTATAAGAAAGTTTGCAAAGCTTCCAGGGCACACAGCATTGCATGCAGACATGCTTGGTCTTCTGTTTGCAAGCAGTATCATTACATATGTTTGCATTTTTTTTACCTCTTTAAGTTGGGGTTAGGTACGGTCAGGTGCTCTGTGCCCATCATCCGCAGCTTCTTGATCTGGCAGACCCTTCCTCTGTATCCTGGCCTTCATCACCCTCACTTTCTTTATCCTAATTGTCTGTATCTCCATCACCATCATCATCATCATTTCTGTTCTTCTCTGCCAGCCTCTCATCATAACTGTTGGCACTACACTCTCTGTCCTCATGACAACTGGAGCTGGATCTTAAACTATTCTCTAGGCTGCCCTATTCTTTGATGTGTTAGAAGTTTGCAATATACATAATTGGTATAGTTACAGAATCTACAACTAATTTACACAAAAAGTACTAAAATGTAGATTATAAGTGAATGGCCTGTCTGTGTAAGAGTAAAACAATCATAAGCCACAGAAAAGTGATACCTTCTGTTGAAAAATTACAATGGGTGATGCATGACGTCCACTTCATTGGACACATGGTTAATCGTAACTTTATACATATTGGATAATACATACTGTTGGCCTTGGATTGGATGCATACTGTTGGGCTTTCTGGATTCAGAAGACATTTACTTGCAGTATCTGACCACTGAATTGAACTCAATGGAGTGTGGCAGCAGAGAGCATTTTAAACACTCATGGAATTTCATTAGAGAAATCAATGCATTAAAGAGATATTTACTTTTTTTTAGCTGTCCACTACATTGACCCCTTCAGAGGGTTAGGGGGTATCTTATTTTTAATTGAAACAAATTAATATGTATTTGTAAACATATTCTATAAAGAATCCCATAAAAATGGACGGTTCAACAGAGTTATGGCTCTGGATGAGTTTAGCAACTGCATTAAAAAGATATATAGGATTATTCTTATTCTCCTCAATTAAGGAGGACAAATATGCTGCTCTTGTGGTGTCAAGTCTGACATAGAGGAAAAATTGCAAACCTTCTTTTGGAAAGTACCGTAAGCTTGTATGAGCAATGCAAACAGCAAATTTTAAACAGTGTGCGTGAGGAGAAATGTGCTTGTGCACGCTCTCGCCCGCATTTAACAGGCGTTCCCCCTAGGAAGCGGGTACAGGGTTCTGCATGTGCATTTTTTTTGTGGAGAGGGTTGGTATTTTCAAAAATTTGTGAAAATCCTCCACTATACCTTTAAATTATGAATCAAAAGTTCCATCAAACAGCTGATGATACAAAAGTGGGAGATGACCCATGAGGTCAAAAATGAACACAGAAAAAACAGAAAGAAGTGTTTGTAAAGGAAGCAACATACATTAAGTGTAAAGTCCACTATAATTTCAATAACTCAAAAAGCAGAACCTCAAATCTAAAGCACGTCATTAATGTCTGTTCTGTACATGCGTCTTGTGGGTAGTAAGGGTCAGGTTGGGTGGCGTGTAGAAAAAAAGCTGGTTATGCAGCAGGTTACCATGACAGAGTGCATGAGGAAAGCTCCAAACTCATCCATTCTGGGAGAAGGTTCCAGTTGATTTTTTATTGCCTTTTCGTGTGGATGGGACGCCCTATCTGACCAAGATATGCATGCACCCCCCAACCAGGCTTCTTCTGGGCGTTTATATATCAGACATCTTACACTAAATGTAATGATCTCCAAGGTCAGTGAGACACAAAATATCAGCAGCGATGCTTTGCAGACACTTTATTACACAAATACAACAGTTACTGAAAATAGCACTCTTGTACTTAAACAACTGTAGGCTATATGGTAGGCCATATGTGACAGCGTAGCTTAATATCTATGGCATGCGGTAAGGAAAGCCTTTAAAAAGTCATAGCAAACTATGAGCAGTGGCAGAAAAAAACAGTTTAAAAATAACAACTAAAAACAAACAACACATAACCTGGTGATACAGAAAGCAACTGAGTGGCCTGAGCATATAAATTTATACTTTTTTTGTTTTGTTTTTCGATGCATCTATACTGAATTATTCACTTTCATTTGCTAAACAAAGTGTCTAAATAGCAGTTAAAAGGAAAATAAATTCTTAGTCTCTTCATGCTGTCCTAAATACAGTATCAGAACAAGTGTGCTGTTTTTTGTAAACTCATTAAATGTAAAGAACCAATTTATCAATCTAACCAACTGCTGCAACGAGTTTCAGCAACCAAAACACTACAGAAGCATGAAGATACAGAATATTTTCCTTTAAGAGAACAACAATGCAAATGGAGGAAGGCACAGAAGTACAAATCAAATGATACGCAAGTACAACATTAATGCAGAAAGGACATTAGATGTTACCATTTCAACTTCAGCTACACGTTACAGGCTTCTGCTCTAAAATCCTGCTTGATTTCTGTCCCCATCATAAAAATATTGAAATTTAGGATGAAATTTATCGACCATTTTCCAGCAGAGTGAATCATGTGCAGCAGCCACGGGGTGAAAAAAAGACCTGACAGCAGCCCCACCTAGCATTAGCATTGGTCTATGCACTTCAGTCAGATATAGCTGAAAATTGTATTAAAATGATTTAAAAGAAACAAAAAAAGATAAAAAAAAAAAAATATTAAAAACTTTATGAAAATCATTCACATAATAATAATGCAGATTTTCTTTGACTTTTATGGCTAAACATGAAATTAGTGGACATTTGTTTTAGGGACTGAGCTAATATTTTCCATAAAGGCAATTTTTATAGAAGAAAAATATAAATATAATTATTTTGTCTCCAACACTTTATCAAGATGACAATAAAATAAATTTTATATACAAGAAAACATTTAAAAATATAAAATAAATAGCATTATTGGCAGCTGACAACATTTACAAAAACATTGAATAAGCAGGTGTGATAAATGAGAGGCAGCTGGGCCTGGGCCGCCTAAGAGGAGGACTGAGGAGGAGGTGGACGAGGGGGAGGAGCAGAATACTCCTCTGTGTCAGAATCGCTGCTGTCCTCCACGTTTCTCTCCTGGTCACTGCCTTCAGTGCTCAGCTGGTCGAAACCCTGACGACTGTAGCCTTTGTGGGAAGCAAAGAATTTCCCCAGGTTCAAAGTCCCCACAGCTTTACCTGAGAGCGAGGAGAAGAACGGAGTTAGCTCCTGTTGACATCAGGTCACCCTTCACTGCTGATTTGTTTATATGCAATATATACAGCTACCAATTTCAAATCAGATATATTCTCCTCTAATTAACCCTTTATAGGGCAATCATTGAAATACTTTAAAATCTAAATTCCAGCACAAGACCTTATTACCTTTGTAACATTAAAAAATATGGATATTTTGATGGCAAAAACGTATTAATTAATTAATTAATGTAATAACAAGAAACGCCAAATTACCCAAATATATTAAGAAAAATAACAAAAGTGTTTCTGTAAGAAATTAATGAAAAACACAGAGTAAAAGAAACAATTTTTATTTATTTTTTTTTTGGTGCAACATAACCTTAGAGGCATTAATGCTGATACTGGCACTTAAATTCTTTGGTTTATAAACTTAAATATAATTGTTAACTAGGCTTATTAACTTTTTAACTTTACTTTTTAACTTTTCACTTAGCTTTTTACCTTTTTTCTTGACTTGTTAACTTTTTTTCAACTTTATTTGCTTAATGAGTGGAAATAGATCTTGTGCTTTTAGACCTCACTGAGGGACGGAGGGGGGGGGATTCCATTTGTAAGGGGTCTGACAGTGATCAAAAATGGTAACTTGCCCTATAAAGGTTAAAAGTCTTTCCTGGTATAATGCAATTCTGAGTCAGCTGCTCTATTTATGATAGAACATGAACATAAAATTCAGTTTTGTTTTTTTAATGCTAAACTAAACTTGTTTGTCTTTCTTATTTTTACTTGAACCGATCACAAAAAGACTAGTCAGGGCAAAATCAAAATGTCCAGAAATCTCAGACTAAGCAGTCAAAGTATTTATTTTAAAATCTCCACTGTTCCCGCCTAAACTGACTCAACTCAGATGCTCACCTTTGCTCTGCAAAATCAATGACATTCCAGGGATCTATCTAATACATCCTGTAAGTAAATTATTCTACACAAGGAGAGATAATACAGAAATTATGCAAAACTTTTGATCAGAATACTAGATGTTAAATCAAACACAGAAATGTGGCTTCAATGCTGAGAGGCAAATTCTAAAGGCCAGAACAGCTAAAGAAAACTCCAACAGACTATAAACCAGTGGGGTAGATTAACACTAATTAAGTTAGAATATCTTATTTGCTTAATTAAAAGTTTTAGAGAGTGACGTTTGATCCTCTGCAGAGTCCACCATAAGTATCTGTCAGGTAGGGGAGGTATATACAACTTCACAAACTCTCAGCTCTTAAATAGTTGAAGTTTTCAGTTTCTGAATTTAGGGAAATTAATCTAAATATAAAATACCTCTCCAGCTTCCTGCAAACCGTAGCTGCTACCTTTATCAAACTCCATCACATGCGGGTAAATTAACTGGATTCTCTACTTACTGCCTGATAAAAGTATCCATAGGAGCTTAGTTGTCAAATTAGCTCCTAAATCCTTCAATAATCACGTAGAGGCAATGAACAATGGCGATCATCTATTTTCAGTTTTCTATCTATGTAAACTACAGACCCTGCCTAATTTAAAAAGTCAGTAGTAAATTTGTCTTAAAGTAATATTATTTTCCTTGAATCAAGAAGGTTGGCAAAACTACAAACTAATTGAATTCTATTGTTTACGATTAAAATAAGAAGAAAATCATCTCTGTTATCTTAATTAAATTCCATAATCTCCAATTACCTTAGTTTAAAGGCAGAAACACTGAGATAATCTGATTTACCCTCTTAAATTAAGGGCAAATATACTCATTCTAAGTATTTTTCACTTTTTGGAGGGTCAGTTTTCACAGTGCCACAAATGTTGATTGTTTCCAGTTTTCAGTTTTTACTATGATGAATAACTTACCTCGAATTTTCCCCAGGACTCCACCCATAGAGTGCGGCTCTAGTTTAATGTCATTTCTCTCTGAAAACAAAGAGAACCCTAAATTAGGTCAGGTCACACAGATCCCCACCACTTTAACACCTCATTCACTATAAATATTTAATGTTAGGTTCACACTAGTTGGTGAGCGGGTGACGAGACGTTTAGAGGAAGCACAGAGCTGCTTCCTGTAAACTAAATCTTCATTTCTCTTCTTTCCCTGAAGGAGCTTTGAATTCCATGTAGGGCGTTTGATAAAACTGATGCCAGTTTTTTAACTGTTATGCCACCAGGGCACATCAGGTTAGTATCACGAAGGATTAACAAGTGGAGTTTCTGCTCTAGCTGTCAGACAATTTCAGGGAAGCTTATCTGCATGCCGATTATCTACTTTGGGTTTTCAGTCTGACGGAAATTCTTTGCAGGCAGCTTGATGTCTAATCAGCTTTTCTAAATGTGCAATCACCACCTAGAACTAAGCAAAAGAATTTTTAAATTAAGTGTATTTACTCCTAATTTGTGACAGGGAAAAAAGATGATTTGCCAGTGGAATGGGTATTTTTACTCTTGCCCTAACAACTAGGCCACTAACTCTCCCAAATATAAGAAAATTAGATAATATGCACTTCAAATAAGACAATGCATTTGTTTTTCCTTATTTTAACAAAACTAGCAAAGTAACAACTGTGTTGAAACACTACCAAACCAAACATCTGGTTTATACATGTTGAATCCCACCTCAAAGTTATTACTGAATCTGGGCCTGCATAAGGCAAAATATTTACCAAAATAAAAGCTTCCAGTAAATTTGACTTTCTAAGTTTCTTCCAGAAGAAACTGTTGCTTCCAGATGGAAAAAAAACCTGGGGTGGCACACTGAAACTATTATAGTTTCAGGGTTTGAACCTATTGAATTCTATTGTGGTACACCTGCCAGTATAAATCATAAAGACTTAAGTAAACATGTCGTCATATCTTTGTTTATTGTGTGATTTTTATTGTTACGCCGCTGGCTGTGCATGATGGGATGGAACGCTTCATCGATGCTATAATTTACCCTGGCCAGTGGGGTGGCCATGGCATTTCACAGGGTGGCCACCCCCTGGTGGCGCCACTGCACTCTGGAAGAAACTTCCAACCCTGCTATGATTTTTCTTCATACTTACTGTTTTTACTCCAGCACATGAAGAATCCAAGGAAGACGATGACCAGCAGAAGGATGAGAAGCAGAGAAACGACGACGGCTGGGAGGACGCTCTGTTTTCTGTCGGCTTTAGGAGTGCTTTTCCTCGGTTCCACTTCCACCAGTGGATGGGTTTTTTCGGCCACAGTTTGCTTCTCCTTGATGGTGGCTACCTTTGAAATGTTGAGATGTGGTCTCAGCTTGGCTTGAACAAATGCCTCGACTTCTACATGGAGAGATTAAACAAGCAATATTAATTATCACCAGCTTTTACTAAAGGAAAAAAAAATATTTGTGAGCAGAGAAATATAGTTTGAATTGACTTGGTGATCTGGTTGATTGTAGTATTTTTATACTAGAATCAACCAGATCACCATCAAGTTTAGGATCTTAGTTTGAAGAGAGAAAATAAAAATGAGTCAGAAGGTTAGGGTCAATGTCAATAATTACACAGTAAAATGTTTGGACAGATTATATATCTTATAAATGGTCTTCTTCTCTTAGAGTATAAAATTCTCCAGACATTATTTATTCTGGGTTTTGAAAGTAGTAATATATTTGAGTTATAATCGCGATACAAAATATATATTACATTATGTTTAAATTACCTTCATAAACAATAGAGCACATAAAATTGCACTGATATACTCATTCAAACATCTGTTTTTAAATTTAAAACAGTTTATTTTAACCAGCTCAAAGCTTTTTACAAATGATACTGCACACAATACCAAATAAAATGTGACATCATTCAGAATGAAAAAAGAAATTTCCCTCGCAAATTACAAAAACAAAACTCAAAACTGTCCAAAAAGTAGAGAACTATTAGAGTTTATGCGCTGCTCCTTTTTCTCATAGGCGAAGCGTTTACACTCCAGAGCAGAAGGTGGCGGTACTGCGACCAAAGCCAACCACCAGTAGTAAACAAGAAGAAGAAGAAGCGAAGCAGCGTAGCCGGGTGTAGCAGGGAAAAAAATCAGTTGTGGAGAATTGTGTGGGTATGGCGAGAGGGAAAGAACAGGAGTTGGAAGATGCGCCAGCAGCACTTTATAGGTCTGGTGTATGGGACCACTTTGCATTTAGAGTGACCTACGATGAAGGCGGAAAGAAAGTTGCGGATAAAAGTGCAACAGTGTGCAAGCATTGTGCAACACGTTTTGTTTATGCTAACAGCAACATGACCAACATGTCATGCTAACCCTGAAATCCCTCATACTCCGTCAGCGCTCCGCCCCGCTGCGCTCCAGACCGCCTGCACAAAGCAAAGCCTACAGCCTCCACTGTGGCTCCCGATGGCTCCGCTCTGAGTTCCTTGGAGATCGTAGAGAGCATGCGCCAGATGATTAAATTCAAAGCAGAAAAACATACGGAAATGATCCAGGGTTTCATTTAAAATAATAATAATAATACTAAATAATACTAAATAATCCATTATTTTTTGGGGGATTTTTTTCATTAATTTCATAAATTTTTATGGGATTTCGGGGTAACAATCAACATATACCGAATCGAACCGAACCGAAAACCGTGACCACGAAACCGTGAATCGAACCGAACCGTTGATTTTGTCAAGTTTAGAAAATGCCTGCAAAAACTCTGAACAAGACCACATAACATTGAAAGTATTAGAGCATCTAAGAAAACATGGAAATAACATAATAAATAGCGTCTGTGATTTCCCTCCATCGCTTCCTGTTTCTCTCATGGGATCACTTTTTCAAACGCCAAGGTCAACCTCATCAACTAACAGCGGATTTATTATTTTTGTATATATATATATGTATATGTATATATCTATATATATATATATACATATATATATATATATATATATATATATATATATATATATATATATATATATATATATATATATATATATATATATATATATATAGAATTTGTTTCTGTTTCTTGATTTTTCTGGCTTTCGTTTTGTTTAAATATCCTCTTTTTTATTAGTGTTAAACCAAAAGTATAACTAATTTTCTGTGTAAGAATGGAAAAAAAAAGAACTGTAAAAATACCAAGTCTCAAACATCACTTTAGTATGAAATATTAGGAACATTTCACATAAAATATTACTAAAAATATCAGCAGCTAAGTTACATTCTGCAGAGCTTACCTTCAAGTTCCTGGACTTCAATTCCAGCTTTCTTGACAGAGCGGTGCAACTCTGCAAAGTACAGACAGACAAGTTTCTAATAGAAAGTAAAGAATGTAGTATGCACACATCACAAATGGAACTTCACATCTAATAACAACAAAAATCGATTATAGACAATTATTCGGATTCCCTGCCTGGAAACATTGAAAAGCAGGAGAACTTTTACAGAATGCTTCAGAGTGGCAATAATGAAGATGAACTTACTTTCAGCAGAAAACTTAAAGACTGATTTGTTTCCTGCATCCCCAACAAAAATAGTTCCATCCTTAGTTACAACAATGTCATGAGGCATTTTAAACTCCTGTTGAAAAGGAAAACACTGATCAGTTCATACTTCAAAGGAGGACGAAACATCATGAATATCTAAAAAGTTTTCAAAATTTCAAAATTTTCCCAGTTGACACAAACTTTAATGTATTTTATTTATGCTGGGTGCCCCTGTTGTCTGTTCATGTGTTGTTCTCAAGAACATACTTGGCGAAGGCACGAGTCTGTACTCACATTCTTATGAAATGAGAAACGGTCCTTGTTTTAAAGCTAATGAAACTGGAGGAGCTGCTGCTCATGTGAATGGGCGTCTCAGGCTTATGGCCTCACAATGGAAAAGCAAACAACAAAGCGCCGAGGGAGATTAAAGGTTGCATGAAGTTGTGTTGCAGAGAAGGTCTTTGATAATTTGAATTAGGGTTGCAATTAAAGATTATTTTGCTAATCCATCAAACGGTTAATAATCAGATAGCAAAAAGTTATGTAGAGAAGATTTTTTACAGAACTGAACCAGGTGAAACTAAAACTTTAGTTTTGTGGAGTTCTGGATAAAGCATAATGGCAGCTGAAAAAAGTTTTTGTTAAACTTACATGCAAAATACTTATGTTTTTGTTACAGTTTTGGTATAATTACTGCTCTAAGTGGATCTCTCTTTCAGCTAAAGACATGTTTCAGAGTCTCTATATTCTAGTTAACGATTAATCGATTACTAAAGTAGTTCACCATTATTTGAGGTGTGGGCAGTGCTATCCAAACCTTGAACAAAACTTTCACTATTGTCTGATGGGTCACTGATAAGTCTGCGTTTTTCCTGGGGTGGGCAATCACCTTTGGACTTGCTTGCAGAATCTGAGCCGCTTCCTACCGACTTCTCATTATTCCCTCTCCACCTGGATCGCTATCACCAATATTTTAAAGCATTTCTAAAGCCTCTTTTGCTGTTAGATTTTTTCTAAAAGCCAATTTTCCGTATTAGCCAAAGAGTTCTAGGTAGAATGTTGGCTGCTAGGCAATGGTGCTAAACGTCAATCACCGCTGGAAGAATTTCAAATGCAACTAATAGAGCAATCAAAATGAAGGCCGTGGGAGATCATGTAAAATTAACTACATTTTAAAGTTTTTATTTTATATTTTTTTTAAAACTATGTGAAAATGAAGGAAATATAGAAACAGGAAAAGTCAGTTAACATTAGCAACATATGATTAATGTAAATAAAGTTCTTTGCCTTTAAAATCTCAGACCATCAAAATGACGGCATTGGGAGTTCTAGTGCTAATGGTTTCAGCCTAAGTTTGAATCCGCCTGTTTGGTTCCCATCTTAACCTCAGAGTGCTGCATCCCTCTATGCATTGTGGGAAACTGCAAGCACATTATTTAATTATCCCTCCTGATTCCCTGAAGCTCTTACACATTTCATTGCTACATTTATAAGTAATGTTCTTCCTCATTCGCCTTTCTATTGAAATCAATGCTAAGCCTTTGTCTATTTGCCTTTGAGTCAAACCCTTTGATTAAACAGAGCTCTAAGAGCTGTTGAGCATCCTGACCCTGTTTTAAACCTCTCTACAGCAGAAAAGCCAATAGAAAACCAATAAAAAATCATTTTAAAAGTAAGTTACTGCATTCAATTGGTCGTAAAACAGGCATTTAATTTAATTATTAATCGTAATCTCAAAATATCAACCCTTCCCAACACTTTTAGCATTTTTAAGGACTGAAGCTACTAGAACAATTACAAAAATACAAAATAAACCCAAAATTTGTAATAGTAAAATGCATTTTAGGCCACGGTTTTCTGGTCTCTCTTTATTCAGTAGGGTGTGGGGCTGGTTGAAGGTGAATTCTTTGTTTATGTAAGCATGTTGCCAAGTGTTTACCTTTTGGGTGGGGCTGAAGGAATCCAAAATTTGCTTAGTTGAATAACCCAGAACAAAACCTCTAAGAGGAGTAAAATGGTTGGATGAGTCCCCATTCACTGCAAAGATCAGGCCATCTTCATTGAGGAGAAATAAAGAGAAAGGACCGAAACAACCATGAAACACATCAAGCATATAAAAAATCCCCTAAATGAAACATATACAAACTCAATTACAAATAACATAAGTAAAAAAAAAAAAAAGTTCCAAATGTATTAAATTGCACCAAATTGAGAGAGAGTGAGACTGAAATTTAAAATCATAGATTAAAAAGAAAGGATAACTTGTGGATGACTGACAGGATACTAACCTTCAGCAGGACTATAGGCGATGGCGAAAACTTCTCCTCCAAACTCTTCATTTTTTATTTCTTTGACAAACTCCCCAGTTTCTGCTATGAAGCACTGGATACGTCCATTTTCCCTGTCAGCTACACAAACTTCCTTTCTGTCAGGAAGGAACACTAGGCTGTGAGGGATCTGAAATGGTGTACGCCTCCTTCTGTCTGATGAACCTAAACCAGAAGAAATGACACAAGGCACATATGAAAGATTTCTGTCTCCAGTGCATCAGAGTTAGTGATGAGTAATCCAACTAAATTACACTTTCATTACTGCTCTGTCCAAAAAAGCTAATAAACAATCCACTGGACTTGGTTTCCAAGTTTGAAGACCCATCCAGGAAGCTTTTTAATTCAAATGTACGGAATAGCGTTGAGTTGCTTTATACATTACCCTACACAGCCTTGGAATGGGGGTTGACCCCCATTCCAAAGGGGTGGACCCGTTCGTCTACTGTATAAAGCAACTCAACTCTATATTTGCTATATTTTTATAGAATTTGTGAAGTGAGCTGGTACCTGCACCCCACTGAGACAAGTATGTGCCATCAGCAGTGAACTTCAGTATCCTGGCATTGCAGTAGCCATCGGACACAAAGATGTTCCCAGTTTCAGGGTCGACTGCAACATCAGTTGGTTTGCAGAAGTGGTGGGTGTCACTGCCAGGCATGAACGCCTCACCCAGGACCAGCAGGGTTCTGTCTCTGCCATCACTGCTCACTTTTAACACCTGAAGAACAACAAAGATGGCAAAAGTGAAGAGAGCCACTTTAATAAGACACATCTGTTCTTAATTATTTTTATACATCTAAGGATGAAGTGCCTTTGTACCGTATTTTCACGACCATAAGGCGCACCGGACTAAAAGGCGCACTCTCAGTTATGTGTCCCATTTCTGTATTTAACACACACATAAGGCGCACCGGACTATAGGGCGCGTTTTTTATATACAGGTACAAGTCCTCTACTACCTTTAAATACCTCTACTGCGTATTTAAAAATACAGCGGGGGCAAAACTGAGTATGATTGTGCTTTATTCATGTATTTATTACAAAGTATTAATCAAACCTGGCAGCTGGCCGTGAGACAGAGACATCGCAGATGACACAGCGCTGTGGTCACTCCTAAATTAACTTAAAATCCTGAAACCTGCTGACGGAATATGTTCGCTTTTATTGCCGGTATCCTGGTGCCTGCAGCTAAAATTATTTAGATGAAAAACACCTGCCAGCAGCCGCGGTGAACCCCAGGCTGCCCAGCCTACAGGCTGCTGATGAAGAGATTTCTGCTGTCAGCGCACCGCTGGTATGTGGGGGTCTGAGCGCCTTCGACAGAAATAGATAATCTGGATGAACTGACTGCAATTATTAAGTTTTCAGGTGGACTTTCTCACTTAAAAACATATTAAAACTACTTTATTCCCACTGATCACAGCAAATATAGCTGCAAGATTTAGATTATTTAGATGAAAAAACACCTGCCAGCCACCGCGATGAAGAGGAGGAGACGCGCCGGGGATGCTGTTGAATTAAGTTTTCAGGGAGAAAAATACAGCGGGAGCAAAACTGAGTATGATTGTGCTTTATTCATGTATTTATTACAAAGTATTAATCAAACCCATCAAAGTCATCATCCTCTGTTTCTGAATAAAACAGCTGCGCTAAATCAGACATGCCAGTTTCCCCTTCTTCGCTGTCAGTCACTTTCCGTGCAGCGCGGCTCCTCAGAAATAATGCCGGCTTTTGCGAAAGCTTGAACAACAGAGCCAGCAGACACTTTAGTCCAAGCATCTACAATCCATCCGCAAACTGTGGCGTAATCTGCCCGGCGCTGCCTTCTTATCCTGAAACTGTGGTCTCCGTCGGTCATCCATCGCTCCCACGCCGCTCGCAGCCTTACTTCGAACGGCTGCTTCACACCGATGTCGAGCGGTTGAAGTTCCTTTGTCAGACCCCCGGGATAACGGCGAGCACAGCGTTCATTTGATTCACCTTTTTTTCACATCGGCTGTGAGATGGGCACGCAGCGATGGTGATGCGTGGAAAAAACCACCTAGTCTTCTCACATACACCTGCCTCAGCCACGCATCCATCCAGCCTTTTCCATTTGCGTTAATATCATATGTCATCAGAGCGCTGTCTGTCTCGCTGGCAGCTCCCAGATCAGCTTCTCTGATTGGTTGATGCGGCGCGTCCAGCAGCAAAACTTCAATTTTTCCATCTCGAGCAGCAGAAGCGCGGCGCTTCAGATGCTTAAACGCTCCCGACGTGCTGCACCAAAATGCGCTGCGGGACCTTTTGCTGCACCTATATGCGCGTCAACCATTGACTTTGCATGTAAACTCGCTGCTTCTGCTGCACCTGCTGGGTCCGGTTCACACCGATGTCGAGCAGCGTTAATTTGTTTTCCCATGTTTTTCACATCAGCTGTGAGATGGGCACGCATGGAGTTACATATTAACAGCGATGGTGAGGGGTGGAAAAAAAACACCTGGTCTCCTTACATTCAGCCACTCTTTCATCATCTCCTCAATGAGGTGGTCTCAAAAGTCGCAGTTACAACACACATAAGGCGCACCGCACCATAGGGCGCACCGCACATTTTGAGGGAAAAAAAAGACGTTTAAGTGCGCCTTATAGTCGTGAAAATACGGTATCCTGCTCCTATGAGTCAATACTTTTATGAAACTAGTTTCGTCATTATTGTAGCTTCAAGACGTTGAAAAAGAGTCATTTGCCCGAATAAGCCTCTTTCACATGTCTGGATCTGTTCCTGTTTGGCTGTGACTCCATCCTGGAGAGAAATATCAGCTGTGCTGCTGCCATCAACACCTTTGTTTCTAGATGTTAGAGATCTGCCTTTTTTTCAATGTAGTCCTTTTTCTCTGACTGTGACTAACTGGATGTGCTCTCTACATCCTCTGACATGGGAGCTGGCTCGGAGATCCTCTGCCTGGCTGTGTGTTTCCTAGAGTGGGCCGCCTTTTACAGTTTCCTTTCGTGTCTGCTTCTTTTTCTATGTCTGCTTCTGTCTCCTTGAACCCCAGTCGGCCTCGGCAGGTGGTCGTTCACACTGAGCCTGGTTCTGCTGGAGGTTTCTTCCAGTTAAAAGGGAGTTTTTCCTCTCCACTGTCGCTATAAGGATGCTTGGTGTGAAGGATTGCCTTCGAGTCACTGAGTCGATGTAATCAACTTGCCTAGATAGAAAACTTTGAATGAACTTGACTGTATGATCTGGTGAACTGTAAAGTACCCTGAGGTGACGTGTTGTGAATTGGCGCTATATAAATAAACTGAATTGAATTTTCTCAGATACACTTTAGAACGATGCGTTTAAACAACTAAACTATGTCTCACTGTCCATTTAAACAGCCGATCATTAGCTTCAGATTTGGGTTTTCATGTTAGCTTCTGCTAATGGTGTTGGATCTAGGTAATACTGTGATATAGCTCTTCTTTTAGTGAAGTCCAGCAATAAGTGCTGGAAGATATTTTGTTCTGTTAGCAGTTCCTTTAATCCGCTGGTTTCGGTTAATCTCAGAGAAATATTAAAACTTGGGTCTATCCAGTACATTTACAAACAAGCCTCTCCTGTCAACTTTGTCTTTTACTATTGTTACACATGTTTTGCATAAAGCCTAGGGGTGTAAATATCAATCGTTTTGTATCGATGCATTGATCCAACAACCGACGATACAACAAGCATCGACACGTCTGCAAGTATCGATAAATTTATTTATTATTTCCTCCGATCTATTTTTTCCACTTGCTTCTGGACGTAATTCTGACCCCCGAGCTGCGGTGGCGCTAAACCTATTTTGCCCTCCTACCTCGCTTCCTTTAGCCACTACCCACTTTCCGCATGCACACACAGTGGCGTAAACAGTAGGCAAGACGGACATGGCGGAGATAGCGGAGGTGAAAGAAGAGGCGGAGGAAAAAGAAGATGATGTATTCTTGAGTATCGAAAATAATCGAATCGTTGGGTCAGGAAATCGATACTGATGGGTGTGATTTACACCCCTAATAAAGCCCGTCACTTTTTAAGGGGTAGTGAGCTGCCTCCAATTCATTCGGACAGTAGCTGTCTGTACTGTGGTCTGATCCAAGATGGCCGCCCTCTAGGCTTGTTGCCGACAGTGTCCAATGAGGCATCTGCATATTAATGACTATGCAGTGAGTGACGACCAACGCATTCTAGTCACCAGCCTTTCCAAAGCTAACGCAGGTCAGTTCTTTCCCTCTCAGTAACTAGCCCGGTCATCTCTTTGCTAGCAGTAGCTGTTCAGTTGCCGGTAACTGCCAATCACTGAGCAGCTCACTAGCGGGAATTGGAATAGAAATAGCACAGAAATGGCATCAAAATTAAGACTATTGCAGACCCGGTGGTGCCTATTTCCTAAGCGCAGGAGGATTTCCAGGTGATCAGAAAAGCATCAACTATGAGGAAGCTCTTCTACTTCAAGCCAGACACTTGCTTGACACGTATTTAACTCTTTTCTATTGGTTTGCACATGGAAGGCAAACAAAATGAACTGAGAGTTTATGTCTAGAAAAAAATGTTAAGAAAAAGAAGGGCAAAATATTCTTAAAGTCTGTGAGGCACTTCTTGTGTTGCTTTTTACTTAACTACCCCAGACTTGTAGAAATATTGCTTTCTAAAAACACAAAAGCAACTACAAAAATTTATAACCATTATATAACATGCATTACGCAACATAAAGTGATTAGAAAAAAATATGTTAGTAAATTCACGATAGAAATGGTGATTTGACCAAAAAAGTATTTCATTCTATTATAGTTTGATGCTACTATAAATGCTAGGTTTGTGAAAAAGCAAAAGAGCGCAAACGCAAACAGCAGCTCACCTGATGCAGAGCCACATCTGTCACCCAGTAGTTATTGTCCTTGTCTGTTGTTATTCCATGAGGCAAGTAGAACCTGCAACGTCAGAAAATGGATGATCAAAAGGCCAACTTTTAAGGACTTTAAACCCAACAATAATAACCATCAAAGGAGCGATAAGACATAATCTATTATTTTAGATACAAAGAACAACTAAATAGTGATGTTAAAAACTAAAGGTCTACACCCTATGGACAAAGGACAATCTTTAAGGACCAGAATGTTCACATTTTGGACAAAGAAAATAGGTGGTTTGAGAGGAAGGAAGGAAGTCATTTATGTTAAGAAAGAAAAACCAACCTTAAACAGAGGGGGTGAACTCAGGTTCCAGCTTTCAAAAACCTACAATGCAGCAATTTAGTTGATCCCTTCCCACTATCATTGCAACTCCAACCCCTTTACAGGCGAGCAGAAAACCTTGCCTATTCAGCCAGGCCAGCAATTCTCTTAACGACCGCCCTTTCAGAGACCTAGACAGGTATGGGGTACTGCAGACTAACAAAGAAGCAAAACGACCCCCATTCCAAAGGGGTGGAGGCATTTTTCTGGTTCAATTTGCATGTTTTTTAAACAAAAACAAGGCGTGTTAAAATCGCCTCAGTTCCGATCAGTATGCTGCGGGAACATCAGACCCAGGTCAGACCATTGAACGCAATGTACAGATGTCAACACACCGCACCAGACCTGTCTGACCTAACAAGCCAAAACAACCCTGTTTACATTTGATAAACATGGAGCAGCACTGGTGGGAAGGATTCAGATACATAAAACAGTGAAACAATACAGCACACTATGCCCTGGCTTCCTTACGTGTTGCTCTTCATTGTCTACTTTCCTGATTTCTGTCACACTGGTGACATCATCAACACTAACAGAGCATGACGGTGTAACCAGACACGCAGCTGCGGGGGGACAGAGGCCACGTTGCTTTACAGCTTTTTTTGCCAGTGGGAAGGGAGCCAAATGCTGATTGTGAGCGGGTCGAACCATGTTTGAAAAACAGGCGTAAACCCGATATTTTCAGCGGAAAACAAAATTAATAGAGCAGTGTAGCATTAGAGAAAAATGGCCCTCTGGGAAGAGGCTTCACAGTATTCAATGCACGACCAGCAGATACAGCAACAGCTTCTTCCCCATTGCCATCATACAGCTGAACTGTTGTGAAAACTTGTAATCATGTAACTGACTCGCCATAACACTGAAAACACCAATCCAAAAATTCTGTATATTTGCATCATACATATTTAATGCTCTGAACTTCCACATCAATGCGTTTTTTTTTTTTTGCACTACATTTTTCCCCCCACACTGTTTACATTTGATCACTGCTGCACTTTAAGAAACGGAAATGTTATGAAATTAGTGGCGGCCTAGTGGTTAGTAGCCTGGGTGCCATTCCGAACTTAGTCCCGCCCACAATGTTTGAGGTCGGGAAGTTCGGTCTGGCATTGCTCAATAGTAGCGCGAATATGCTCGCCCAATATCTGGTCGGGCCAATCAAATTGTCAGGGCGGGCTTTATACGATGATGGACGGATGATCAACAGTATTGTAATCAACCACGTCACCAAAGCGCGCTTGGGAGACAACAACAATGTCTGCCGCTGGAGAGTTGAGGTGAGTAGATTCTGCTATTAGGTCTGTTCTAGAAGATATCGACAGCAAATTAATTTTAAAAGAGGAACAGAGAAACGCGATCAAGGCATTTGTTGAAAAGAAAGATGTTTTTGGCGTCCTTCCTACGATTCGGCAAAAGTTTAATTTACCAGCTGGCTCCCTTGGTCGCTTAACATACGTCACGCACTCCGTTGCTCTTATTGGTTGTAGGTCTATCCAATTGAGTGCAGAGGCATTTTTTTCCCCTGGTCTGTTTGAAACACGCCCCATAATCACAGCTCTATGGAGCAGTATCAGACTCATATTCTGACTAGATTTGAGTAGGACTACGTCAGGCTTAGTGGTTAGGGCATAGAGCTTGGAATCCTGAGGTTCTGAGTTCGAGCCCCACTCCCACAGACTGCCACTCTGGCTCTCTGTCAAGAACCTTAACCCCACACTGCTCCCCAAGGGGATGGGTTAAATGCAGAGGTAAATCTCTCCAATGTGAGATCAATAAAGTTAAATTATTATTATATAAAAGTTAAAGTCTAACAGCATTAAAAAGTAACACGTTGCTTAATTCTTTGCCAAACATCAAGTTGATGCTAATTGGCTGAGCATCATTTAATCCAAATATGTGACTGGTGCAAAGAGAGGGGGATAGGGGAGGGGTGGGGTTGAAGAAGGATTTGTAACTGGATTGGAGGTACAGAGAAGCATTGCTTGTCGCATATCTTGTTTCGGTCTACAGACAGTTTACAACAGCCAGCCTTGTGTATAACAATATACATCTTACATGTTTCGGCCAGAGGCTTTTAGAATTCTGCCATTGGCGGGGTCCACAACCAAAATGGCCGACTGCTGGATGGGCCCCAAGAACCTCTGCTGGTATCGAGCCTGGCTGTTGAAAGAACTAAACAAACACAAAAGGATCAACATTTAGTGAGCAAGACAAGAAATGAGACAAGGGATTGGCAAGATTTCAGCCTAAATACAACCTTTTACATAAAAGCTTTTTTATAACACAATGCTAATATTACAGTATCTATGATATAATGCTGTGCTGCTAATAAAATAGAAGTAAACGCTAACTGAGAGGTTTTGGTTAATAAAAATATTTTGCATCCAGCATAGGGCTTTGTGGGATAACCCTTATTTGGATTGCTCTGACTTAAAATATGCATAGAACTATTTTTGTTTTTAATGACAAAACTTAAGACTGAGTCAGAAGAAAATGTGTAGGAGGCTTAAAATCTGATAAATAACAGCAGTATTTAGAGGGATAAAGTTTTCTTTTGAAGTGCAGCTAATGACTCATCTACAGGCAATGACTAACATTTTAGCAATACTTATTTAATGAACAACAGAGATGCTGTTTGATTAAAAAAGGCACCAGTAGCAACAACAAAAAAAACCCCATTAGAGTCGTAGGGAAGCGGTTGTTTCAACTGTTGCGGTTCCGAATTCTCCCGAGTGGTGCATGACTTTACACTTGTGAATAAAGTGAATGTGATTGGTCGATTGTCAAGGGGGCAGGATTGTTGTGGCAGAAGGTTCGCAAGCATGTTTGGTTGTGGCCGGTTTGTCGGAAGCATCTTGCTAAACAATTAGCAACTTAGTGCTAGCAGGTTCCCAATGGGAAATTCCATTGGGACCAAGTAGCACTAAATTGGTGACTGAAAAACGACGCTGTCAAGGAACGCTATGGACAGAGGAAACATGCAAGAGGAGGAGAGTTTAGTGTCGGAGGTCGTGGATGAGTCTCCTCCGTCATCCATTTTTTATTTAGAGGAGGAAAGCGGGGACGAAGATGTTGTGGAAGAGGACGCCAGGGCGGCAGAAGCTTGGTTTGGTGTAGAAGGCTTCCAGCTCCAGCTGATGTATAACTAACATGCCTGCATAAAATAACGAAAACCCCAACCCCCAGGTTTTAAAATAGGATTTTTTTTTAAATAGAAATTTTCTAACTTTTGGGACAATATCGTCTGATAAAGAGTTCATTTATATACATGTTAAAGCCAGAATGAATGGACATTCAATATTTACAAGCTGATGTATAACTAACTGGCCTGCATACTCTAGACAGATTTTTGTCAGCACTTCTTAGCACTTTGATTCCAAAAGGGCGTTATGCTTATCTGCAACAAAATTATTTTCCTAAAGAAAGTCAATTATTTGTAAAACCAGCGAGGACTAAAAAGCCGTTTTAACATTCTACTAAGGTATCTTTGGGAGGGGCTTAATGAGGAAAGTACAGTTAAGCCGAATCCGCCTTTTACAGCTGCTTTTGTATTTCTGTTTCTGTCTCCTTGAACCCCAGTCGGCCTCAGCAGATGGCCGCTCACACTGAGCCTGGTTCAGCTGGAGGTTTCTTTCTGTTAAAAGGGAGTTTTTCCTCTCCACTGTCGCTACAAGCATGCTTAGTGTGAGGGATTGCTGAAGAGTCAATGAGTCGATGCAATCAACTGGTTTTCCTTACATAGAAAACTTTTAATCAATGTGACTGTATGATCTGGTTGAACTGTAAAGTGCCTTGAGATGACTTGTGTTGTGAATTGGTGCTATAGAAATAAACTGAATTGAATTGTAAATTGTGCAAAACCTGCACATAAAACCGATGTCTATGTTGAGGTCTAAGACTAACTAATAGTCAATAGCAATTTAGTTAAAAAATTCTATTTATTAAAGCATCTAAATAAGATTAAAAAGGAAAATCAATAGAAAGAAAGACATACTCTGCACCCCAGTGGTGGTCACCTCTGTGAAAAATGACTAGATTGGAATCAGAGTCGAGGGCGAGTCCTGACACCTGTCCGAGCTGAAGAGGACTCTGTGGCCAATCCGACACGTGCTCCAAATGATAATCTGAAACCATAGCAAATTTTTAGAGACACAGACACACATTTGGGAGAACTTTCAACATTAAGGAAAAGCATAATACTTTGCTTGTATTTTTCTTATATTCCAAGAACGCATTATGCTTTTTTAAGGGTTAGAAAAAGATAATTGTTTTTTAAAAATTAAATCATCTTTTTTTTTTTTAAGAGTTTATTTTTTCTATAACTTTTAGAGCTAGCTTAGCACACAGCTATACAGCATAGCCAGCCTTTGATTTTGTATGGTCATATATCCTTTCAGATGTGTACATTAATATTTAAATTACTCTCTTGTTTTAATTGAGAGTATCTATTCAATCATAAACGCAGTTTGGCTTATTGTTTGATGGTATATTAAACAAACTACAGAAGTCATATCTGTCCTTAAAGTAAGCTAAAGGTGCAACTAAAGCTTAATTTCCTAATTAATTAACCTCTGATTTTTAAAAATATAAATAGATTAATAATTAGACAGCAGAAAGTGTTTTTAGTAGCAACACTGCATAACCTTTGACCCAAACGCTACCTTAATTTAAATCTTAAATCTATGACAATACATAAGGTCAGAACTTGCTCTTCATCTATGTTTAAAATATAATAATAAAAATTATTTAAAAAATAAAGTCTGAAACAGGCCTGGACAAGAATGATGGTAGCCCTATAAATTAATTTAATCTAAGAGAAATGTTAAATTAAGGCGTGTTCACCAATTCTCTTCTAATCAGTCAGTGGGCCTACATATGGCACTAGAGGAGGTGACAGTGCAGATTGGAAGCATGGTGTGTACCACACTCAACATGGACCAGAGGGACTTAAAGGTGCTGTAACTGATTCTGCAGTTTTAAACCATGAGTGAAGAGAACAGTTTAGTTTAAACTGTAAGCACCACCCCTAATCTCCCATTAGGGGTGGTGCTCCGTGCAGGTAATAAAGCGCACATCTTGTAATGAAAGTAATGAAAAGACACCTGTCTAGAAGGACTACAGGCAGTTCAGAGTCCAGATTTAGTCCTGCAAACAATCTACATCGGCTGGTCAGAGATTTAAACAGGTTTTGTTCAGCCTTTGGTCATTCTTGCCTTTAAATGCTTTCGCCTTCCCCCATTTATACCCATTTAGGCTGCTTTGCTGTATATGCAATGAGAGCATCGCAACTTTCCCCTTGTTTGCTACCAAGCTTCTCAGTTTAAAAGTTGTGACGTGGAAACTCTACAGAAGGAACCTCATTGGCAGAGAAAACGATTACGTTAAAGTTAGAATCCACAATAAATTGGCAGGGACTCCTGCATATCAATGAGTAATACGTTTTAATAAAATGACTCCTTCTGCAACAAACTATACCATGTAAAAAGCATTTTGTTAGAGAGATTTAAAAAAAATCGTAGGCATGGTTTGAATGGGAGACAACAAAGGAAGACACTATTTCTGAAGCCAATCTGGAATTTGCCACACTACGTGTTGACAAGCCACAAAGCTTCTGTTCCATAGTTAGATGAGACAAAAATGAGCTTTTTGTCAAGACACATCAGCTCTATGTTGACCGACTCCAGAGAGAAATTTGCTGACCAGAGTCAGAAAGCTTGGTCTCAGCTGCAGGTCATGGGTCTTTGACAGGATAATGACCAGAACACACAGCTAGAAAAACGATGTGGCTTGTCCACACGTAATTTAGCTGTGACCTAAATCCTATTGAGGAATCCTGGAAGGAGCTGAAACAGGCCAGCTCGAAAAGGCAGCCTTCAAACCTTGGACAACTGAAGCAGTTTGCTGATGAAGACTGGAAACAAAACACGAGCTGAGAGCAGCAGAAGTCTGTTGCAGGAATTGATTAATTGCAGTGATTGACCCTTAATGTTGGACAATCAAATATTAAGTTCATTTAATCCAGGCCTGGTTCATTATTATTATTTTTTAATTATTCTGCTAAGGTATGTTTTAAAAGCAATTTCTGACTTTTATTTGTTCATATTCATAGAATTCTTATTTATAATTTCTGAATACTTTATTTATAATTTCTTTGTAACAAAATACATATCTGGGACCACGGTGGGTTTTTTTAAATTAAACAAATGGGTACAACCAATTCTGTCCATGGGTGTAATATAAGATCGTATTGACCTAATATAAAGCAGTTTGGTGAGTATCAATTCTACAACAAACTTTAGTTGAGATTGTCAGTTTTGTAGCTAAATGAATAATTGGAACTTCTCTGATGTAGGATTAAACCTAAAGGGATAATTTGGTCTTTTTAGAAGTAACTGCATGACTTCTCCATCTGCTGGTCTAAAGTGATTTCTATCAGATTTGCAAACACAGACTGTTTCATTTTACACCAATGAAGTGTTGCTAGTTGCTTTTTGAGGAACTAAACCTGGAAGTTACAGATCAACCCCCCCTAGTGGCTAAAGTTACACAGTCTACACAGAGACTCAGTTACAGTTATTTCATTATTCGATTAGGGCCTGTCACACCTTGCCGATTTAGACAGCGTATGCCCGACTTCCCAAAATCTCCTAAAACGCTGGAATACGCCAGTTAAAGCTACGCCCCTCAGTTACAACGCTGCTCCAGAAGGGCCAGCGATACGTCCGGAGGCACCCGGTCTGCATAAAAAGATGCCTTTGATTGTGGTATTAACCTAGCTGCTGTTTACCGCCTGCCCCCAAAAATAGACAAAAAAGAAAACAAAAAAAAGAAAAAGAAAGCAGGTTTGCAGTCGCAGCAGATGCTAGGAAGTTTGTGGGTGGTGGGCGTGAACGCAGAGAGGATCCATCACTCTCACCTTCTAGCTCACCCTATGATGGGGATGAAGTCTGGAGGAGAACTGACGGTTTCCTCCTGTGGACCCCCTTTATACCAAAACGCTGCAAATACGCCGTTAAACAGTAGCTGGAAGTTAGAAACACGTTCAGCGCTCGTCTGGAACACGTCAGATACCTTGATATGCATTGGAGAGAAGTTCTTGATAAATTACGCAGAATTTATGTACATGTTACTCATAGGTTTAGGCTAAGCTAGACGCCACGACTGATGAGTAATTTACACTTAAGGTATGTCGATCAGATAACTTACCTGTAACTTATGGCCCACGTATGGCATACGTCGGGAAATTTTAAGCATGCTCAAACTTATGCTTGCATACTCCCCGTATGTCGATATGTACCAGCGTGTTTCAGCGTGCTCATAACTTATACAAAACGTACCCGTAACTTATCCAAAGTATGCCAAAGTTTCTGCCAGATTTTTCATACGAAAGGCATACGCTGGTCTGAATCGTCAAGGTGTGACAGGGGCTTCAATCATGAACAATCTGATTAATCTGTTCAGTTGTTTCAGCCCTACTGCAAACCATAACTAGTTCTCTCTCTGCAGATTAAAGAATGTTTCTAAATGATGTGAATATTGAGGCTGCTTAGAATTAGAAAACATGCAGTTGGACATTTTTGTAACAGATGATGAACGGATGATCAGTTTGTATTAACCCCACATTTTTCTCCCAATTTTAATTATTATTATCTCATTATGTTTTCTCATAGCTACAGCTTAATATTTGATTGAACTTACCCTGATCCAGATCTGTAATCTCTCTGTTTGTTAAAAGCTGCTTGTCATCTTGATGGATCAAGAAAGAAAAGGAAAAAAAAGAAAAATGTAGTTTTGCAGCAAAAAAGAGATAAGAAAAAACAATACTGATGCTATTTTTGCAAAGATAACAACATGCAAATCAATTATGTCATAAAATTCCCAACTTCTAAACTCGTCAAAAAAGATCAACCTTTCGTAAAATGAAATTTCAGCTAATAACTAATCCCGTCTTTAGCTTTGATTTATGCTATTTTTCATTTTCAAAGGGCCAGTCACCCAGATAGACACACACAGTCCACAAAACTTCACAATCATAATGAGAAAGTGAGTAAAATGCAGACTTAAGACTTTAGTGCGGTAAAAGATCATATCATCAAATAAACCACTATAGAATGTTATAGGCTTGGAAAAAACAATGTAATAGCTGATATTTGCAGCTATAATGTGAAACTATAGCAACAGCTGCTTCCTTTCTGCACAGGGTTTCAAAGTACATTAGCCGAAGCAGATAATGATTACCTGGAAAATCTATTTCTTGGCTTTTATTCCATGTTCTATTCACACGCTATCTTTACAACCTGAAATGGGCTCACTTCAGTTTACCATATTCATACAAAATAAACCATAAAAATATTCACTAATCACTTTGAAATGAGTTAATGTCCCAGTTAAGCACTATGGAGAATCAAAATAGACATAATCAAAAAATAAAAGCAGAAATATATACATTGTATACATTTTCCGTTTTTATCAAGAAATGTATATATTTTGTTTTTCCTTTTCCTTACATAAGCCTTTTAAATTTCCTCCTCTCCTTTTTTTTTCTTTACAGTATCCCGTTCTGCCTCACATTTTTCTGTAATTAGCTTTTTCCATTGCCTGTTTTTCCTCCCTGTGCAGCAGGAACAGTAAAAACAGAGGGGACGTGCTTGTCTCCTATTGGTCAGTAGCTGCTGGTGGCTGCCTGGCTATAGAAGAGCTAAAAGCAATGGCTACCTCCCATCCTGTTCTACATTGGAGAGCAGCAGCAGATTAGTATTGTTTGGCAGCAGGCAGTGCAATTAGTGAGATACTTGACTGCTTTTTGCTGACCAATAAATATAGGAACTTTATACTAGATACATATTTCTGCTTTTAATATTTAATTATGTCAGGGTTGGTCCTCCTTACTGAAACGCATCTCTCATCTGCTGTCATCATTTCAAACATTTTGCTTTCACCCCTTGTAAACTTAGCCAGGAAGAAAAGCTACTAAACACACATGGAAAAAGGGTCAGTAAGTGATTGTGAAATATTTGGGGGGAAAAAGAAAACAAGAAAAAAAAGCCAAGTTTTAGTTTGTTACTGCTTTAAGCATATTGTTAATGCAAAAAAGTTGAACCATCAGTAAGGATTGTTGCTTTACCAAAACTTAGAACAACGAAGCAGCAGAAGCATCAACAAACCACAGCAAAATCACTTTTAAAAGGAACTAAATTGAAGAGGATTAATTTATATGAGTTAGGATTATTCTTAGTAATGAATGAATAAACCCTAATATTACCTGCCTGTTGTTCAGTAGTTTACCTAATTGGGACAGTTAGAATAAAAAATCATCATCATTCTGTATGTGGCAGAATGATGCCACATACAGTCGCTGGAGTCGTGGATGTCTCCTCATCTGCAAACGATGTGATGATCTGGCACACTGAAGTTATATAAAATGGTTCTCGTGGCAACTTCAACGATATATGTGAGCCCAGTTGGTAAGCGCTGCCTTCTGTAACTCTAAGGCTACGTTCACACACAGCCTGAAGTTACCCCAAATCTGATTTTTTTGCCAATATGCGACCTGTATCTGATCTTTTCAGGACAGTCAGAAAAAAATGTATCCAATTTTTTCAAGGCTATGGGGTCCTGAATCCGATACCAATCTGATATTTTAAAATGCAACCTGTGTCTGAAATGCAATGTGTCTGAATTAGGGATGGGGATCGTTAATATTTATTGATATCGATACCTTTATCGATACTTCTTATCGATCAGAGTCTTTATCGATACCACTATCGATACTTTTCTGTTATTTGGTGGAAAGAAGATGCGACAATATGTTTTTAACAGACAGAAAGGAAGTGGGAAAAAATTATTTGAAGAAATGTCTTCTTTTGGTTTAAAAAAATATATAAATTTTCACAATTGTTGGTTAATGTATTGTCTACTGTCACTTTTCATCATGTTTTTATGATTGGGAAAATATTTAGCAAATAAATAATTGTATTTTAAATTAAATGTAATTTTTAATAAATGTTGGCATCAGTAGTTTAATTATATTTTCTAAAATAAATAGAGCAATATACAACTGTATTACTCATGTTTCTCGTCAAAAACTCAATTTCCATTTTCTTTACGTTACACTTGAACGCATCATGATAACCTAAGTGTCGTTTTACTGAGCCAATCTAAACACATCATCACGCAGCACGTCTGAAACTTTATTTACTTTTCAAGCTAACTAGTTTGTATGCTGCCGATTACAACACGGATTTCACGATTACTATTTTTAACTGACCGGACAAGCTACAAAGTCTGTGTGCGCGCTTACCAGCGGTACTCTGAGTGGATGATTAAGACGGGCCCGACTGTGGTGCGGTGGCAGCAGCAGGAGGAGGAGGAGTCTTTTAAACCCGGAGACAGTCGAAGGTACTGCATTTGGCCTTTATTTGATGCACAATACTAATGTGCTTGGCCATTGAGGTGGTTTCCCCCCTTTAAAAGAGATGATTTTGCAACATAACATGCATTTCGCTTCTTCTTTATCTTTGAGCTTGGTAAAATGAAGCCAGACTTTAGACCTTTTCGTCCGTTCAGCCATCCTCCAGTCGCAAGTGAAGTTAACTGCCAGACTTCACTAGTTTTAATTTTAATATCTGTTTGCTTACAATTTCATTCCAAAACATTGGTGGACATGCTGCAGTGATTGGATTGATTAGATTTAAATGCTGTGACGCGACTCAAGGGACACAATTATGTTACAGGACCTCCGGGAGAAAAAGAAAAATAACGACCAGACTCGATAGTGGTATCGATAAGGCCAAACGTTATTGATTTTCGGGTTTTGAAAAAAGTGGAACCGGGTCCTTGATAGAACCGGTTTTCGATCCCCATCCCTAGTCTGAATGTCATTAATATCCGACAAAGGTTACTATTCTGCAACTAGCTATGCAGAAGTGGGAAGAAAAACAACAACCATGGCGGACGATGATGCGGAGAGTAGTATTTATGTTTTTACCGTCTTGAAAAGATTGTGTTTCTAAGGTTGGGAAAGATCACTAGATGTGCTCCAGCACCATCAACCATGTTTACTTCCGTAAACACAGAGCACGCCGGCTTGGGACGTCATTACGTCCTATACAGCACAAGCAGGACAATTAAGATGTATGATTGCAGTTCACATAAGAGATCACATAGAAGTCACATATATTTGGAAAAGTGAACAGCAACGATTTGACAAAAAAATCGGAATTGAGCATTAAGGCCAGCAGTGTGAACGTAGCCTAAGCAACTTCTCTGATCTGACTAAGTTTACTATTTCTGTCCAGATCTGTTGTCATGTCTCATGGTAGATTAATACATATATATTATGAAATATTATTTAAAGAGTTTGTCCTGAGTTTTCTCTTCTCAGGAATAGAACCACCAAAGATTCACTTTGTAAACATGGAGCTTTCCATAACATTAAGGCTATACAGAGAACATCATCCAGGCATCATATCTGTATCTTTGCAACACATCAGAGAGCTCACTCAACATCATCAGCCAAATTTCTAAAAAGGTAGAATGCTATTCATACAGGCATCTGCAATCCAGCTTCACAAAACAAAAACGGCTGTCTATCGAACCTTTCACCGTATTGTAAGCTTTTAGATTAACTTACACCTTGCAAAACACAACTAGAACAGCAGTTAAGTAAATCTGACATGTAGGAGCCAAACTTGAAGATAACAGAGTCGAGTTAACTGTCTAAAGTTTCTTCCAAAGAGAAAAGTTTAACTGCATCACGGCTCTGAATGTCATCTATCAGGGGCTTCTGGTAAATTAAAGCTAAGCTAGTAAAAAAGCTACTAAAATTTTTTAAAACGGTAAATATATGTTCTAAACAGTTTATTTTATTTTATTGCATTGCCATTAGAAAACTACAGATAAAAAAAATAAAGCTTAAATTCATAGTTTAAGCCAAGGATTAGACAGTACGGTCCGTAGATGAGGTAAATTTCCATACCTGCATTGTTTCCCATTCCCATCATGGCGTGCATGTGACCTGGACTGACAGCAATGGGAACATTTGCCTCTGCTGGAATATGTTCAAAAAGTTCTTTGGAGCCTGTCTCCATACAGTTCATGAAGGGATTCGCATGTTTGCTGTCCATGTAATACATCATGTAGAAGTTGCACATTTCATCGCTGGAAGTACCACTGCAAAAAAAAAAGAAGACAATAATTAGAGATACAATCAACAATGACTGATGTTCATACCTCAAAGTAAGTTCAGCTTGGAAACTTTATAACTACATGAACGTTTTTTCTGAGTACAAATAGTTAAAGGAATGGTGGAGGATATGCGAAATTCAGGAATTTTTGAAAAGACCCTCCCACTCCACTTTCCAAAAAAATTGCACATGTACAACCCGGTACCCGCTGTGTATGAAACACCTGCAAGAGTATGCAGGAGCCCATTTGTCCTCGTGCACGTTCGGTTTTACAGTTCCTGTTCACATCGCTCATACAAGCTTACTTGCAAAAAGAAAATTTGCATTTTTTTCACTATGTCAGACTCAGTGAAAATGGGGACAAACAATGGTGTCAAAAGTACACATTTGTTACTTAAGTAGAAGTATAGATACTGCAGTTTAAAAACACTCTGGTAAAAGTTGAAGTATAAACTTTACCTCTTTACTCAATTAAAAGTGAAAAAGTATGTGCTCCAAAAACTACTTAAAGTATAAAAGTATAAAGTAACCTTTAAAAAAACAGCCAGATGCCGCTATATGAACAGAAAGCTCCATTTTACAACTATTTCTATAAATTCTCTGAGATAGGGCCAAAGATGAGGGAGGTCTTGTTGGTGTCCGTCTCCTGATTCGCTCTCGCCTGTGTCCGACCTTTCAGACATTTCAACATCTTTTTCTGTATCCTACATTGTAGCATGGCATAGCCAATTCACGTTAGCAGTTTGAAGAACACCTGCTTGCGTCTGATGAATTCCTTTAGCTAACCAATGAGTGTTTGCGTTTTATGACTCATCCAATTACACTAGTTTCCACTATATATAGATGGCTCTGCATTGAATGGCGCACATGACGTGAAATAATTACTTATAAACATTAATCCAGCAGGTAACCAATTAAAAATCTGTGCAGTCTGAATAAAGACAATCATCAACCAGTAAATGTCCTGAGACATTTTTAATGATCTGTTATTTTAAACAGAATTTAACACTGAAATAAAATGAGGTGTTCATGCATTCATGTTATACATTTAATTTTTTAATAAAAAAAATAGAAATTGCCGAAAATTGCATCCCGTGCTATCTCAGATGAGTTGACACTGTATTCCTGTATATCCATCAGTAGTTAAAGGTCAGCAAATGCTAATTCTGCCTGTAAAACAATGACAGCGTAATTGTCGCTTTAGGATCTGAAGCCTCATTTGGATTTTGAAAAACTTTGATTATTTCCTGCTGTAATATTATAGATTTAGAATTTAGAATAAAAAGCTAGCAGATGTGCATACTCAAAAAATAAATAAATAACAGAAATACAATTATAGAGCATTCAGTATTGTGAGAAAGCCCACAATGTTTCTGAATAGATACATTATTGTATGAGTTAAGTTCTGTTCCGTTTATGTCTCTTTCCTTGTAAGTATTGAAGGCGATAGCTTAAGAGCAGCCTTTAATGCTATCTTAGACACTATTGGCTTTGTTCAAAATGTGAATAGTCCCACGCATTCTCATCTTCATACTTTGGATCTTGTGCTGACATACGGCATAGAATGTGAAGAAATAACAGTATTTCCTCACAACCCTGTCCTCTCTGACCACTTTCTAATAACCTTCAGGATTACTTTAACAGAGTTCTCCTCCCCCAAAAGAAGGTTCAATTTTAGTAGATCTTTATCAGATAGTGCAGTTATAAATTTTAAAGAATCTGCTTCACTTTCTCTCTCCTCTGTGTCACTGAGCAGTGCTGCAGAGTGCAAAAGTTTAGCTTATTCCCCTTCACAGGTTGATGATTTTGTTGATGGGGTTGCTAGTTCTCTGCGTATTGCCTTAGACAACGCAGCTCCTTTGAAAATGAAAACCGTTAAAAATAGAAAGCTTGCTCCTTGGTTTAATGCAGAGCTGCGTACTTTGAAGCAAAATGCTAGGAAACTGGAGAGAAAATATCGCTCCACAGGCCTGCGAGAGTCCTTCCTAGTCTGGAAAAATGGTTTACTGCTGTATAAGAGGACCCTTTGTAAAGCAAGAGCAGCATACTTCTCCTCATTAATAGAGGAGAATAAGAATAATCCTAGATTTCTTTTTAATACAGTTGCCAAACTCACCCAGAGCCATAGCTCTGTTGAACCGTCCATTCCACCTGCTCTTAGCAGCAATGACTTTATGGGATTCTTTATAAATAAGATTGATCTTATTAAAAATAAGATCATAAGCACTCCTCTATCCGCGATTGTACCTGAGGTAGTCATGGAATCTGAACTGGGTTTAGACTGCTTTGTTCCAGTTGAACTCTCTGAATTAGCAAAATTATTGTCTTCATCTAAGCCTTCAACTTGTATGTTAGATCCAGTTCCAACCAGGTTATTTAAGGAGGTATTCCCTTTGATCTCCTCCTCCATTTTAGATGTGATTAATCTATCTCTGTTACAGGGATATGTACCTAAAGCTTTTAAGGTTGCTGTAATTAAACCTCTGCTTAAGAAACCGTCTCTTGACCCAGATGACTTGGTCAATTATAGACCTATATCCAATCTTCCTTTCTTATCCAAAATTCTTGAGAAAGTAGTTGCCAAACAAGTTTGCGATCACTTCCACCATAATGAACTTTTTGAAGAGTTTCAGTCTGGCTTTAGAGCTCATCATAGCACTGAAACAGCTCTGGTGAAAGTCACTAATGATATTCTCATGGCCTCAGATAATGGACTTGTATCTGTGCTCGTCCTGTTGGATCTTAGTGCTGCATTTGATACAGTTGACCATAATATTCTTTTAGAAAGACTTGAATATTTTGTTGGAATTAAAGGAACAGCACTAGACTGGTTTAAATCTTATCTATCTGATCGAATTCAGTTTGTTCATGTTAATGATAGATCTTCAACACGCTCAAAGGTTACCTGTGGAGTACCACAGGGATCAGTGCTAGGACCAATTCTCTTTACTTTATACATGCTCCCAATTGGTAGAATTATTAGACAGCATGGGATTAATTTCCACTGTTATGCTGATGATACCCAGCTATATCTGTCTATAAATCCAGATGAAGCTAACCCATTACATAGATTACAGGCATGTCTTGAAGACATAAAAACCTGGATGACTCTTAACTTTCTGCTTCTGAATGCAGACAAAACAGAAGTTATAGTCTTTGGACCAGAGTCTCTGAAAAAGAAACTGATTAGCCAGTCACTTCATTTGGATGGGATTAAACTGATTTCAGATAATAAAGTAAAAAATCTTGGTGTTGTTTTTGATCAGGACCTGTCATTTAGGTCCCATATCAAGGAGGTTTATAGAATTTCCTTCTTTCATCTGAGGAACATTGCAAAAATTAGAAATATCCTGTCCAGGGGTGATGCTGAGAAACTAGTCCATGCATTTGTTACTTCAAGGCTGGACTATTGTAATTCTTTACTATCAGGAAGTCCACAAACTGTAGTTAAAAGCCTTCAGCTGATCCAAAATGCTGCAGCCAGAGTTCTAATGAAAATTAAAAAGAGAGATCATATCTCGCCTATCCTGGCTTCTCTTCATTGGCTTCCTGTTAAATCAAGAATAGAATTTAAAATCCTCCTTCTCACATATAAAGCCTTAAATGGCCAAGCTCCATCTTATATCAGAGATCTGATTGTTCCTTATGTTCCTAACAGAGCACTTCGCTCTCAATCTGCAGGTTTACTAGTGGTTCCTAGAATTTCTAAAAGTAGAATGGGAGGCAGATCTTTTAGTTATCAGGCTCCTCTCCTGTGGAACCAACTACCAGTTTTAGTCCGTGAGGCAGACACCCTGTCTACTTTTAAGGCTAGGCTTAAAACTTTCCTTTTTGATAAAGCTTATAGTTAGAGTGGCTCAGGTTATCCTGAGCTATCTCTATAGTTATGCTGCTATAGGCTTAGACTTTTGGAGGACATAGGGACCCCCATTTCATCATTCTGCTTCATTCTCTCTCTGTTCTCCTATTCTGCAGAATCTGTTAGTTCAATCTCTAACCTTCTGCTCTCTCTGCTTTTCCTCAGAGTAGCTTTGCCTCGTCTGTTCCTGTTTGGCTGTGACGTCATCCTGGAAAGAAACATCAGCTGTGCTGCTTCTATCAACACCCTTGTTTATAGATGTTGGAGATCGGCCTGTTTTCCAGTGTGGTCCTGTTTCTCTGACCGTGACTGAGTGGATGTGCTTTCTTCGTCCTCTGGCATGGGAGCTGCCTTGGAGCTCGTCTGCCTGGCTGTGTGTTTCCTGGACGGGGCAGCCTTTTACAGCTGCTTTTTGTATCTCTGCTTCTGTCTCCTTGAACCCCAGTCGGCCTCGGCAGATGGCCGCTCACACTGAGCCTGGTTCTGCTGGAGGTTTCTTCCTGTTAAAAGGGAGTTTTTCCTCTCCACTGTCGCTACAAGCATGCTTAGTGTGGGGGATTGTATTTGAGTCAATGAGTCAATGCAATCAACTGGTTTTCCTTAGATAGAAAACTTTGTATCAATTTGATCTGGTTGAACTGTAAAGTGCCTTGAGATGACATGTGTTGTGAATTTGGCGCTATATAAATAAACTGAATTGAATTAAGTATGAGATGTCCCATACTCCTGAATGCACCATAGCTATTTGACGCTCGAGAATGCATCACACTGGTCTGTGACACTGGGCTGTGTTGATGCGCGTTCAATTTTCCGCTTTAGCCAAAGCTTTGCAGTTTCCAAACTCACGTCGGCTATACCCGTTTATTGTTGTGTGTCAATAACAAGAGACTACAACAAATTAATCAGGCGTACCTCGGACAAAATCTTTGGATTTAATGTTGTTCATAACAGCCGTACTTTTGTAAATTAATCTGCCAAATAACCACAATTTTTTTCCCACAAGAGGTATATTTAAACGTTTTTATATCATTAATATAACAACAAGTAGCTCCATTGGTCATATTTTAATCCGTTTTCCTCGCCGATTGTCGCAGCTGTACAGAGCGAAGCGCGCTCCCGCGACTGGGGATGCATGTTTCGGCAGGCATGCACTTTTCGGCATAACACCGGACGCGGTCCTCTAATCAGTGACCTCTGCATTAAACCGAAGCCAAGAGTGACGAGTAACGTTTGTTTTAAAATGTAAGGAATAGAAAGTACAGATATTTGTGTCAAATGTAATGAGTAGAAGTCAGAAGTAGGAGGAAAAATAAGTAATGGAGTAACGTATAGATACCTAAAAAGTGTACTTAAGTACAGTAATGAAATATTTGTACTTTATTACTTGACACCTCTGGGGACGAGCACATAGGACGGCCTTAAATAAACATATCACAAGAATGATTGACCATTAGGAGGACCTTTAATTTTGATTGTCCATCCAAAAAAAGAACATCCTTAACTATAACTGTAAATAAAAAGCTTGGAAAAACTGTAAATAGCCTACCAACTCAAAAGATGATGAATCTAATACATATACACCAAAAATGTTTAAATATGACCCTGTGTGCAAAAAACAATCTGGATGTGAATGAGAGCTTAAGTCATATTTATAGAGATTAATGTAATCAACAAAGCAGTCATAGAGTAAAATCAGGATTTGAAATAATAATAATGATATAATAATAATGTATATAATAATAAGGCTTATATACCCTAAAAGTTATGCTGCTATAGGCTTTGAATGCTAGAGGACATAGGGACAACTTTTCATCATTTAATCTTTATTCTCCCTGTCTGCCGTATTTCTGAATAAATCTCTAACGTTCTGCTCTCTCTGCTTTTTCTCATAGTAGCCTCATCTGGTCTGTTCCTGTTTGGCTGTGACTCCTTTCTGGAGAGAAATATCAGCTGTGCTGCTGCCATTAACACCATTGTTTACAGATGTTGAAGCTTGGCCTGTTTTTCAGTGTAGTCCTGTTTCTCTGACAGTGACTGGCTGGATGTTCTGTCATACATCCTCTGACAATCAAGCTGGCCCAGAGTTCGGCTGGCTGGCTGTTTCTTTCCTGGACACAGGAAAGCCTGTGGAGCTGGTTGACAGTTGCCTTTTGTATCTTCTTCTTTTTCCATGTCTGTTTCTGTCTCTCTGAACCCCAGTAAGCCCTGGCAGATGGCCGCTCACACTGAGCCTGGTTCTGCTGGAGGTTTCTTCCTGTTTAAAGGGAGTTTTTCCTCTCCACTGTCCTTTCATGCATGCTTGGTGTGAGGGATTGCTTTCAAGACAATAAGTCGATGTAATCAACTGGTTTTCCTTAGATAGAAAACTTTTAACCAATCTGACTGTATGATCTGGTTGAATTGTCTCTGTAAAGTGCCTTGAGGCGACGTGTTGTGAATTGGCGCTATATAAATAAACAGAATTAAATTGAAGAGTCCACCTATCATTACTAAATAAGCAGCATTTTCATTTTATTTTAGTTCAATGTGTGTTTATATTGGAGTCTATCAGAAAATCAGAAAGAATTTGCAATGACTGATGAAACTCACCCAATATATGTTTTGGAGGTTCGGCCCTCGCCAGTAAAAACACATCTAGCAGCTATGGTGTCACCATATCGCACAGTCACCTCTTTATTAGCAGGATAGAAAGCCTGGAATTAGAAACAAAACAAAACAATACATAAGTAAAGACACATTAAGTGTTCAGAAATCTAAATATTAGGGATGTACTGACACAACTTCTGAATTTCCAATACGATACAGATATTGCAGCTTTGAGAAATAGCTGATGCGGATATTGACCCAATATGATTTTAGCACAAATCATACCTTCTGGTGAGCACAACTTTCACTCCTCTCCATTTCTATTAAGCTCTTAGTTCCTTATTCCCTGTGGCTGAACTTAGCTTTGCAATCCCCTGGTTGATGGTTCTTTCTTCAAATGCCACTTCAACATGACAGATAGGAGCACTAATGACTGCATTTGGACACCACTGTTTTAGAGATTTGAATTACAAAATTTGAGAAACTCAGAGCAGATATTATTTGTAGTTTATTATTTTATTAAGGCGTTAGTTGCTGCCATTAGGCCAAGTTGTTCAGTAGGATGGGTTCTCGAGTTAGAGTTCTACTTTCTTTGTGGTAATAGATTCAAACTTAAACTTCTCATAGTGAAAGTATGAGAAGAATTAAGACCCTACTGTTTTCTTTTGGTTTGTTTTTAAATAAAAAATAATAATTGTTAAGACGCATAAAGACAACATTTTCCAGGTTCCACTTTATTTCCCCCTCGCTCCTCACACACCGCTAGCAAGCAATCTACGCCAACAACAGAACCAAACCTCGCCATTTCCCCCTCCCTCCCAGGGGAGGTTAACAATAACTGTCACTTCTATGCAAGGTTTTTACAAGTGCTGTAGAATCTGAAGCATAGTTTTTCTACACTTCAATACATCAGGTGGTCTTTGAAACTTACAAGGTACTTTAAAATCACTATTATAATTATACTGGAATGTGATATTAGAAGAATTTATTTGTATTTTTGAATACTTAAAGGTGCAGTACAAGATCTTTTCTAACGCATTTTTTTACCATGTGGCTTAAAGATCTCCCCACAGCCGCTTAGCAAGCAGTGAAATAGAAGGTCTGGAAGAGAAACTAAAATAAATGGTCCCTGCTGCAATCAGAAATCAATGAATAACCCCCAACCAATCACAAAAGACGGTCCATTGTACAGGATTGGTTCCTGACACATCAAGCATGGTCATCTGCTTGTCCCTCCTCCCTGTGCGCATACTCTGACACATGAACGAATCGACCCCCCAATGCTTGTGCAGGAAGCCATGGCTGGAAGCTAGCCACTGTTATTTTGGGGCCACGGACTGGACCGGACCAGCGGCCAGTTTGGCAGGCAGGGGGAAGCACGAGGCCGCCGGTGTCCAGGCTACCGTTACCGGGTCGGGTTCGTCGCTCTGTCCCCAGCCCCGGAGTTCACGGCTCAGTTCTGCTGCGCTGTATTCGACCAAAATCCCGGACGACTTTGAAATCCTCCCGGACATTTTTTTAGATATGAAAAGTAGGACATGGTCACCCTATTCACACCTCAGGCAGCAAAAATGCACGTGCTGCTTCATTTCTGATGCTTGTACAAGTTTAGTTCTGATGCGCAGCTGAAGCATCTTTGCTGCTCTGTGGAAAAAGTGGGTCTGATGGGCGTTGGGTGGAGCTACCCTATCCTTTCTGGATGACTGAGAATCTTCATCAGCATACCCTATCCTTTCTTTGCTTGGAACAATGGCAGCTATATCTGCTGTGATCAGTGGGTAAAAAGTAGTTTGAATCTATTTTAACGTGAGAAAGTTCACCTGAAATCATTGTCAGTGCAGTCAGTTCATCCAAATTACAAATCCTGCCTTCAAAAAAATATTTCTGTCGGAGACCCCCGTACACCCGTGGTGCGGCGTCACTAGGAATCCCATTCATCAGCAGGCTCTGGCCTAGTCGCCTCCTCGCAGTTTGAGCGGCGGCTGGAATGGCTTTTTTATGTACGTAATCCAAACTGCAGGCACCAGGATAACAAAAGCAAACATGTTTTGCCGGCAGATTTCGGCATTTTAATTGGAAGGCGTGGTTTAGAGGGGTGGTCTGAAGGGAGAGGCATGGCTGTGTATGGTCAAAAATCTATCTTCCTGGGACCATTTTTCCAAGATCTCCTACAGCTCCTTTATGTACTTTTAAATCCATGTACTTTTGAATACTTTTGCATTGAGTACTTACTGAAGTGAGTACTTAAACTTGAGTATATGTTTGACTAAGTACTTAACTTGTAGTTGAGTAAGATTTGACTACTAGTATCCATACTTTTACTCAAGTACTACTGTTGAGTACTTCGTCCATCACTGCCTAATCGCAACTCAACAAAATAGCAGTTATGTGTAGGGCTGGGTATTGTTCAAAAATTTTCGGTTCCGGTACCAATACCGATACCTTCACTTCGATACCGGTTCCTAAGTAACTGCTTTACTTAGCAGTTTTCCTTTAGAAAAATTACCATGTCTGACAAACAAGCCCGTTGAATGGGATCCTACTGACAGCGCATAGCGCACCGCTGGTATGGGGGGGTCTGAGCGGCTCCCACAGAAATATTGGAAGGCAGGATGAACTGACTGCACTGATTAAGTTTTCAGGTGGATTTTCCCACTTAAAAACATAATAAAATTACTTTATTCCCACTGATCACAGCAAATATAGCTGCAAGGCGAATAAAGGATAGAGTAGCTCCGCCCAACGCGCGTCAGACACACTTTTGCACCGCGCAGCCAGAGCAGCAAAGCTGCTTCAGCCGCGCGTCAGAAGCTGGTACAAGCAGCAAAAAAGGAAGCAGCAGACGTGATTATGCTTCTCCTGCTGCGTCCAGTTTGAAAGCAGCATTATTCACTCCGCTCTGGCTTTGCTCCGCCCACGGGCTGCTGAGAGGAGGATGGTCGCGCTGGCTGCGGTCCGCTCTTCTTGCAGGCAAACACCGAGCAACTTTCTGCTCTTAAATTATTTCCGTGCACGATGTATTGCATTGCGCACCATTGGCATCAGTCTTAATAAAGTGAAGCCGCACTTTTGACACTCGGTACCGAAACTTGGTACCGAAAGACGAGGCATGTTTCGATACTCTGTAGAACCGAAGCATTTCGGTCGGTACCATAAAATAACCGAAGTTCGGTACCCAGCCCTAGTTGTGTGGAATTTATCTCAGTGTCCACTCACTGGTTACTCACCTGTGGTAACTGAGGGGACTGTCTTCCAATCAGGCTCCATTTTCCATCACGAACTCTATAACCACTGACTACTTTACCTGTGAGAGAAAATTCTATGAACATCTAATATGTTACACAAAGGAATGCTGAAAAAGTTCATTATTTGTAATACCTACCTAGGCTATGTGTGTGAGTCCTGAAGGCAAACGGGTAGATTGGGTAGGAGTCATATTCACAAGCAACATCAGCATTTGTAACTAAAGGAAAAGAAAAAATTCAGTGTATTTTGAATAAATGCTTCAATTTTCAGTTCTTAAAAAAATGGTGAGGTAGGCACTATCTAAATGTTTAAAACATGTGTTGGGATGGATCATGCACTGTTCTGCAGTCCATTAACGGCTTTGAGTGCAGAAAAGAAAATCAGACTCAGGCTTTATATTAAACGTTATATGTTCTGTCCTGGATGGTATCTTTTGGCATAAAACTTAAAATTTAAAGCAAAAGCCTAAGTAAATGGAAAACATTTAAAAGCCCTTAGTATGATAATGAGTTCTTCTTTTTTAAAGAACTTGCTCAAAGTGCAGTTAACAGTAACACAAAGTCACTGTTCCCCATTTGAAACATCTTATCTTTTCACACACTCACATTTCTACATATCCCCGTTTCCACAAAGAAACAAGCCTGTAAAATGTTGGCAGATAATGTTCTACGGTAAACCTATCCACTGCATCATCTGTAGACAGAAAAAGTGTTTTTTTGCTGCCTTGCTACTTAAATGTGCCATATTGCAGAATTAAGCTGTTGAATTGCACAAACTTCTGAGTTTCTGAGTCTTTTGCTAATCCAACTTTAAAGCCATTTTCATATAAATGTTTCACAAATATGGCAAAAAATAGCAGTTATCTTTATTTAGCATAATCCCACAAATTGTTTAGTAATAAAACCAACTTTCTCAAAGTGCAGTTAACAGTAACACAAAGTCACTGTTCCCCATTTGAAACATCTTATCTTTTCACACACTCTCATTTCTACATATCGCCGTTTCCACAAAGTAACAAGCCTGTAAAATGTTGGCAGATAATGTTCTATGGTAAACCTCTCCACTGCATGATCTGCACACAGAAAAAGTGTCTTTTTGCTTCCTTGCATCTTAAATGTGCCCTGTTGCAGAATTAAGCTGTTGAATTGCACAAACTTCTGAGTTTCTGAGTCTTTTGCTGACCCAACTTTAAAGCCATTTTCATATAAATGTTTCAAAAATATGGCAAAAAATAGCAGTTATCTTTATTTAGCATAATCCCACGAATTGTTAAGTAATAAAAAAACAAAACAAACAAAAAAGTAGTGCATTTATATAACCAGTAACTGGAGAGTTGGAGTTAGACTAGACTTGTAGTTTTTTCCTGCTCGTACAGATGAGGCACAATTGTTTCACTAGACTTATTAAATCCACCTGTTTTTAAAACATGGATAATAGGGGAAAATATCAGCAAGAAACACATGAATCCCTTTAAAGTCATAGTGTCAGGAATCCAGTTTTTGTGGGTTGTTTTTTGTGTTTCCTTTTCTCCTCCACCAAGTGGTGCCCCGTTCTCATTAGGCCTCCCTGAACACCTGCAGCTCGGTGGACCATTATCTGGAGGAGTACTTAAGCCATGGACTGTCACTACCTCGGTGTTTGCCAGTTTTGGGAAGCCATCCTGCAAGCTGGATGTTTGGCCTTCTTCCCCTGGAAGGATTGTTTGGTGTTTCACACTGAGCAGGGGTTTCACCTCCACATGTCTCGTTCATGTTCTCTCGGAATTCCAAGTGACAGTCCGCTCTATTGCTCCTCCTGGTCCAACGATTGTCTACCTGTCCACTCTCCAACGAGTCCCCTCTTCTCTGGATCAACCCACACTAACTGGTTTTCAAAGTGAGAGAAGAACCCCCCCCAGACGTGAGTCGCTTACCAGCGTTATCCTTACAGCATCCAAGTTTCCCACGAAACCTGAACTAACCACTGTGAACTTCCCTCCTCCCTTCCAGTTCCGGTTCACCAGCCCACTGAGTACACTGAGTTCCAATTCCAACCCCCTCTACCTTTACCTCAATAAACCTGTTTAACCTTTTGCCTCGCTCTCTGAGTGGTTCTCTGCATTTTTGGGTCAGACCTCTAAACACATCATGACACGTAGGAAAACGGCTGTTCCAACCGTTGCATTTCGATTCTCCTGAGTGGTGCCCGATTTTACACGAGTGAATAAAGTGAATGTGATTGGTAGATTATCAAGGGGGCGGGATTGTTGTGGCGGAAGATTCGCAAGCAGGAATGGTTGTGGCCGGTGTCTCGTAAGCATCTTGCTAATCAGGTAGCAACTTAGTGCTAGTAGGTTCACAATGGGAAATTCCATTGGGACCAAGTAGCACTAAATTGGTGACTTAGAAACTACACTGTCAAGGAACGCTATGGACAGAGGAAACATGCAAGAGGAGGAGAGTTTAGTGTCGGAGGTCGTGGATGAGTCTCCTCCATCATCCATTTTTTATTTAGAGGAAAGTGGGGACAAAAACGTTGTGGAAGAGGACGCCAGGGCGGCAGAAGCTTGGTTTAGTGTAGAAGGCTTATAGCCGTACATGTTTGAGCTCTTGCCTGTTAGCTCTACGCCTGCTGAAGACACAGATGTCCAACCCTGTGAACACTGGGACGTAACTCAATGTAAATTATTCTTATTTCTTATTTCAACCGTTGCATATATTAGCTGCGACATATGAATCAAGATGCTATGACCGGAAAAAATAGATTGACAGATGACTGTTGATATATGATTGGCCGAATTAGTATAACTAACTGGCCTGCATAAAATAACAGAGAAAAAAAAAAACTGATTTTAAGACAGGAGTTTTTTTTTTTATAGAAATTTTTTAACTTTTGGGACAATATGGTCTGATAAAGAGTACATTTATAAACTTCTGGAAATAATAACAGGCTCCTGTTGATATGATCCTAATCCAACCTCTAATCATATTCTTGGTGCTGGGTTAGCATCAATTTGTTAAGCATAGAACCACTTTCTCTTGGTGAAAGTTATGGCTTACGAACAGTATGAGAAATTTACGTAAATTTACGACTTTACTTTTTACAATCTCATTCTTCTAATGTTGCCCCTTCATTCTCCTAATATTACGACTTTATTCTCATAATATTACGACTTTATAATGTTACAAAAATTATTATTATTATAAGGTTATGGGGAAAAAAATCCCTAGCCTGGCCTAAAAGCTTTGTCATAGTTTTAATAGTTTTAATGGCCTTAATTTTAGCAGCTTTCATTTACTACATTTTAAAAAATTTTACAACCCTTTGGACACCGTTGGCTTAGACAAATTCATACAATATATACACATACCTTTTTTCCCTGGAGGTATAATCGTGTCCACAGACATTAGCAGGTATATGCCAGCAATGAATGGCTGCCTTTAATGAAAAAAAAAAAGAAGAAAAACTCTTACTTTCCACATCTAACGCAATAATAAATGAGAACATGCAGCCAGTACGATGTATAACTCTCAAGTGGAAACGTTTTAATTTCCACTGGCTAAAAATTCTTCTTAAAGGAACCCTTTGTTATCAGATTATTAATCCATTAATCAAAAAATAATCGACAGATTAGTCGATAGCATTCATTTACATTGATAGTTGATTAACAGGCTTTTGCAAGCATTTTTTTATTTACATTGATAGCATTTTATTGCAGCCCTACTGCAATAAAATACATGAAACCTTCTTTAAATCCCTTTATTGTCATTGTGTATGTAGCTTTTTGTTGTTCTGGAAGTCCAACCGACTGTGGTGAGCGCAACAGAAAATGCCAGTCGCAATTCAGCAACAAATGTTTTTTTCCTGCTCGTATAGATGAGGCACCATTTTTTCACAAAGTGAGTGCGCGATATAGTTAAATAGCATTGCAAAAGCACATTAAGCATAAGTTTAATAGTATGATTCTGCAGCTGAAGGCTGTTTAAATGCCGCAGTGATAAGTGCCTGTTGAGCAGCACTCGTGTCGGATCCTGTCATGGGCACTGATACAGATGACGTCGCTTCAAATGGGTAGCCATGCTAGATGTATTTCCACTCTCATATGTCTACATACTGTCATTGTTTTGCCCACCACCCTTCCTCCAACATCACAGTATTTGACACGGAAGCCAAAAGGCTCCCATAAAGCAACTTAAAGGATGCAGGTGGTTTTTCAAGCTCCTGTCTTCTTCTGCTAGCCATGAACGCTCCGTTTACTTGACTGGATTGAACAGGCATTCTCCACGTGAGCACGCCTCTTTATGTATTTATTTATTTTGGTCAACCAATCCGTGGACGACTTGCACACCGAACTGTGGAGAGAAATCCGTAATGTTACGTTCAGACCGCAAAAGCGTGAGCAGCAAAATCGCATGTGCTGCTTCATTTTAGATGCTTCTACAAGTTTAGTTCGCGCGGCTGAAGAATCTTTGCTGCTCTAGCTGCGCGGTCGAAAAGTGGGTCTGCTGCTCGTTGGGCGGAGCTACCCTATCCTTTCTTTGACTGTGACAATGGCAGCTATATTTGCTGTTGTATGTGGGTGAAAAGTAGTTTTAATATGTTTATATGTGAGAAAGTCCAACTGACAACCTCATCTGTGCAGCCAGTTCATCAAGATAACAATCCTGCCTTCAAATATTATTTCGCTGTCAGAGCCGCTCAAAACCCCCGCAGTGCGCTGTCACTAGGAATCCTGTTCAACAGCAGCCTCTGGCCCGGTCACATCGTGCACGTCAGATGCTCAGCTCATGATGCTCTGCTCCTGCTGCTCAGACGCGCTGCTCCTGCTGCTCAAAACACACTGCGGGACCTTTTGTTGCACCTTGATGCGCATCAACCATGGACTTTGCATGTATACTAGCCGCTTCTGCTACCTCTGCTGCTTGCGCTCTGAATGTAGCATTACAGACCAGTGATGATACGTTTCACCAATTCTTTCCCTTGATTCCTAACACTAACTCAGGCCTCCCCAAAGGTGGACCTCGAGGGCCGCTGTCCTGCAGGTTTAGAGGTTTCTCTGCTTTGCGTATTCTGATGATTGCACAGCCTGTTAATCAACTATCAGTGTAAATTAGCTGTGCTGGAGCAGCAAGAACCTCCTAAACCTGCATGACAGCGGCCCTCCAGGACTGACTTTGGGAATGCCTGCACAAACCCAATGTCAGTTGTCTTTTAATTCTTAAATGAGTGTAACAAAATGAATACTAACTTTTTAACAATGGTATTTAGATTGTATTTATTTGTACCATTGCCAAGAGTAGGAACATTTTACACAATAATAATAAAAAAAAAGCTGTTTTTATTTAATATTTTTCTTAAAAAATGTCTGACTGCAGCTTCATTTTCAGGTCTCTCTGATATTCCCAACTGAACTGCTAAGCTCAAATGTTGCAGAAAATATGAGTACCACATTCTTCTTAACCTTTTATTTAAAAAAAAATAAAAAATGTTATGTTGGAATGTTATGTTAGGTTAGACGACTAGCTGCTGCATAAAATTGCTTCCTTTCCTACCATGCAAAGATACATCTGATTGTTTGGGCTTCAGACTTACGGTTTTAATGTCATTCTTAAGGTGAGTCCGGAGCAATCTCTGTGATGGTCTGGAAAAAAAGGAGTATAATTGCTTATTAACAAAGCAACTAGAGCTACAGCAAAACCATTTAGAAGCACTAAAATGTGAGATATTCTACCTTATCCACGGATCTCTGTGTGTAGATGTTTTCAAGGTTATTGTGCTTCCACCAGCTTTTAAGAGATTTTTGTTGTTGTTGGATTATGTTGCATTAGGCTTTTAGGCTTTCATAAGGTGGTATACAAAACATACATAATCATGTCTCTGGCACTAGATTAACTGTCCAACTCAAATATAATTTTTTTTATTTAGAAGTGCAGAGATCTAGCTAAACAAAACCTACACTTTGCCATATACAGTGAACCCTCGCTATAACGCGGTTCACTTTTCACGGTCTCGCTGCTTCAAGGATTTACATCATGCATTGTTAAAAATTATTGTCAAACATAATCAAATGTGGCATGTCAGTTTATAAGGATCTTTTGGCCCAGAAGAAAAAAAGTGCGACAACATCTACCGATAACTATGTTCTTCTCTCCAAAAACACACACCTGCACCGCAGGCTTTAGAAGAAAAAAACGCCACAGAGCAGAGTCAGGATGCAGCGGCTCCGTCAGAATAGCAGTGAAATACTGTACTGAACACGTCAGTCACTATTTGTCCTGCTGTATTTTGTATTTTTTTTTCATAATCATTTTTCACTTACTCCTGTTCCAATCTGTCACAGTGGGGCGGTGTTGATCCCCGCAATATTAACCCTTCAGTAAGTATTGATGATTAAAATTATTACTTATTTATCTATAACTGTATTATTTTACAGTACAGTACAGTAGTTATGTGTAAAAAAAAAAAACAACAACAAACGTTTACACAGTACTTTTATTTGTTAAACAAATGCTTGGGCCTGTAAAAAGTTTTTGTTCCTTTGATTTTTTCATTGTATAATGATTGTAAAAAATAAAGGTTTCTACTTCACGGATTTCACCTATCGCGGGTTCTTTTTGGAACATAACCCCCGCCATAAACGAGGGTTCACTGTATAGCAATGCACATTGAACTTGTTACACCTTAAAGGCAAACCGCTGACTTTGTGACCTGAAGAGTTGATACATATGGGTTATTTCAAATGATTCCTCAGACCAATATACAGCGCTTGACACTATCAACGCTATGAGCGTTTATAGTGAAATACAGACTATGGAAGTTGGGAGAAGACTTTTGCTTTTGCTCTATCATTTTTCCGCCTGCTTGACTTCTGGTCATGGCTGAGGCAAGGAAAAAGTTTAAACCTTTTGAGGAGGCTAAAAAGAGAAAATGTGAACAGGACATGACCAAAACAAGAGTCAAACTTAGAAAGGAGTTTTTTCACTGGCGAAGGGTAAAAGAAGAAGCCGGGTGTAAAACCGATTCTCTTTGCTCAACTTTATTTAGACGTCCTTATACTATACAGTCATACATCTTTGTTATTATTTTTGATGTTTAGTAGAATTGCAAAGAAAAATACGGGCAGTTACAGGTCTAGCGCCCCTAGTGGCCCAAAGTTACATGGTGGGCCTTTAGGGTGACCCTGAAAGGTATTCTTGAACATTTTTTCTCAAGTCCCTTTCCAATCATAATTTCAACAACAACAACAACAAAAAAAAACCCGAAACCCCCCCCCCCAGAAATCTAACATTATTAAATCGCTTTGTGTTGTTACATCATGCTGTCCAATCTTCATAGATAAAACAGGGTTCCTACAGCATAAGGCAAGTTAAATTCAAGACTTTTTAAAACTTTTTAATGCCACTTTTAATAAAAATGTAAGACCAAATTCACAAGTAAACCTGCTTGCAACAACTTAACCCAAAGGTTTATTTTAACATAAACCACTGCACTAATGTATCAAATTTTGAAATGCTTCCCATACAGGAAGAAAGCTAAAAACACACAAATGACAGATATATTTTAACAATTATTTAACTGAATTCACAAACTTTGTTTTAGCAGGGAACAAAACAAATCAGTTTTAAAGCCCCAACATAACCAGTGCTAAGTCTTTTTTGCAGCTATTTTTCTTTGTATGGTTTTCTTAGTAGGGGTGGAACGATTCACAAAATCCACGGTTCGGTTCGATTCACGGTTTCTGGTCACGGTTTTCGGTTCGATTCGATACATGTTGATTGTTACACCGAAATTCCATAAAAAAATTATGAAATTAATGAAAAAATCCCGCCAAAAATAATGGATTGTAATTATTTTAAATGATCCGCGGAAACCCTGGATCATTTCCGTATGTTTTGCTGCTTTGAATTTAATCATCTGGCGCATGCTCTCTAACCTGACAACAGCCAGATGCATGTCTCGCTCATGTCTCGCTCCGCCACATGCATCTGGCTGTTGTCAGGTTACATGCTCTCTACCATCTCCAAGGAACTCAGAGGGGAGCGGACGGAGGGAGCCACAGCAGAGGCTGTAGGCTTTGCTTTGAGCAGCCGGTTTGGAGCACAGCGGGGGTTGCTGACGGGTTTATGAGGGATTTCGGGGTTAGCATGACATGTTGCTGTTAGCATAAACAAAACGTGTTGCACAATGCTTGCACACTGTTGCACTTTTATCCACAACTTTCTTTCCGCCGTCATCGTAGGTCACTCTAAATGCAAAGCGCTCCCATACAGCAGACCTATAAAGTGCTGCTGGCGCGTCTTCCAACTCCTGTTCTTTCCCACTCGCCAGTCCGTCACAATTCTCCACAACTGATTTTTTCCCCTGCTACACCCGGCTAAGCTGCTTCGCTTCTTCTTCTTCTTGTTTACTACTGGCGGTTGGCTTTGGTCGCAGCACTGCCACCTTCTGCTCTGGAGTGTAATCGCTTCCTCTATGAGAAAAAGGAGCAGCGCATGAACCGAACGAAACACACGCGAACCGAACCGAGACAGTCGAACCGAACGATTCTGACGGTTTTCATAAATCGTCCCATCCCTATTTCTTAGTATGTTTGATTTAGTGATAAGTGGAGGCGTTGCAGAGACAAGGGTGGAACTAAACTGAGAAATACCGGCTGTTTCTCTGTAACTCCATTTTGACGCTTTGTGTTTCGTGCTTCGCATGTGCGACTCCACTGCCTTAATTCCCATCGTTCTGAGCTTGAATGACTTCTTGCATAAATCCACTGAGCCTCATGTATGTTCCCTGGTTTTAGCCATGGAGAAAACTCTTGGTTGGAGACAATTTTGGTTACATTTACACTTGCTCATATTTTCCAGACAAAAAGTTAATGGTGCATCTCGAAAATGTCCCGGCCGCAACAACGCCTTTATTGGTTCCGCTATCAGGACGGAACCAATAATGGTGAGCTGTTATTTTTTTTAAATAAAAAAAAAATTTATCCAATTTTAATGTTTTATTTAGATTATAAAAATAAATCGTAATAAAAATAATCCTATTTATGATGTTTTAAAAATTAAGACCTACAAAATACTGATTTAAAATTTAAGACATTTTAATACGGTATGAAAACCAGCATGACGGATCCGGTCATGCAAGCTAACGCTAACTCAACTACAGAAAAATTAAAGTAATAAAGTCAACGTTGAGTTAGCGTTAGCTTGCATGACCGGCTCCATGATGCTGGTTTTCCTTCCGTATTAAAATGTCTTAAATCTTAAATCGCCACAAGCGTCACATCACGTGACTAAGAATTGGCTGGGTGTTGGACGCCACAATCCATTGCTAATGTCTGTGACCTGAAGTAACCCTTCCCTTTTTACACTGAATTTAGACGCCGAATTTAAGACAGTGAAATAGAGCCAGTTGAATTTCAGCAGGCTGAAAATATTGAGGTTGAATTTTGAAAGGTTGAATTTTTTTATATGCAGATTTTTTTAACACTGAAAAATAAGTATTGAAAATGTAATCACTGAAATAGTAATGTGAATTTTTAGCTTAAAGAGAAAATAACAAATGAAATTTCAACTGTGAAGAAATAATGACAATGAAATTCTTTTTAGGTCAAAAATGTGTTCTGAATATATTTTAACACTGAAACATTAAGAACAAACATACAACATTTAAATTTCAGTGGCATTTTTAATTCAAATCGCAGAAACACAGATTTACTTCCATACTGGCTGCCGTTAGCCTCGGAGGTCCACTGGTTGCCGCGGTTCTCTCAACTTCAGAAATAGTTTTTTAATTACGTATTAAGTCGGTAAATGGACCATATAGTTATGCTTTAAAGTATAATATTCTCAGCTCAAATGATCTTAAAACATACTTTTATTGAACAACAGCAACAGAAGGAGAACTTTTAACTTTCAATGGAGCGCTTCATTTAAAGGTCTTCCAACCTCGTTATGTGTGATAATTTTGTGCAGCCTTCAATCTAAATGGTAATTATATCTTATACAGATGTGAAACAATAAAAAAAAAACACAACAGTTTTTCACTCTTCTATAAGACTGAACATATAAACAAACAAACTTTCTAATCATGGCTTTGGAGTAAATACAGAAATGCTTTTTTAAATACACTGAAATAATGGAAATGTTTTTGGCATTTACTTAACCATATTTAGTTACTTTAACACAATTGTTTTATGTCCTACCCTGTTACCATGAAATAGTTGTGTAAATAAATATGTTTAAGTAAATGTCAAAAACGTTTGCATTATTTTTTTTAGTGCACTATCATATGAAAATAAAAAACCTCACCTCTGAAGGCACTGACATCTCCGTAATGTATTTGCAGCACAAAGTAAGATGTTCCTGAATTTCTTCCGACTTTAAACCCAACATCTGATGAAGAAAGAAGAAAATTTAGTTTAACCCAAAATCTGATGGAGTATGACGGAGTATTAGGGCCAGGCTAGAGAATTTGTTAAATGTCATAATATTATGAGAATAAAGTCATAATATTACAAGAATAAAATCATATATTTACGAGAATAAAGTCATAAAATTAAGAGAATAAAGTTAAAAAAAAATCATCCTACCTCAACCCGTTTCAGAAAGAAAGCTTGGAGCGTGCATCTTCGATACAGACATAGTTCTTTGCACAATTGTTTCAAAGTTCTGATACTGATAATAACTTTATGATGGTTCGCTAAAAGACTCAATATTTCCTTAAATGTGAAACCGAGGCCAAAGTTTAACTTCACAAGATGCTCAACATTCCTCATTTTAGGAAAGACAGTGCTTCTTGTATTTTCGTAAAATTCCACTTTATTCTCATAATATTACAATTTCATTATTGAAATATTACAACTTTATTTTACATTATTCTCTAAATCTCTAGCCTGGTCATAATACTGCGTCGTCGATGGAGAACCGATACAGAGAGAGCAGACCCATATCTCTCTGTTAGACAGCTCTTTGCTCTTTCTGCTTTGCTCCTGACTACGGCAGGAATGCAAGTCTGAAAGTTTTATTCTGATGTTTTCGATATAATTATCTGTGATATAGATATAAATACAGCTGTTGTTTAGATTCAGATAAAGAGATCAGAACTTTTTTTTACTTTCGTTTCTCTAAACAAAGCAATTTTTATATCACACATATATATGAAACAATATATAACCTGAAATTTTTTAAAACATTTGAATTATTAAAGTGTTTGACTTACTTTTAGGTAATTTTGTTGGCGGAGCATTTCGAGCCCAGGCATACATAATGGAAGAGTCATCTTCACAAGTACCTTGTACGCTGCCACAGTCCCTAAACAGAAATGGGAAATAATCAACACCACATGTTGTCTAAAAATAATCAGGCCATCGTACTTCAATAAAAACTATGGAAATCGCTGTTTTTAATACAGAACAAAAAAAAAAAAAATCAAGATTGTTTTTATATAATTTCTCTCTTTTTTTCCCCGCAATCAGATTCAGTCAGAAATAGCACATTTACAAAGCATTGCATAGAAAATTTTTTGCAGATTTCTTTAATATTTTGTAGAAGCCTATTCAGACTGATGGAAGTGGCACAAAAACGTTGATACCTTCACACCTTCTCAAAACAGTTCTGAAAACTTTTTAAGGTCTCCTTGGTTAAAAACAGTTTTTCAGCTCTGCCCACATACGTATTTTCTACAGATCTTCACTTTGGGCTTTTCCATGCCTGTCCAAAAAAACTTAACTTTGACATCTTCAGGCTCTTTATAACTAATATGACAGATATCTTAGGGTTATTGTCCATTGAAAGACTCATTTGTGGCCACGTTTTAATTTCTTGAATGATGTCGATGCTTCATTCTGTTCTGCTCCATTTCAAATTACTTTACTGATCTAAAAGGAAAATAAATGTTGTAGGAAACGAGTTGCTGTAGATGCACCTGTAGGCAGGAAGGATCTTCTGTAGTAAAGTCTGTTGTCCACATAAACACTGACATATTCATATTTCAACAAAAAGCTTTTTTACTATACAAGGCCATCAATTTTGAGGATGAAATATAGTTTATTCTATGTGAACGTCTGTTTTAAGTCGTTTTTTCTGACAGAAGTTATTAATTTGGATGTTTGTTTTTTTGTGTGTGTTCTCCTTAGATTTTTTGAAATACCAAATATTTAGAGATCCAGCCAAGAAAAAACTACATAAGCCACCAGAAGAGTACTTGATTTTAGAATAAAGAGGTATAACTCAAAAGATTCTCCTGGTCATGTCATCTTTCTATAAAAACACTACTTTGCTATGTTGTTAGTCCTATTTTACCCTTAAAGCTCATCTTTGTTATAGATATTTTACTACCTGTTACCTACAATGATGTTTCATTTGATCACAAAGCTTAAAAAAAGAGATATGGGCAGGAATATATCATTCTGCTTCATTCTATCTCTATTCTCCCAGTCTGCAGAATCTGTTAGTTCAATCTCAAACGTTCTGCTTTCTCTGCTTTTTCTCATAGTAGCTTCATCTGGTCTGTTCCTGTTTGGCTGTGACTCCATCCTGGAGAGAAATATCAGCTGTGCTGCTGCCATCAACACCTTTGTTTCTAGATGTTGGAGATCGGCCTGTTTTACAATGTAGTCCTGTTTCTCTGACTGGCAGGATGTGCTCTCCTCATCCTCTGACATGGGAGCTGGCTCGGATCTCTTCCACATGGCTGTGTGTTTCCTGGACGGGGCCGCCTTTTACAGTTGCCTTTTGTATCTATGCTTCTTTTTCTATGTCTGCTTCTGTCTCCTTGAACCCCAGTCGGCCTCAGCAGATGGCCGCTCACAAAGAGCCTGGTTCTGCTGGAGGTTTCTTCCTGTTCAAAGGGAGTTTTACTCTCCACTGTCGCTACAAGCATGCTTAGTGTGAGTGACTGCCTTCGAGTCAATGAGTCGATGCAATCAACTGGTTTTCTTTAGATAGAAAACTTGAACATTGAACTAATTTGACTGGATGATCTGGTGCAATGTAAACTGCCTTGAGATGACGTGTTGTGAATTGGCACTATATAAATACACTGAATATAATTCAATATAGAGTTATGAAATAATTAATTATGAAATTATTATAATACAATAGTCAATAATTACACTCAAACTACTAAAAATCTAAAAAATTATTTTGCTTAGATAATAAATGTAGGTCTTACCAGTAACCTGTAGTGGAGATAGGGGTCTGACAGCCAAAGAGTAGCATGTGGTGAACTGTGTCCATGCTGGCATGAGGTAGGAAGTCCACTGATTAAGGAAAAAAAAAACATTCACTAATTGCAATTTGTATTTCTATAATCTTTGAGTTTCCTAAATATTTGCTCATTCCATACCAACCTAATACATCGAATGATGTATTAGGTTGAATGCATCGAATACAATACATCGAATGAAGTTGCCCTACGGACAACTTCATTCGTGGGAACAAGCATGCTTGCTGTTTGCAAGCAGGTAAGCTTGAAACTTTGAGAAGTTGCCTGATAACTATAGGAGTATTTTCGATTTATTTTTTGTTCTTTGGGACAATACTGTCTGTGGAATGGGGGAAAAAAACAACAGCTAAGATATAAATGACAACAGGGGAGGGGGTCGCGATCGGTACTAAATCTGTAGCAAATGTCAAACAGATGCCCACGATTTTTTTAATGGTTCTTGGAGAGAATTTGAGTCTTTATTTCATAAAGATCGAAATAGATGCTGTTAGTGGATAACAGTGCGCTTATTTTGCCCTTTGGACATTTATAGCAGGTATAACTGCCCTTCGGTGGAACATACCTGGCTGTGTAAAAAGCCAGGCAAACAATGTACAATTTTTCACCTCCCGATCAGGAATCGTAAGGTCGGGAGAAAATCGCCGTCGTAAGGTATTTGTGAGCAAATCCTATGGTTCAAGCAGAGCTACGACCCGATTTACCAGAACATTGCGCATGTGCAAACAAGGCAGTTCTTCTTCTTCAGGTAGAGCGCATCAGAGCGTCGGGCCGCACCAAGTGAGAACACGCATCATGAGCTGTGAACTTTTAAACCCTGCAGTCTCATCAAACAGTTTGAAATGTAGCTGCATGCAACGGTTGAAAATATTGCAAAGCGCATGGCCGGCTTAACACATCAGTTTACATTCTCAAAATGTACTAAAACACATGAAAACGTGAGAATCAAATTTCAGATTAGTTTCAGTGTCAGCTGTAATCTTAACAGAATAGATAGGCAGAAATAAAAGCAGTCCTCTGTTGGTTTGCAGATTTTGTTGGAAGTATTTGAAGACTGTTTTTCAGTTTTTCGTTCTCAACGAGTCTAAATTTTAACATTTTCTGGGGGAGGATATGCCCAGACTAGGGCTGCAACTAACGATTATTTTGAAAATCGATGAATCGGCCAATTATTTTTTCGATTAATCGATGAATCGGACACAAAATATTTTTTTTATATTAACCTCTTTATTCCAAAATAAACATTTTAGACAGAACAAACAAGCACACAAGTACAGGTTTCTCATTAACTGTACTGGTGCAATATGAAAAATAAATGTTTGTGTTAAAACTACGCAAACTTACATGAGAAATGTAGCTGTACATCCACAAAATATAGGCTACTTTGTTTCATAAAGCGCAAAAAGAGACAGGCATTTTTGTTTTTAAAAGCCCCTAAGGGGTTCAAACAAACCCCCCCCCCCATTTCAACAAATGAGGTTTTTTTAGACTAGAAGAGTTCTGCCTTTTAAGACAGGAAAGTATAGCAGTTAAAGTTGCTACTTGAGAAAATCCTGAACCCTAGAGATAAAAATAGCCCTGTGATTCAAATTATAAATTGTATTTGGAATAAAAATGAGAGAACTAGGGGTGCTAAAAAACACATCCTCCAAAGACAGATATTTACATGGGAATGTGGCAAATAATGAATTGACATATTACTGATCTTGCTGGATTTTATTCTGCTTCACTTCCATAAATTGCAGGATCTTCTTTACTTTATCTTTGCCAGAAGATTTAAACTTTAAAAGCCTTGCCCTCATTATTTGCAAGTTAATTTATTTATAAAGAAAATATAAACGCTGCTTAAGCTAATTCAAATGAAATTAAAAGTAAAATAAGAAGCCAACCTTATCACTGTCTGTAACCTACTAACAAGCTAAGGAAAGCATCAGATGAGCTACCTGAGAAACTAACTTACGTTTCCCCACTTTAAAATGAAACAAACATGGTTACTCATCCTGCTGATCAGCTCTCTTCACTGCCATTGAAGGCTCCAACGTGTTTTCTTTTCAGGTGCTGCGTCATAACAGTGGTGCTTCCGTGCCATGTTCATTTGTTTTTACAAAAGTTGCATGTTACGACTTTTTTCACTTTACAAAGCGCAGGCTATTTTAATTATTGTGATCAATTTGCGCCGTCAATCCCGGGGCATGCGCGCTTCATTTGCAGTCTGGACGCTGAGGGTAAACTCCTCACTAAAATCCTGCGGCTCTGACTGCAGCGCTGAGAGGGATTCTTGTGGGAGAGGGAGAAAGGCGTTGGGATGGGGGAGGCGCCCCACGGCAGCAGCTGCCGCTGTAGGAGAAGAGTAGGAACGATACATGCTTTCACGTAAGAGTCTCCAAAAGCCGCCAGTGACACCGTAAAAAGTCGCCAGATTTGTCGCTAGTAGCTTTTTAAAAAAATAGTCGCTGGAGGGGTCTGAAAAGTCGCTGAGTTGGCAACACTGCAACTGCGGCGCTGACTCGCTCCGCCATATTTTTTTTTTTCTTCCCCGGGATGACGGCGGCGGCGGATGACGCATTAATCGCGCGACACAACTAATCGATGATTAAATTCGTTGCCAACGCTTTTAAAAGTCGATTTTTATCGATTTTATCGATTCGTTGTTGCAGCCCTAGCCCAGACCCCCCTATGACAAAGCCTACACCCTATGAAGTATTCCTAGCTAAAAGCCTGTCCCACTGCAAATAAAAACATGTTGATATTACTTAAATTACTTGTTTAAAAACAAAGACAGACTCACCAATATATGAATCTCGATGTGTTGGCACAGGAAACGCCATGCAAAGGTAAGTGTCCGACTGAAATAATCAAAAAGAGAATGAAGTTAACCACATTAACTCATTTTGACGTGCTCATTATGGGAACATGACAATGGACCACCGCTGTGTCCCGATGTTCACCTTAATCACTGTACACGCCACTATATAGTGGTTAGGCCCACTGTCGATCAATGGCTTAGAGCAGATGTTCGCACACGGACCATTGCTCAATGTTTTCAGACCGTTTCTGACATTTTGGGTTCTTCCCTGTTATATAAAAGGGTTCTATCATAAAAGCAGTGACAGGAATTATTAGCAACCAATTTAGCAACCAACTTTTCTTTGTTTCAATGAGTCTTACAGGCATGTTTTGTTCAATTCATGTCTGAGTAATTCTCAGTATTCTGTTCTCTGAGTAGCGGCTCCTCCGTGTCCTGGGAAAAAAGTGACCACAACTTCCTATATCGATCAGTGCAATGCTGTGCCAGTTAATAGTTAAAATGAACGAGCTCAAAGTTCAGTTCACACATAAAAATTAACTAGCTCACATTGTATACTTGAAGGTCAAACTAACTAACTAACTCAAGTTAATTTGGTAAATTAAGCCACAATCCTACACAATAGAACCTTATATTTCATCCTTTAAATGTGTGATCATGATATATAGACAGAAATGGAAAATACTCGATCCAGTCAAGTTATACTTATGTGCAGAGAAGTCTTTCTTTAGCAGAATTACACAGAACCTATGTTTCTGAAGTTCAGGTTCTGTTGCAAAGATCTGGACCAAAATTATTTCTTACGTTCCTCATTCAGCAGCAGATATTCCCCAAGACAGCTTGGATGCTGTAACTGCATGTGTTGCTTTAAATTTGAGGTGGACGTGGATGAAGTACGGACTTGTTTGTCCCAATGGGCACAGTTTGCAGACAAACTTGAGTTATTTTTGTCTGTCCAAGTCTTCCTTTGTTAGTTCATAAAACTCTGCCAAGCACTCTGCTAAACTGCATTAGAAACACCAGCAGATGAGTCTGAATTGCGCCGACAAGTACTAGCAGTATACATGCTGGTCTGTCATGTTGTTTGCCGTAATAAGTGCCATAAAACCTGACATCCAATGAAAAGTGTCGTTATCAGTTGAACGGCAACATGAGTTGTGTGGGTCACTCATTATTCTGTGTGAACGTCACTCTTGTTCGCATTCATTACCTCAAAAACTGATCTGTCCCGTTCACCATTCTCTAAAACATGAGCGTATTCAATGAACGCCGTTCATGTACATCTCTGAATCAGTCATGGATTACCTTAAATATCAAGCCTTGCTTTTTCAAATGAGGCTGGTCGTGTCAAACCACCATAATTTCTCAATCAAAGGTCATGTAGCATCAAACGGCTCAATTCTGCTGCTTAACCAGCGCACTTATTTTCAAACAAACGTGAAAACATTCAAACAAGGACTAAAACAAGGTTTTAGGCTTTCAAACTGTGGGAGATTTATTTCCAGGTAGTTATAGTACAAAAAGACAAAAATAAACCCTCCACATGTGTTCCTACTTTTTTTCGTGAATACAGAGCTAATCTAAGAAATGTTTAGGTAAATACTGACTCACCTGAGTGGGTAAAACACCAGGCATTCGTAGATCAACAGTGAAATTTTCAGAGTTTAAGAGCTGCAGCGGTTTGACTCTGGACACACAGTCAGTAGGATTTAAGACGTTCTCCCAAACCCTGAGGAAAGACCACAAAAAGAATAAAACATGTTGCTTTACTAAAACATCACTCAGTAAGAAACAGATGTTATTAGGATCTATGACAAGGTTTTTATATTACAAGAACTTGTTTAGCTAAACCTAAGCAAATAAAATGTCTAAAGTCTTATAACACAACCTTTGGTTTTAATAGACAATATTGTGCTGCATGGTAGTAACCTGACTCTGCCAGATGGATTTGCTCCGCATATCCATCTGGAAACCTTCCGTTGAAGTAATTTTGGGAAGGGGCGAAAATACTGGTTAGCTGATTGGCCTATGTTGGTGATAGACGGGCCAAATAAACCAATCAGATCAACGAAGCATATGACGTACTAACAGAGCGACGACGAAGAGGAGCCAATTGATAGATCAAACTCTTACCGAAACCAGTCGGGAGAAGAGCAAAAACATCTTTTCCTCTGAGAAAAGCCTCCAGAGCAGTGTTTTGCTCTTCTTTCAGTGAAGAAATACTCTGTAATTCCGATAAAACTTGCTCGATAGCCACGCTAACGCTAGTTTCATCGGCTGAAGCTGTCATGTTCTTTAGACTGAACTGTCGCGCTTCCCGTTGCGTCACACCTCAACCCGCCTCAAAGCCAACGCTGATTGGACGTTCGTTTGGTGAACGGCTCCAAACTTTCTTCAACGGAGAGTCTCCAGACTGATCTGCGAGTGAAACCTTGAAAGCTCACGAGATCAGGATGGTCTCACGAGGCTAGCATGGTAGGGCTGGGCCATTAAATATTAACATTATATATTGCAATCGACACCTGATTAAAATCCATGAAAAATAAAGAACTTTACTGAATTTGGATCCAGTAGTTCACCACATACTGAGGAATATAGGAAAAATCCTCTCAACCTCTAATGGCCAAGATAAGCATGTGCCATGGTAGGGTGGACCTTTCTTTAAAACATAACTTTTACAAAGGGTTAGGGGAACGTTTGTTCTTTTTTTCCCCTGGTCTTTTTTACAGTAGATTAAATTATTTTCAATACGATTCAATCTCAAATTGCTTTTATTATCATTATTACTATTAAACACGTTTTTTGTAGCAGTTACATGAGTTGTATGATTGTACAGTGATGCAACATATTGATATTATTATTATATTAACATTCAACAGCAAATAACAAAGTCACTGCCTCAAAGACAGAAATGGCGCGGAGGAAGCCCATTTTCCCTCAGTGTTTTAAGTAAAAATGTTTGGGTTTTTAAAATCGATATTAGGAACTAAATGATCAATATTATATTGGGAAGTTGAAAATAACAATATATCACCAAGTCAATTTTTCCCACACCCCTATAAAACATGTTATGCTGATAAGTGTTACAATGAGGGTCTGTTAATATCTTTCAGCTTTTCTTCCCTTTAAATATAAATCCAAAATTGGGAGCTAATGGATGAAAAGGTTTAATTAATTTATTGTTTAATTTATTGTTTAATTAATTCTTTCCATTTCAACAACATATTTTATTGAAAAATCCATTAAGCTGCATTTGCTGTTTTGTCAGTTTCTAAATGACTTACAAAGCTGTTAATCCCATCCTTATATATGTTCTGGTTGGAAGACAACCAGGTGGATGGATGGAACATTAAGCAACAGAAAAGGGGTTAAATTCTGGGTATACAAATCTTGAATCTATATAGCCTCATGTTTTATGTACTACTCCATATCTAAATTAAATTCCAAAGTTTTTCAGGAATGCTGAAGGAGCCATAGATTTTATTAAAATATTTCTTTCATACAAAAGACACAAAGATATCCTGTTTTTAACAATTTAAAGGACTTGATAAAAAACACAGAATGTGAGCTGAAGTTAATATTTATGAAATCATGAGGGCAGTAAACTAGAATTAAGACACAATAGAGGGAAAAAAAAGGACATGGAATTGAACGTTTTACTTACCTTTTTGACCCGTACAGGGAGGGATGCATTTCACTGTGACTGTGATGGAAGAACGCTACCACCAAACAGACCACAAAGAGTCCCATCACACCTACAGGTTTCGCAGAACAATTCACTGCCTGGCTGCAATGTGAAAAAAAAAAAAGAGTCATCAGTACTTGCATGTAATTTACATCCCCAGTGTTAATTCCCTACATGCATTTTGTTAATATGCTTTGGTTTCAATACATTTTCAAACTAGAGAGCTTGATCCATCGTATCATCCTGCCTAATGTACCACATTGTGTCGCCTGTCTAATAAACAATCTTGGTTGGTATTGAGCGCTTTTTGGAATTTCAATCATTGTTTCTTCCCTCTCACCCTACAGCCTTTCAATGCAGGTAGCAGCTGGGCAGCTTAGGAGACTCTTAAACAATCCAGCTGCTGTGATAAAAACACCTGAGCTCTACTGCCAATCTCATTATATCCCATTTCCAGCTAGGAATCACCAGATACAGAATAAAAACAAAAAGAAACAAAATAGCACTGCAAGAGTTCATGCAGGAAATACAATCAGTAGCACAATTAAAACGAGATTTATACTAGATGTTTTATTTAGGTAAAGACAGTTTTCAGATATCTGGATATACATTGAAGTTTTTACACAAACCGATCATTTTACAGCTGAGCGGCTTTTATCTGAATGTTGCACTTTTTATCCTGGAGATTTAACATCTATCAAATACTATCAAACTTGAACTTTTGCCACATTTCAGGCTTCAAACTTAAAAAAATAAAATTGGCATTTTTTTGTGAAGAATCAACAGCAATAAAATTCAACAGCAATATTTATTGGATGTTTGTAAAGTTTTTTTTAACAAATAAAATACTGAAAAAAATTGGGTTTGCGAAATTTTGGAGCCCACTTCAGTTAATACCTTCTAGTGCCAGCTTTAGCTGCGATGAAATTCATCATTCAGGTCTGGGCTTTGACTAGGCCATTCTAACACCTGGATATGTTCATTTGTGAACCATGTTGCTTTCTGTTTTGGATCATTGTCTAGTTGGAAGATAAATCTCCGGCCCAGTCTCAGGCCTTTTCCAGAATCCAACAGGTTTTCTTCCAGAATGGTCCTGTCTTTTGCTCCATCCATCTTCCCATCAATTTAAACCATCGTCCCTGCATCTGCTGAACAAAAGCAGGCCCAAACCATGATGCTGCCACCACCGTGTTTGACAATGGAAAGAATGTGTTCAGGGTGATGAGCTGTGTTTCTTTTATGCCAAACGTAATGTTTTGCATTGCTGCAAAAAGTTGGATTTTGGTTTCTTCCAGAGGTGTCAAGTAACGAAGTACGAATACTTTGTTACTGTACTTAAGTACACTTCTACTCACTACATTTTCACATAAGTATCTGTACTTTCTATTCCTTACATGCTTAAAACAAAAGTTACTTGTTACTCTTGGCTTCAGTTTATTGTTCATAAACAGTGTTTCCCATTAATGAGTGAGACTGTGGCGGCCCGCCACTGTCTTATATAGACAGAGAGAGAGATGATCAGTGGCGGTTCACTCCCCAGGCGAGACCCACTCCAAGTGCCAGTTATGTTTTTTCCAAGCGCGCGTCCCGCCCTCCTTTATAAAGATGCCGCCCTGGCTGCCCGGTCGCCCGTGCAGTGTTGCCAACTCAGCGACTTTGTCGCTATATGTAGAGACTTTTCAGACCCCTCGCGCGCCGGACTGGAGTTGTGATAGGCAGCCCGGGCCACAGGTGGCTACGCTCTACCCCTTCTAGTCAGTGTTGGGAAAGTTCTCTTTCTACGTGAACTAGTTCAAAGTTCAGTTCACACATTTTAAAATGAACTAGTTCAGTTCATAGTTCATAATTCAAAACCAAAAAATGAACTAGTTCATAGTTCTTTTTTTTTTTTCATATATTGCTCAATTACACCATAGCCTACTGTACAACCACAGACAGCAATTATTTTATCAGTTGTAACTCTGAAACTGTGCGTCAGATTTCATCTTCATATCCAGTTTTGAATCCTTATCCAACCAGGGTTTACATTAGCATTGAGGGGACAGCATTTCCCCATTGTTGCTTTAACACTTTGTTGCTGTCCATTCACTTCACACTAGTAGCAGCTGCAGCTTTCACCCCTACAGTATATTCTCAAAAACATCAGGAAAAATGTGCTGCTTGAATGGTCTTTTTTATGAGTAATTATTAAAAAGAAAAATAGGAAAGTAGTCTTTAAGGTGCAAATGTTTTTTTTTTTTTTTTTTTATAATTTTTTCCATTTGAAATTCCATTTCAATACATACTAAAAAGGAATCCTGGAAAATTATACCAGGCAGGTTTAACAAACAAGTTACATGGATAGTAAAACCCTCAAGAACAGGGGTCTTCTATGTTTTCCAGACCAAGGACCCCCAAACTGATGGCGAGATGTAGCGGGGACCCCCTAACTATATATATTGTATGAAATTGTGTCCTATAGTCACTCTATTACAGATGGAGTAATGTAAAGAAATTAATTTCTCCCTGGGATTATTAAAGTTTTTCTGATTCTGATTCCTGGTTGTTGTGAAGGAAACGGTGCCCAGCTTGAAAGAGCTCCTGTGCGTCGCTGAATGTGTGCATTGATGACTGAAAGACATCTTTTGTCTCCATTTATCTGTTTACTACAGTGTGTTGATTTCATGTTAATGAGTATTTAAAGACATTTCAATTAGTGGGGGAAAAAAATTGCAGGGGGGGAATATAAAAATATCAACTAACCATGCAGACCCTCATGCAGTACCTCCGTAGACCCCCTAGGGGTCGCGGATCCCCTGTTGAAGACCTCCGCTCAAGAAGATTTTACTAACACAAACTGAGGGACCAGGCTGAGGGAGGAATTTAAGGTTACTGAAGTGCGGATTTTTTTACTGAAAGCCGGCGGGCAAACTTGTTGCCATCATCATGTTTTAAGTGATCATACTGCTGCTTTGTCGCCTCCACGCTGCTGTGGCTTCCACACGGCATTTTGTTTTGATGACGCACGCGGCTGTAGGCTACGACACTGGTAGCTGGTGTTGCCAGATTGGGTGTTTTTCCTGCTACATATTAAGGCCTGTTTACGGTTTGATTTAGCCGGGGTTTCGCCTGGAGGGCTCTATAGAAATCTGGCAACCTATTGAACGGAGCTGAACTGAGAGAGCGTGCCGTTCACAGACACCAGAATGAACGAGTTCACAAAAACGTTCATCAGGCAGTAATGCAGCACGTTCGCAAAAAATATGAACGAGTTCATGAACTTTCGTTCAATGAACGCGTTCAGGCACAACACTGCTTCTAGTCATTCTAGCTAATCTGAATCATTCAATTCCATCTGGAGAGCGAGATCATCTGTGGTAGCAGCACTAGACATCTTCCAGGCATGTGAGGAAAACTAGCAGTAGTTCAGCGGACAGGAAGAATTATGAATGAGAGACTATCCCACCAAAAAAGATGTTGAAATGTCTAAAAGGTCGGACACAGGCGAGAGCGTAAGGAGATGGAAACCAACAAGACCTCCCTCATCCTACAGCCATTTCTCAAAGAATTTCCCGAAATAGTCGAAAAATTTAGTTTTCAATTCATATAGTGGCGTCTGGCTGTTTCTTTTTAAAGGTTACTTTTTCTGTTTCTCTCATTCTTCAAAAACAAAGTTAATTCTATTAGATCTCAGCTCCACAGCCTTCCTGATCTTCGGCTGCCATCTACCCTTGTACACCATGGGTCCATGAGCTGCTTTGATGAAGTTGCACAGAGTGAAGTGGAGAACATCCTCAAGAAAATGAAGCCTTCATCTTGTGCCCTGGATCCCTGCACCTCATCACTCATAAAATCTAATCATGCCGCAATAAGTCCGTTAATCACACAAATAATAAACAAATCACTGAAATCTGGTCATGTTCCATTGCCTCTTAAAACAGCCATCATTAAACCTCTTCTAAAGAAATCTACCCTGGATCCAGATATTCTTTCCAATTACCGCCCAATTTCACATCTTCCTTTTATGTCAAAAGTGCTGGAAAAAGCTGTTGCCGCTCAGCTGCAGCTTCATCTAGAACAAAACTCCCTGTACGAGAAATTTCAGTCTGGGTTTCGTTCTGCTCACAGCACTGAGACCGCTTTGCTGAGAGTTACTAATGACATCTACATGGCAGCTGATGCTGGGTCTACATCTCTCCTTGTTCTCCTTGATCTAACTGCAGCCTTTGACACTGTGGACCATAACATCCTACTACAACGTCTTCATGCGGAGGTCGGTCTCTGTGACACTGTTCTGGACTGGTTTAAATCTTTTCTCTCCAATCGGCTGGAAAGTGTTAGCCTCGACAAGGCCAAGTCCCAGGCTGTCTCTGTCTCCTGTGGTGTCCCACAGGGGTCAGTATTAGGGCCCCTGCTGTTTTCCCTTTACATGCTGCCTTTGGGTCAAATCATTAATCGATATAACATCTCCTTTCACTGCTACGCCGACGATATACAACTTTATATTAGAACTGGAGCATCACTATCACCATCTTCACTTAATGCTTTCACTACCTGTCTGGAGGAGATAAGGAAGTGGATGACTCAGAATTTCCTTCAGTTAAACTGCTCCATAACTGAGGCCATGCTGATCGGAACACCTCACCAGGTTCAATCTTCAACTATGACGACTGTTTTCTTTTCTGGACAAAACATCCCCTTTTCCACCATAGTTACAAATCTTGGAGTTAGAATGGATTCTCAACTTACTTTTGAAAATCACATTAAGCATCTGTTGAAAATCTGTTTCCTTCATCTTCGTAATATCTCCAAAATTCGTCCGTTTCTTTCTTTTTCTGATGCTGAGACTCTCGTTCATGCATTTGTCTCCTCCAGGTTAGACTACTGCAACTCTCTGTTTGTTGGAATCCATAAAAAATATCTTCAGAAGCTCCAATACACTCAAAACAGCGCAGCCAGGATTCTCTTGAGGGCCCGCAAATCTGCCCATATTACACCTATTCTGCATGACCTTCACTGGCTTCCCATCACCTACAGAATTCAATACAAAATCGCGCTCATCACCCATCAGTGTTTAAACGGATCC